AGGCGGTCATCACGCTCGTGATCAACGTAGACGCTTCCTCGCACGCGCGCCACGTCTTGACGATCGCGCCCGTGACGCGGACGGCTTCTTTCCGCACGTCGTCTTCGGCGGCTGCGGCGGCGGGGAGAGGAATATCTTCGTCGACGTCGCCGCCGTCGTACCTCTTCGAGACGAGGTCGTCCGCGATCGCGTGCAGCGCGTTCGACAGCGCGAGCCGGGCTTCGTCGACCGCGATCGCGGGCGGGGACGACGGCGACGGCGACGGCGACGGCGACCGCGGCGGCGGCGACGGCGACGCGACCGGATGGAGTATCTTCGTCGTCGGCGGGCGCATCGGCGGGAGCGGATCCGACGGCGACGCCGCGCCTCTCGGATCGTCCGCCCCGACGCGGTCTTCCAGGTTTCGCTCCAGCGCGTCCACGGTCGCGCGCGGGACGATGAACTCTTCGATCGCGTCCGCCATGAGTTGGTCCAACACCGCGCTCTCGACGCGGTCCTCGAGCGAGGCTCGGCGCGCGGAGACGGACGGAATCGACGCGCTTCGATCGTCGTCCGCCGCGGACGCGCGGCCGTCGTCGTCGCCCGCGCTCGCGGCGTCGAGGACGTCGTCGTCGCTGCTGTCTACGGGCACGGGCGGGAGCGTGGAGTCCCCGCTCGCGCCGATCGCGGACGCGGCGACGCCGGGGAGCGGCGACGATCGCGCCGCGCGTTCCAATTTTAATTCCTTTCGCGCCTCGTGTAAGAATTCCTCCGGCCCGGGGAGCGTGTCCAGCGATCCCTCGCTGCCGTCGTCCGAGTCCGCATCGCTGCTGCGCCAGAAGAACTCCGACATCGTCGGAGTCGCTTCGGACGCGAGGCGACGCGCGCGCGGTCTACTGATCGACAGAGTGGGAGGACGGCTGGTTAACGAGAATTTGTTCCGGACTACCCTGCCGACGACTGAGCCGCCCCCGAGATACAGGTAGATTTTCCATTCCTGTAGAAGATTTTCATCGTAGCGCGACGCGATGAACACGATTCGTTTTCCTTTCAATTGCTAGGTATTCTAACGACTTTCAAGCCAAGCTCCGGTTTCAAACCGTTCGGTCACGCCGGCGTGCCGTGCGTGCCTACCGCGAAACCCGAATCCGTATCCGCGAAAGGCAATCCAAACCCATTCATCCCGCGGTCGAGACCACCTCTGCCGAACCAGGTTTAGAAGGAAGGCATTGCGACAGCGCGCGCGGGGACGAGCGCGCGCGGGAAAGTCGCGCACGGGACGCACCGCGCGCTCGAGGTCGTGGGACCATGCCCGGGACGAATCCCCCCGCGCGACGCGGGCTCTTCGGCGCGCGCGCGCGCGACGACGACGGGTGCGTCCCGCGCGGATGACAACTAACGCCCGAATGATGAATGAATGCCCCGTCGGATGCGCTTTTCGCCCTCCCCGCCGAAACGACGCGCCTCCCTGACCGCGACCCTCCCCGCTCTGTTCCGTCGACCCACCTCGTCGTTCACAGGCTCGATCGCGAGATCGAACACGCGCGGGGATGGACCCTGCGGGGGAGCGTCGACGCCGCGGACGACTCGCGCGCGCGCGCGCCGTTCGCTCGTCTCGTGAAACCCGCGACGACGCCGTCGTCTTCACGCGGCGGCGAGATCGACGGGCGGCTTCGGAGCAGAGCGTCCGCGTTTCTCGCGAGCGCGTCGCTGACGTTGACCGGCGTCGGCCTGGTCCGCAACGCGCCGACGATGACCGCGCGCAACGGCGCCGTCGGCGGCAAGACGAAGTCGCAGAAGAAGCCGCGTCAGAAGCGCGGCGGCGCGGACGCCAACGCGGAGCGGGATGGGAAAAGAGCGGAAGCGTCCGCTTCGGATAATAAAAACCACGCGACGCTGAAACATCTCGCCGTCGGCGCCGTCAGCGGCGGCGTGTCTCGGTCCGTCGTCGCGCCTCTCGAGCGCGTGAAGATCGAGTACATGATCGACTCCGGGAAGGTCGCCTCGGAGGGCGGGGTGATGGGGTCGTTACGGCGGATCGTTCGCACGGAGGGCGCGGCCGGGTTGTTCCGCGGGAATCTGCTCAACGTCATGCGCATCGCGCCGACCAAGGCGGTGGAGTTTTACTGCTTCGACGCGTTCAAGAAGTCGCGGCTGCGTTTGAAACGCGATCAACGCGACGGTGGCGGTGGCGCTGGACAGGGGAACGAGGAATTGAGCCTGAGCGGCGGCGAGAGAATGCTCGGCGGGTCGCTCGCGTCCATGGCGGGCACGGCGTTGACGCATCCGGTGGACACGCTTCGTTCGAGGGTAACGTCCACGGGGATGCGAATGGGCGAGGCGTGGTCGGGGTTGATGCGAAACGAAGGCCCGATGGCGCTGTGGAAAGGTCTCAGCGTGAACATGATCCGGGTCGCGCCGTACGGCGCGGTGAACTTCTTCGTGTACGACGCGTGTAAGTCCGCGTACAAGAAGACGTTGAAACCCGGCCAGGAGATTGGGCCGCTGCCGACGTTGTTCTTCGGCGGCCTCGCCGGCGCGGCGGCGCAGACCGCGGTGTACCCGCTCGAGATGGTCCAGCGGCGGATACAGGTCAGCGGGATGACGTCCGCGGTCAGCGCTGGGTCATCCGCGGCGCTGACGGTGAAGTACAAGAACGTGTTCCACGGGATCCAGTGCGTGTATAAGACGGAGGGGTTGGGCGCGTTGTACGCGGGTTTGGTGCCAAACTACGCGAAGATATTCCCCGCCGCCGCGGTGAGTTTCTACGTGTACGAGGCGTTGAAGCTTCACTACGGGTTGTGACGCGCGGACGCCGTGCTCGCGTCGACGGACGTGCGTGTTCTGCGCGTTCGACGTCATCGTGTCATTTATTTTTTATGCGATTCATTCATCACGCGGTGCTCGCGGAAGTCGTCCGCGGGTCGTCTCGTCTCATCCTGTCGTCTTTTTCATCTGTCCTCCCGTCGCTGAGATCGCGTCAGTCTACTCATCATCCGTCCATCTCGAACGGTTCGCTCACCGGCGGCTCTCGGTACACCAAACACGGGCACGACGCGTTCTCGATCAAGTACGTGCTCGTGCTCCGCATCACCCCGCGCTTCAACCCGGTGAGCCCCCTGGACCCGACGACGATGAGGTCCGCGCGCGTCGTCGCCGCGAGCGTCGCGAGCGCGAACCGCGCCGGCGGCGGCGGCAGCGCCCCTCTCGGCGGGTACGCGCACTTATACGTCCTCAGAAACGTCGCGACCGCGAGCACGCACGCGTCGAGCTCGCTCCACGGCGCGTCCGGGAGCTTCTCGACGAGCGACGCGTTCTGTTTGCCCGCGAACAGCACCCCGCGCGGCGGCGGCGGCGGCGGCGGCGGCGGCGGCGGCTCTTTTTCTTCGTCTCCTCGGGTGGATTTTTTGGTCTCGGTCTTCTCCCCCGGTCCGAGCTCCGGGTACGGCGCGCGCGTCCACTCCGCGCGCAGCGCGGGCTCGATCTCATCCCACGCCGCCTCCACGTCTCTCTCCGCGCGCGACACCGCGCCCGCGTAATGCTCGCGGGAAAACGCCTCCGTCGCGCCCTTCAACGCGTGCGCGAAGATCACCTCGTCCGTCGGCCGCAGAAGACGCTCCACGCACCACGTCGTCATCCGTCGCGAGACGCGCGAGCCGTCGACCGCGATGACGACGCGTCGACCGCGCGGCAGCGGCGGCGCGGTCGCGGGCGTCGCGGGCGTCGGCGTCGGCGTCGGCGTCGGCGTCGGCGTCGGCGTCGGCGTCGGCGTCGGCGTCGGTCGGTCGCCCTCCGCCGCGGCGCGAACCGCGTCCCACGCCGCCGCCGCACAGCTGGCGTCCTCCTCCTCCTCCTCCTCCTCCTCCGGCGTCACGTCCAACGACGCCATCGCCGCCGCGATCCCCCCAACCTCCTCCGTCGCGCGCTCGTCGTCCGTAACGCGCGCCGTCGCTCCCGCCGCGCCCGGCCCGGACGCCACCTCGAGCCTCCCGACCGCCGTGGACGCGCCGCCGCGGCGGACGACGACGCACGGGACGCGAAGCGCGTTGACTACCGCGTCGGAGACGCTGCCCAGGACGACGCGCGCGACCGCGCCGTGCCGCGGGCGCGCGCCGAGGACGACGAGCGTCGCGCGGTGGCGCTCGCAGTATCTCACGATCTGCGACGCGACGCCGCCGCCGTCGCCGGCGCGTGCGCCGCGAAGGAGAACGACCTCGGTCAGACTCCCCGAGTGCGCGCGCTCTCGCGCGTCCACGCCCGCGCGCACCGCGGGCGGGAGGTCGCGTCGCGCGCTCGCGGCGTCCGCGGCGAACGACGCGTCCTCCGCGTACCGCGGCTCGAGATCGTCCGCGAAGTCGGCGTCGTCCGGGACCCAGACCTTGAGGAGCGTGACGTCGTCCGCGGGCTCGAGGAGGCGCGAAGCGGTCCACGTCCACGCGACGTTATTCGCGTCGTCGTCGTCGCCGACGCAAAGGACGACGCGGCGCGGCGTCGCCCAGTCCCTCTCGCTCTCCTTCTTCTTCCGCTGCGGCGGCGGCGGCGTGGACGCGGCGGAGGAGGACGACATTATTGCGCGAGGTCGCGCGGTGGGCGGGGCGCGCGCGCGGGGATGCCCGAAGAGCGCCGCTCGTCCTGTCGTGGCTTTCTCTCCTCGTTTCCAGTCTTCGGTTTCGTCGGAAGCCACGACCTCTGCCGCGGCGCTCTCAAGCAGTATCCCACGCGCCGCCGCCGCCGCCATGCTCGCGCGTCGCGTCCTCCCTCGCCTCCTCCCTCTCGCGCGCGCTTCCCCGGTCCGCCGCGCGCGCCGCGTCGCCGTCGCCGCGGCCGCGTCTTCGCGACCTCCGCGCGCGTCGCTCCGCCGGAAGCGCGTCGCCGCAGCCGACGCGGAGGACGAGCTCGAGCTCGCGTCCTCGGAGCTCCCGTACGACGACGACGACGCCGCGGACGCGCGAAGTCACGCGCGGAGGATGCGCGCGACGCGCGAGAAGAACGACGATCCCCGGTCATACGCGCTCGCGAGAGAGGACGAAGAGCGCTGGGCCGAGGCTGCCGAGCGCGTCGTCGCGTGGGACGAGGACTCGTTCTCTCTGTCCCTCCCCGGCGACTGCGGCGGCGCGTCGAAGCCGCGCGCCGCCGCGGACGATCGAGCGACGACGCCGCCGTTCGCGCGGCGCTGGAGACGCGACGACGAGAGCGCGGCGAGTAGGCTCGCGGCGTACATGCGCGCGACCGGCCGCCTCTCGAAGGCGGCGCCGCTCGAAGACGCCGTCGCCGCGACGTTTTTTTCGTCGGACGCTCACGCGACGCCGCGACGCGCGCGGTGCCGCGCGACGCTGACGACCCTCGACGGCGAGCGCCGCGTCGAGGACGGGCGGTGGGCGGCGACGGAGGACGACGCGAAGGAAGACGCGATGCGAGCGCTGCTGGCGTGGATGACGATGCGGGACTCGACGGGGGTGCGTCCCATACACTGGTTCCCGTACGCCCGCGTCGGCGCGATGAACGCCGATACTTGAGGACTTTTGCGGGCGCATCTCTCCGCCCGCCCCTCGCTTTCGATCCCCGACCGCGACGCCTTTCAACTCCATCTGATGCCTTTGAACTCCACCCCGACGTCGCTTCGTATGGAACGAGCCCTACAGCTGCGCGCGGGAGACGACGGCGGCGGCGGCGGCGGCGACGGCTTCGCGGCAGGGGGCGGCGGCGGCGGCGGCGGCGCGGTCTGATCGCGCGCGCGCGCGCGAAGAGAGAGAAGAAGAATAAGAAGAAGTCTACGTGCGCGCGCACAGTACATTCTACGCTACTAGTAATACCCGCAGAAGAAGTTCGTGAACCACCGCTGCGCGTTCACGTCCAACGGCTCGTCGTCGCGCACGCCGTCGCAGATGGATCTGAGATTTTCCGCGTGCGTCTCCGCCTGCTCGCGTATCTGATCCAATCGCACGAGCCCGCCCTTCCCGAGCATCAACCCCGGCTCCTCCGCGAGCAGCAACCTCACGCACGGCTCCGGGATGTCCATCCCGCGTAACGTCTGCATCGCGTCCATTCCCGAATACAAGATGACGCGCTCGTCCGCGACGACGAGAAGCTCGGGCTCCGCCGCGATCATGGAGGACGCGTCCGCGATCGGCAGGAGGTCCTTCAGCGCGACGACGACGCGCATCACCTTCGCGGGGGACACCGCGAGCAAGTCCGCGCCCACGATCTCGACCATCGCGGGGAGCTCCTCCGGGGCGACGCGCGTGAGGCGCGACAGGACGCGCAGTCTCGACGCGAGCCAGATCGGATCCGAGTGCGAGGCGGGCAGGACGACGCCCTCGCCGTACTTGCCGAGGGCCACCTCCTGCTGGAACCGCAGCCGCTCGAAGTGCTTCGCGAGCTGAAGCGTTCGACGCACCGTGCGCTCGACGGCGTCGTCGTTCGCGCCGTCGAGCGCGCCGCCGTCGCGCCACGCGCGCTCGACCGCGGCGTACGTCGTCTTCTGCGCTCTCGCTCTCTCCGCGAGGTCGCGATCGCGCTTCGTCCCCGCGTCGTTCGCGTTCGCCGCGGCGGCGACGACGACCCATCGCGCGACGGGGCGTCGTCGACCGCGTCGATGGGCGCGACACCGCGGCGGCGGGAGCTCCGCGGCCGCGGCGGCGGTCGCCATCGCGCGCCGGACGACTCTGTCGTGGTCGCCGTCGAGCTGAGCCTTCTACTTCTGTTGCAGAGAGAAAACTGCGTCGTCCGAGAAACGAAAAACGACTCCCGTCCGAACGCTCTCTCGTCACTCGCGCGCGCGCGCCGCCGTCATGACGTCGTCGTCGCGGCGAGCCGCCGCGCGCGCGCTCCTCCTCCTCCTCCTCCTCCTCCTCTCTCTCCTCGGCGTCGTCGCCGCGTCGCCGCCGACTCTGCTCGACGTCGACGGCGACGGGCCGCCGATGCAAATGCCGATGCCCGACGAGACGGTCCGCGCGGTGTTGTTGACGTCCGAGGCTGAGATCGGAGACCCGAAACAGCTCGACGCGCTCGCGATGTCGTTCCGAGCGACGCACGACCCGCGCGAGCACGCGCTCGTGCTCGCGTCCACGGCGAAGACGCCCGCGGCGCAGAAGTCGTGGAGGGCGTGGGCGGAGCGACGCGGCGCCGTCGTGTGGTTCTTCGCGCCCGAGGCGCGAACCGAGATCGTGGTCGCTCGGTTTTACGCGTACCTCGCCTACGTCAGAGCGCTCCGCGCGTCGCGTCCGAGCGTGAACCGCGTCGCGATGATGGACGCCACGGACGTCATCTTCAACGCGCCGTTCATGCGCGCAATTCCGCTCGACGCGATCGCGCTCGTGGAGGAGCCCGCGACGTTGAAGATCGGCGCGTGCGAGTGGCACGAGAGATGGATCCGAGGTTGCGCCGCGTACGGAGAACGCGTGTTCGCGCGCGTCGCGAACGAATCGCGCGTGTGCGCGGGGACGATCGCGGGCGGGATCGCCGCGACGGAGACGTTCTTGACCGCGTTCACGAACGAGCTGACGCGGACGAAGTACTGCAACGACCAAGGGGTGTTGAACGTGATGACGCACACCGGAGGGTTCAGGCGCGCGCGCGGTTATGGGGGGGGGACGACGCAGACGACGTGGACGCACGAGGACGGGCTGGTGATGTCGCTGAACACGGGATCGCGCGCGGACGCGTCGAGGCTGCCGGACGCCGCGGTCGTGCACTTTGGGGACTCGCCGGAGCCGTGGAAGCGGGCGTACATCGAGAACGCGTTGAGGCGGATCGAGAAGGAAGGGGGGACGTTCGGCGGCGGCGGCGGCGGCGGCGGCGGCGGCGGACGGGTTGGGGGGGGGAAGCGCGCGACGCCGAGTCTCGGCGACGACGTCGCCGTCGAGCGCGGCGACGGAAGCGGAGCGGGGCGGAAAACCGCTCCCACGAACGCGGAGGTCGAGGCGGAGATGGTATGGCTGCGCGGCGTGAAGCCGTTTCGATACGAGGAGGAAGCCGCCGCGTCCGCCGCGGAGGCCGACGCCGACGACGAGACGACGACCGAGACGCCGCCTCCCGTCGACGGCGGCGCGCGTTCCACGGGATATTTCCTCGTCGCGCTCGGCACGCAGTTCGTGAACGAAGCCGCGAGGTTCGTCCGCGCTTTGCGAGCGTCCGACTCGTCGTCGCCGCGATACCCGGTCGCCGTCCTGATTCTCCCCTCGGACGTCGCGCGCGTCGACGACGTCAACGCGAAGGAGGCCCTGTTCGACGACGTCGTGACGTACGACGAGGCCAAACACGCCGCCGACGGCCTGCGACAGCTCGCGCGGACGAACCACGAGCGGTATAACATCCTCCCGCGGCTGCGGCTCTGGGAGTACGTTCCCTACGACGAGTATCTCGTGGTGGACGCGGACGTCTTGTGCTCCGCGCCGATGGGCGACGTCTGGGCGTACCACCGCGCGAAGAAGCAGCCCGTGGGCGCGAGCGGGCTGGAGACCGACTGCGCGTGGCACTTCGGGCACGTGTGCGAGATTAGCAGGGAAAAGATGCCAGGGATGCGACCGGGGGCGCAGCTGCCGCACGTGCACGCGGGGGCGGTGTACGTAGACGCGTCGATCGACCCCGCGGGGTTCGACGCGTTTAAAACGCACGCGATGGATGCGTTTAAGCGGTACGACGAGTTCGGGTTCAAATCTCTGCATCGCGACGGCGGGAAGGTTCTGGAGATTTGTCTCTCGTACGCGTTCTGGAAGGGCGGGTACGCGCCGTTGGACTTCTACGACGCGCCGGTGATCAACTTCAACGTGCGCGCGAACGAAAAGTTGCCGTCGAGCGCGCAGCGGATCGGCGGGCGTCCGGACGGGCGCTCGACGAGCGGGAAGACGTACCCGCTGACGCACTACTTCGTCAAGGCGGGGTTCGAGAAGGACTACCAGAGTCACTACGAGGCGTTGGTGACGGGGAAGAAGGATATCATGCGGACGCGGGTCTCCGCGTGAATCGATGAGTGACGAATTTATAAATCGTCACTCCTAGGGCTAGGTCGTCGTCGTCTAGAGCAGCGCGACGCGGCGTCGTCGGTCGCACGTCGCGGTGGTGAGTTATAGTTATGGTACACTTGAATGAATGTCGTTCCGTTCCGACGCGATCACGCCGCCTCCGTCGTCGCCGCGGTGCCTCCCACGAGGGACACGAACCCGCTGTTGACTTCTTCGTACAGGGAGATGACGCTCGCGATGTTGCCCGAGAGCTCTTTGATGAGGTCGGCGTTCTTCTCGAGGCCGTCCGGGTAGCGGCCGTAGTGGTTGTGGTTGATCTCGTTGATCAGCGTGTTGTTCCGGTCGAGCAAGCCCTGCGAGTGAGGTGAGGTTTACGCGCGGGGTGAAGACGGCGGGGCGCGTCAGAGACGAGGGAACGAATGAATGCTTTTTCCGCGTTGGTGGGATATTTTTTGAAGAAAAACAACAACGAACGTCGCGGGATCTCACCTGCACGACCTTGAACTTCTCCGACCCCGGCCAGAGGTTCGCGGGGAGCTGCGCGAGGAGCTCGTTCGCCTCGCTCAACCCCGCGGCGGTGATCGCGGGATGTTCGTTTCCCATGGTGCGCGCGGTCGTGTCGTCGAGCGCCGCGGCGAATGGCGAAAAAGGTCCTCCGGAGGGCGCTTTTCGTCATCTCGAACGGAAATTGTGGCCCGGTCCGGTCCAGTCGATGACGCGAGCGCGAGAGCGCGACGTCATCGTCGCCGCGCGCGCACATCACCATGAGCGGCCCCACGCGTCGCGCCGCGTCGCTCGTCGCACGGGCGTACCTCGCCTCCCCGACCGCGGTCACGACGACCGCGGCGGGGACGTGGCGGTCTCACGTCGTTCCGCTCGCCGCGCGCGCGAGAGAGAGCACCGCGTTCGGAGGCGCGTCCACCGCGTCGCGGTCGTCGATTCGAGTCGACTCGATTCGATCGATCGATCGATCGCGCCTCCCACGAGTTCTGTTACCACACTGGTTCCCATACGACCGCGTTCGCGTGGTGAACGCCGTTCCTTAAGGACTTTTGCCTCCCGCCTCGCCAACGCGTCGTCGATCAACGCCTCGCTGACCTCCCACAACGCCTCCGCCAACGCGTCGTCGCGCGCCTCACCCTCCCCCTCCGCGTCGCTCCCGACGCACGCGCGCACACGAAACGACGACTGACGCGCCGTTCGCGCTCTCTCGTTCGCAGGCTTCCGCGGGTTCGCGCGCGACTCCGACGACGACTTCAAGCCGGTGCGTCGCGCGTTCGCTCGTCCCCGCCGTCTCGTCTCGCGCGAAACCCTCCGAGAGAAGCACGAGTCTAACGTCTGACTCGCGTCCGTCGTCCGTCCACCCTGATCTTCCCCCTCGCAGCAAACGCACGTCACCGGGGACGACGCGATCCAGGCCGCGATCGCGACGGACGTCAAGGAGAACAAGGTGCTCCTGTACATGAAGGGCACCCCCGCCGCGCCGCGGTGCGGGTTCAGCAACATGGCGGTGCAGATCCTAAACTTTCACGGCGCGTCCTTCGCGTCCAGGGACGTGCTGTCCTCGGAGGAGTTACGCGCGGGGATCAAGACGTTCACGTCGTGGCCCACGGTGCCGCAGGTGTTCATCGACGGCGAGTTCATCGGCGGGTGCGACATCTTGCGGCAGATGCACGACGACGGGAGCCTCGCGAAGGAGCTCGAGAAGGTGAAGTGATGATTCGGGGACGGGGACGGGGACGGCCCCGACGACGACGCGGGCGGGGACGGAGCGCGCGCGCGAAGCGTTTAGGACACTCATAAGTTACGTTATGACAACCAACGCGCGCTGTAGAGAACTATGAAGGCATCGCGGCGCCGAAAAGTCGACGCGGCGTCTCCGTCAGTTCCAATCCTTCGCGATGCTCTCCTGCCGCCGGTCCTCCGCCGCGCTCCATCCTCGCTGCGATTCACTCCTGTTCGATTGCGCCTCGCGCAGCTTCGCCGCGGCCTTCGGGTTCCTGATCCCTCGCATCTCGTTCTCCGCGTTCCGCTTCGACGCGGCCGCGAGCATCTGCTCTCGTCGCGCCTCGTACGCCCCGGGCGGCTCCTTCGCCTGTTTCGAGCCGCAGCATCCCATCGCGCCGACGCGTCGCCCCGCTGCGCGCGTGCCCCCTCCTTTCCGACGTCAGTCGGCGCGGCGGGCGGGCGGCGATCCCGTCGCTCGCGCCGCGGCGCGCGTCGCGAAGGACGCGTTCCGAAGCTCGAGTCGCGGAGACGGCACCCTCGGGAGGACGATACGACGCCCGCGAAGGTGCTGCTCGCCCGCGCGCGCGACGCCGAGAGTGACGACGACGACGACGATGGACGCGGGAATATGATATCTGCGGGCGGCCGCGGTCGAGAGCGGGCTCGTCGTCAGACTGGCGCGTTTTCGTCCATCGGGGAAGAGGCGTCCGCGAAGGCGCGACGGATAAAACAGCAGTAGCATACTTATTAAAAGCAGTAACGAATCGCTGATGTACACAGTCAAACAAACACGATCATACAATCGATCTCCTTCTTACAGACCGCCGTCCGGGGGCGCGCGAGGAGTGAGCGAGCCTCGCGCCTCGCGCGACCCCGTCCCGGCGCAAATCACATTTTTGTCGTTTACAGTCGCTCGCGCCCGGGCGGCGGGACGTCGAGAGTGACGCCGCCGCCGCCGCCGCGAGCGCGGACGATTTCGTCTTCCTTCTTCTCGGTGGTAGCAGCTCAGTCGGTGGAACCATTATCGTCCTAATTCTTCTTGCTCTCCAGCAGCAACCGCAAGATGCGCTTCCCGAACGGGGAGTTCTTGATGAGCGGCAAGTGCGGGCGAATGCGCTCCACGAGCTCCGCGTGGAGGGATCCCTTCGTCACCGTCAACGTGCTCTGAACGACGTAGTTCCCGTACGGGTCCATCAAGAGTCGATCCAGCAGCGGTGAGGACATGATCTCCCTCACGACGACGTTGCGGTGCTCCTCGAGCTCTTGCCCCGCGAGCTTGAGGCACTTCTCGACGACGTTGGAGGAAAACTTTTGCATCGAGAGCTCGGCGTACGCGCCGCCGAGGCGCACCATAACCTCGGCGTTCGCCCACGGCAACCCCAGGTCGAGGATGTACTGCACGACGTAGTTCCCGAACGGATCTTGGGATAACACCAGCGCCTGCGCGGCGATCTCGTTGACGAGCGCGCGACGCTGCGAGTCCGCGGCGTGATCGACGCACCGCTGCAACACGCAACACCCGTGCCGGTGCGTCGCGATCTCGACGCTGCACGCCTTCGCGGCGTCGTACACAAACTGGTTATCCTCCGCCTCGAGCCGCTGGAGACACCGCTGTATGACGTGGTTCCCGTTCAAGTCCTTGATCAGGGTCACGACGCCGGGTTTGAGCGCCTCCGTCGCGAGTCGGATGTGCTCCGGCGTTCGAAGCGTCTCGACGAGTTTTTGCACCGCTCGCGTGCCGTGCGTGTTCAACGCGACGGACACGAGCTCGGGGACGCCGTCGCCCTCGCCGTCGTACGACCCCGAGGAAGTCTTATTCGCCGCGGGCTTCGGCGGCAGTTTCTTCTCCGCGGCGGCGGGCTTCTCCGGCGAGCCCGCGGGTTCATCCGCCGCGTCGTCGCCGTCGCCGTCGCCGTCGCCGTCGCCGTCCGTCTTCTTTTCCCCGGCTGCCTCCGCGGCGTCCGCGGCGGCGTCGTCCTCCTCGGGCTCCGAGTCCTCCGCGCCGCGAATCTTCGAGACGGCTTTTAAGATCCCCGTCCGCTGCTCGTCGTTGCAGCACTCCAGAAGCTTCTGCACGAGGTAATTACCGAACGGGTCCATCATGAGGTCGACAACCTCCGCGATGATCTCGTCGTAGCACTTGTTCACCGCGTCTTCGCCCTCGTCGTCGAATTTCCGCTGAAGAAACCGGCACCCGTGCTGGTCCCTCGCGAGGACGCCAATCTGCCCCAGGCACTCGTCCACGGACCCGAACCGCGCGTCCATGTCCGCGATCTCCTGCGCGGTGTCTTGCCCGCCCAACCCGTTGAACGACGCCGTCCGCGGGATCGACGACGACGACCCCGACCCCCCGTTCAAGCCGTGCAGAGAGTCTCTCGAGCCGTGCGCGCCGCCCTTGCCGAGCCCGCCCCTCGCGCCCCCCTCGCGCCCCCCGCGCCTGCCTCCCATGCCTCCCATCCCGCCGGCGGCGCCGCGGTTCCCCGCGCCGCCAAATCCGCCGCCGCCGGCGTTCGCGTCCATCCCCGCGAGCTGCGCGGACAGCAGCGGGTTTAAACCGTTCACGCCGTTCAACCCGGGGTTGGACATGTTCATCGCCGCGGCGACGGCGGCGAGGTTTTGCATCCCTCCGCCGCCGGCTTGCGCTTGCAACCGAAGCAACTGCTGAAGCTGCTGCTGCTGCGCGTAAAACGCGGCCGCGTACGCCGCTTGGTACACCTCCGCCATGTTCTGCTGCCCGCCGCCGCCGCCGTCGCCGCCCATCCCGCCCCCGGCCAGGCCCTGCGACATCATCGCCTGCTGCGCGTTGACCCCCATCGCGCCCGCCATCCCCGGGGGGACCTGGTTCATGTTCATGTTCATGTTCATGTTCGGAATGTTCGGACCGCCCATGCCGTTCATCGCCGCCATCTGGTCCATCCTAGGCATCCCGGGCGGCATCCCACCGCCGCCGACGCCGTACGCGCCGGCGGCGCCTTGTTGTTGCTGCATCATCATCTGTTGCATCAACTGCTGCTGCATCATCTGCTGCTGCTGCTGCTGCTGCTGATGCTGATGCTGCTGATGTTGCGAGCCGCCTCCGTAGTTCCCCCCCCCGTGTTGCGAACCACCGTAGACGTTCGCCGCGTTCTGCGCGCCGCCGCCGTACCCAACTCCGCCGGACTGCTGCCCGTACCCGCCGTAGGAAGGCTCGCCGCCGTACACGCCGCCGTACGCGCCGCCGCCGCCGCCGCCGCCGCCGCCGCCCCCCGCGTTCGCGTTCGCGTTCGCGTTCGCGTTCAAGCCGCCGCTCGACTGCGACTGCGACTGCGACTGCGACTGCGTCACGTTCGCGCCGGGGCCCGGGCCGCCCGTCATCGAGTTCGGCGTTCCGCTGTTCGCGCGATCGACCGGGTCGATGAACGCGCCGCCGCCGCGAGGGAGCAGCGGCGCGGTGGACGACCGCGCCGGCAGATTCCTCTCCGACATGCCGAGGTGAGAAAAGGCCGACGCCAGCGGATCCCCGTTCGAAGACGTCGCGTTCAGACCGCCGCCGAGCCCGCCGCCGCCGTTTAGGTTTCCTCCTGTGCCGTACAGCGCGTTCAGGTTGCCGCTGCTCGCGGAGTGCACGGGCTGGGGCTGGAGGAGACCTCCGCCGCCGGCGCCGCCGCCGCCGCCGAACCCGTAACCGTATCCCCCGCCGCCGCCGCCGCCGCCTTGGTTGTTGTTCTGTTTGGTTAACGCGCGCGGTCGAAGGGGAACGGTGAGTGACGGTGAGCGACGGTGGACGCGAGACGACGACGAAGGTCGCGGTGAAAGAAGTCCGGGACGAAGGAGAAGACGGGAGCGGGAGCGCGTCGGCGTCGTAGAATCTCTCCTCGGGTCGAGACGACGACAAAACGGCGCGCGGCGCTCGCGGCCGGATGTCGCGCCCGAGCGCCGCGTCGAGCGATCACGCGGGCCGCGAGACGCACCAGGTCGATGGCGGACAAGGAACGCTGCATGTTATCCACGCCATGCAGCGCCGGCGCCGCGGACGCGCTCCGTGGGTGCTCGTCCGCGTCGTGCAGGAGGCGCGAGAACGAGCTCTCGTAGTCCCTGCGGGAGGAGGAAAAAGCGAAAGCGCGCGGGTCAGATTGCGCGCGGAAGGGCGGGGACGTCGAGCGACGCGAGGGCGAGCTCGAGACGTGCTCGCGCGGGCGAGACCCCTCGGACGTTCCCGAGAGCGTCGCGCGAGGTCCGAGGCGCGGACGGGGCGTGTGCGCGCGTCGCGCGCGCGTCGCCCGTCCGCCGCCATCCCCCGCGGAAAAACCTCTCGCGCGAGGGCTGGGCGGAAAACAGCGACGCGACGGGTCGACCGGGAATCGCGCGTCGCGCACCTCCACGACGGCGAAGACGACAGCCCCGAGGCGTCCGCGTTCGCGCCATCTATCTTCCTCGCGCCGAACATCGTTCCCGTGCTCGTCGCGAGCTCCTCGCCGCGCCCGCAGCGCGCGCGCACGTCTCGAATGCGCCCGAGTCTCTCTCCGGTCTCGGTCGCGCGCGTTTTATCGGTCCGATCGACGACGGCCGCTGAGACCTCCGCTTGAGCCGCCACGAGTTCGGACAGCTCGAGAGATCGCGACCGATCGAGCGCGGTCGCCGACCGCGGCCTCTACGTTTCGGAGAATTATCGCTCGTAGTCTGGTCACAGCGGTCGACGCGCGGCGCGCACGCGGACGGACGCGCGCGCACGTCAACCGAGGAGGACGCGCGCGCGACCGCGACTGCGCGCGCGATGACGGAGTCGTCCGCGCCGTCGCCCGTCGCCGCGGTCGGCGAGGAGGCTGCCGCGTTCGGGTCGCCCACGGAGAAGGCACCCGACGCGGCCGATTCGTTCGAGCCGCGCGCGGTCGCCGCGCGGCCGCCGCCGCCGCCCGCGACGACGGCGAAGAACCTTCCGGTGAGAGCGCTGAAGTTCCCGCCGTCGCCGATCAAGACTTCGGTCAGCGCCGCGGACGCGCCGACCCCGCGCGGAGGGACCGAGACCGACGCGACGACGACGCGCGCGACGCAGGGTGCGGCGACGGGCGCAGCATCGCGCCCGTCGTCGTCGTCGAATCCGACGCGCGGCGGCGGCGGCGGGACGTCCTCCTCCTCGCGCGCGCGCCTGTCCGTCTGGGACTACTGCTGCGCCGAGCTCGGCCTGCGCGTGGGCGCGCGAGAAGACGACCCGGACATGGCCATCGCGCGCGAACGCGTCTTCGACATCATCTGGTACGTCCCGCTCGAGTTCGAGCGCCTGTCGCTGTACGGCGGTCTCCTGTGCGCGGACGCGACGCTCGGCGTGGTGACGTCGTTGCCCGTGCGGGTGGCGTGCCAGACGTGCCGGCTGATCATGACTCCCGCGGTGGAGACCGCGAAGCTGTTATCGCCGTTGTCGACGGCGGCGCTGCGGAGCCCGAGGGCGTGGAGAGGAGGAGGAGGAGGAGACAAGGGCGGAGACAAGGGCGGTCCCGGGGCGGACGCGTCGTCGTCGCGGCAGCGGTCGCTCGGCGATAACGGCGACGGTGGGCCGACGTCGAAGCGAAGGAACTGGGGGTTCCACCCGTTCGCGCGCGAGCACCTGGGCGACTCTCTGTGGCTCATGCTCTTGCTCGCCGCCGTCGCGGCGAACAACGCCGTGGACGTCTCCGTCGTGTACCACTGGATCCGAGGCCAGGACGTCATCAAGCTCTACATGGCGTGCAGCGTCCTGGAGTGCTTCGACAAGCTGTGCTGCGCGTTTAACTGCCACGTCCTCGACGCGCTGCAGAACAGCACGTACGTCGTCGTGAGCGTCGCGGCGTCGAGCGCGTCCATGACGGACTTGGTCCACGCCGTGATACAGCTCTCCGTGGACGTCGTCCTCGCGTTGTCGGCCACGGTGTCGCACACGATGATCATGTTGCTCCACGCGGTGACGTTATCCGTCGCGATCAACTCGCACACGAACGCAATGCTGCTGGTGCTCATCTCGAACAATTTCGGCGAGATCAAAGGACACGTGTTCAAGCGGATGGACCCGGATAAGCTGTTCAGCGTCGCGAGGATGGACATCGTGGAGAGGGTGCACCTGGGCGTGTGTCTGCTCTTCGTCGTCGCGCAGCGGATCACCGCCGCCGGGTCGGTCGCGGGGGGGCTCACGCGGAAGATGCTGAAAGACAGCGCGATGGTGATGGGGTCGGAGGTGTTCGTGGACATCTTCAAGCACGCTTTCATGTCTAAGTTTAACGGGTTACGACCGAGGGTGTACAGAGGGTTCAGCCGGCAGCTCTGCAGGGAGCACGTCAAGCTCGCGCAGTCGTACAAGATTCACCGCGTCGTCGGGTTCGTCCCTCTCGCGCCCGCGGCGGTGCTCATCAAGGTGCTGCCGGATCTGTACCGGACGCTGATGCCGTCGCACGAGCTCGGCGGGCTTTTCAGCGGCGAGGACGTCGACGGCGACGGCGTCGGCGAGCGGTGGTACGACTGGGGCGGGTGGCAGAGTTTACGCGTGGAACTGGGATGGGTCGGATGGATGGGCGTGGAGTACGTGCACCTCGGCGAGGTGGCCGCGTTCGCGCTCGTGTTCGCCGCGCTCGTGGCGTTCAAACTCGTCTTCGGCGTGTGCTTGCACTGGTTCGGGGGGTTCATGCTGGATAATCTTCCGTACGATCGACCGAGCGGGAAGGACAAGGACAAGGAGAAAACGGCGAAGGACGGCGGCGCGCCGCCGGCGTCGCCGAAGAGTCCGCCGAAGCACCGACTGTGGGCGATGTAGGATCGAATCGATCGCGGTGAAAGTAATAGTCGCGTCGATCGCCGTCGTTCGTTCGTTCGTTCGTTCGTTTTACATCGCTCGCGCGCTAGGGAGTGGACCCGCCGCCCGCGCTCCCGCCCGCGCCGCCGCCCGCGCCGCTCGGACTTCCCTCCGCGGCGACGCTCGCCGCCATGGACGTCCACTCCTCCGGGGACGCCCCGAGCTCCTCCGCGGCGGCTTTCCACACCTGGCTCGCTCTTTCCGCGTTCAGGACTTGCACGCGCGCGAACGCGAGCCACATGTTCTTGAACGTATCCGTCCGGGCCGTTTCTAGACGTTTAAACTCCTCCGCGTGCCGCTCTTTGATGTTCTCGTACTCCGCCTTGACCCCAACGGAGGCGCTTCGCAACGCTTCGAGCTCGTACCTCAAGTGCGCGGCTTTGCTCGTCTTCGCGACGTCGAGCTCCAGCTTCGAGAGCTTCGCGCTCTTGGCCTCGATGTCCGAGAGCATCGTCTGAAGCGTCAAGAGCGTCTCCGCGCGGTCGCCGGTGGCCTTTCGAACCGCGGGCATCATCCCCAGATAGTCGTGCATCGGATCCAACGCGTGCGCGAGCTGCGTCGTCGCCGCGCGCGTCAACCGCGACACCCGTACGGTCGCGTTCCCAATCTTTCGCGCCATCAACCCCGTCTCTAACCCGCGCTCGCCCGCGACAACGCCCTCGCCGAGCTTGTGTGCCTCCGTCTCCTCGACTTTCGCGAGCTTCATGCACTCCAAGCCGAGCTCTCCGAGCGCGTCGCCGTACTTTTCCTCTTGCATCAGCACCCGCTCAGCCTTCTGCGACGCGATCGAGAGCTCTTGCTCGAGACGCGCGACGCGGTCCCTCTCCGCGATGAAGTCGAGATCTTCCTCCGTGACCTTTGGCTTGTGCGTCTCGATGCCGAACGTCGCGCCGACGCTCGCGACCGCGCTGGATTGCACGACGGTCTGTCGGAGTTCTTTGAAGAAGCGGCCGATCTTGCGTCCGCCGCCGCCGCTCCCGGAGGGCGCGCCCGCCGGATGCATAACGTGCGGGTGGTTGGCGTTATTTTCTATCCCCCCTCCCATCATCGCCATCGTGCCGCTCGCGCTGGGCGACCCCGGCCCGCCGCTCAGGACGACGTCCGCGGCGGACGGATTCGTCTTAAACCCCGTCCACGTCGGGTTCACCTCGAGGTCGTGCGCGGTGAGAAAAAGCCGCAGCTCGCTCGCGTGCCTCAACGTCGGATGCGAGCACAGCTTCGCGAGGTACGACTGCAGCTGCGTCATCCTGTCGTTGACGAACTTCTCCTCCGTGCTGTTCACGAGCGTCTTCTCCGGCCGCGGCGGGACGAAAAAACCCCGGTGCGACTCCGCGAGTCGATCCGCGAGGCCGACGAAATCGCGGAATCGCCGCCACGTCACGACGTCCTTCGAGGCGTACGACGGCAAGTCCGTGCGCACGTGCACCTTGTACATCACGACTCTCTTCCCCATGCCGCCGCCGCCGCTGGTTTTGGGGTCCGACACGGTCACGTCGAGCACGCCCTCCACGGAGGACGTGTACGCGCGCGGCGTTCGAACCGCGAGCGGCCGCGTCGGCGCGACGTCGGCGCCGCCGAAACGCGCTGCGCCTGGCGCGAACGGATCCGCGTTCATGGATCCGCCGTCGCTCGACCCGCCCGCCGACCCGCCGCCGTACCCGCCGTACGTCGTGTGCGCCATCGCGTTCGACGCGCCGCGCGCCGTCGCCGCGGCGGCTGGAAATATCTCCGACGCGGCCCCGCGGCCGCCCGTCGTCGAGGACGCGAACGGCGCGGCGGAGTACATCATGCTGTCCGCGTAACTCGGCGGAGGCGCGAGGAGGTCGCCGTAAGAGACGCCCATCGCGGGGACGTTCGTCGCCGCGCTCGAGTCCGCCGTCGCGTTCGCGGAGGGCGCGGGCGCGGGCGGCGTCAGCGGGCCCATGTCTCGCGCGGCCGCGGACGACGACGACGACGACGACGTGAGAGGATTCGTCGCGTTCGTCGAGTGAGACGCGCTCGGATCGGACGTCGCCGGATCGATCGACGGCGGCGCGACCGCCGCCGGCGGGTCGTCCGCGATGTTCACGTCGTGAAGCGTCGTCGCGAGCGGCTCCGTCGCGTCGGACGCGCGCGCGAACGGGTTATCCCCGCCGAAGCTCTCGACGAGCCGCGCGCCCGCGGCGCCTCCGCCGAAGTCACGCCCAGCCTCGGACGCGAGCGGACCGTCCCCGAACGGGTTCTCGTCGTTCATGACGCGCGCGGGCGGCGGCGGGGGGGGAGCGTATCCGCGCGAGTCGTGAGGAGGGAGAGAGGACGATCGCGCGGGCGGGGGGTCGACGACGACGACGCGTGCCGAGGCGTCGACGCGCGCGTCGATCGATGGAGACGAGATCCAAAGCGGACCGGCGAAGCGACGGGTGCTTGAGAAATTCTCTTTCCTGAGGTGCGTTCTATACAAAAGTTTTTCACCCATCGCCCGGTTTCAACATTTGATCGCGTCCCCTATCAACTGACCGGTGAACTGTTTTTGTATGGAACGGCCCTGACAGGACGAGCAGCAGTGCAGGTGGACGTTTTCGCGCGTCAGTCGCGTCGCCGCCGTTCCTTCTCCTCTCGCGTCTGTCTTAATTAAATGAATAAATACGCGACGGACATAGCGCCCGCCGCGTCCCCTCCCTCCTCTCCTCGCCCACCGACGCGCGCGCGTCTCCTCGCTCGCCTCACCGCGACGTCGGCACGCGCGCGCCGCCCCCCACCTTGGCGTGGATGTTGTTCCTCCACCCGCCGTCGCCAGCGGCGGCACCCGGTCCGGGTCCGTCGACGGCGGCGGCGGCGGCCTCCCGCCTCGCCAACGCGTCGTCGATCAACGCCTCGCTGACCTCCCACAACGCCTCCGCCAACGCGTCGTCGCGCGCCTCCTCGCTCGGCGCTTTCACGCCAAACTCCGGCGCGATCAGTCCGCGCGCGAACCCTCCGAGCCACGGGTGCGCGTCCTCCGGCTTGGAGAAGGACGGCGGCCCGCAAAAGTACGCCCCGGGGCCGGCGGCGGCGACGGCGTCGCTGAGCGCCATGTGCGCGGTGAACGCGCCGGCGGTGCGCAACGACGTCGCGAGCGGCGGGTAGTTGAACGCCGTCTTCAATAACGTCTGCACGAAGGACGTTTGGAACCGGAACAGGGACGACGTCGGGACGAACCCCGGGGAGAACGCGCACGCGGTCGCGCCGATCGGTTCCAGACGCTTCGAGAGCGCGCGCGCGAAGAGGACGCCGCACAGCTTGCTGTCCTTGTACGCCTTGTTCCCGTCGAAGTCGCCGCCGTCGACCATGCTGAACGCGCGCTCGCCCGGGGCGTGGCGTCTCAGGGTCGTTCCATACAAAGCGATGGCGGGGTGGAGTTCAAAGGCGTCAGGTGGAGTTCAAAGGCGTCGCGGGCGGGGATTGAACGCGAGGGATGGGCGGAGAGACGCGCCGGGCAAAGACCTTAAGGATCGGCGTTCACCACGCGAACGGGGTCGTATGGGGACCAGTGTGAGAAGAACGCACCTCAAGCCGGTCAAGTCGCCGAGCGTCGGCGGCGCGCCGTTCTTGCCGTCGGGGGAGGACTTATCGTGCACGCACCCACTGGTGACGACCACCCTAGAGCCTTCCCGGAGCGCGCCGCGAAGTTCTCGCACGAGCGCGAAGTGCCCGAGGTGGTTCACGCCGATCGTCTCCTCGAATCCATCCTTCGTCCGTCGCGTCGGTTTGCCCGTCTTGGAGACGGCGTTGCCCGCGCGGTCCGGCGCGACGCCGGCGTTGCAGACGATGACGTCCACGACGGGGTGCGAGTTTAGGATCTCCGCGGACGCGCGCGCGATCGAGCGCACGTCGCCGAGGTCGACGACGACGGGGACGGCGCGGCCGAAGCGCGGGCGCGTCGCGAGCGGAGGCGCCTCTTCGGGCGCTCTTCTGTCGCGGACGGCGTCGCCGTCGACGCGCGAGGCGTCGCCTCGCGCGTCTCTCGCGATCTCCTCGCACGCGGCCGTCGCTTTCTCGCGCGATCGCGCGGCGACGAGCACGGTCGCGCCCGCGGCGTACAGCTGCTTGCACGCCTCCTTCCCGATCCCGCTGTTCGCGCCCGTGACGACGATCACTTTTCCGCGCGCGGCGTCTTCCTCGATCGGGTCTAATCCTCGAACGGATCGATCGACCGCTCGCGACGCGCGCGCGGTGACGACCGCTCGCGACGCGCGCGCGCGCCTGGAACGGCGCGCGCGGTCGCTTCGAGCGCCGATGCACGCCGGGGATGCGATAGCGGACGCCATGCTTCTCCGCGCGTCGCCTCTGCGCGGGCGGCGGCGACGTTAACAATCTTATCGCGTCGAAGAAAGAACCTCAAAAAGCGCATCGCGACTTCGCAGATTCGCGTTTTCCGATTTTCGCATTTCCGTTAGGGTAGAAGTTGGGCCTTTATACCAGGTTACGTATTGCGACCAGTCTGGCGCGTCGGAATCCACGTGCACCGCTCACCGATCTGACCGATCTGACCGATGCCGCGGGGCGCGTTTGTGCCCCTCGGTTCGTCCGACCGCGCGGCCATTCGTCGACGCGTCCTCGCGGACGGCGCGTCGTTGGTCTCCCGTCGTCGCGCGGCGCGGCGATCTCGAGATGCACGCGCGGCACGTCCAGCACGCGGGGGGCATCGGGCATCATGAGATGTCGCAGAGGATGCCGAGGCACTCCTCGGGCGGCGGCGTGTCCGTCGGCGGGACGATGACCGAGCTCATGACGCCGATGCCGCCGTCGCCGAGGAACCGATCGCCGCCGCCGGAACTCAGAGGCAGAGAGCGCGGGGGGACGCTGAGCGGGAAAGGGAAGCAGAGGCGACGCCTTCGGAAGCGGTACCCCACGCTCGCGATCCTCGCGACGCTCATGGTGCTGTGGACATTCTCCACCGCGATTTATCACGTCGTGATGGGGTTCCAGAAGGTGTACATCCGGTCCATGTTCTTCAGCATCGAGAGGCCGCACTACTGCCCCCCGAGCACGCCGGCGCCGCAGGACATCGCGGACGACGATCCCATAGAAGGGTTGCCCCCCGCGGACATGAAAGACCTCCCGTCGCCGATCCCGTCGGGGAAACCCAAGGTTGGCATCGTCTCGCTGTGCGATCACAACGTCGACGCGATCTGCTCCGCGTCCGTCGCGAACAAGCAGGCGTACGCGGACCATCACGGGTACGACGTCATCGTGGACGGCGACCTCATCGACGAGTCGCGGCCGACGAGCTGGAGTAAGCTTCTCGTCATGCGGAAGTACCTCCCGTATTACGACTTTTTGTTTTACGTGGACGTGGACACGGTGATCACGAACGTGGACGTGAAGCTCGAGGACGTCGTGGACTACGGGTACGACCAGATCCTCGCCGCGGATAAGAACGGCTTGAACTGCGGCGTGTGGTTGATACGAAACACGCCGTGGAGTCTGTGGTTCTTGGACGAGATGTGGGCGCAAGAGCAACTCGTGTCGCCGCGGACGTTTGTCCTCTTCAAGTTTGAACAACGCGCAATGCACTTTCTGTATCAGTCGCGGATATGGCGCACGAGCGTGAAAGGCGACGCGTACAAGGGCGCGAACACGATCCGAGCGCGGACGAAGGTGGTGAACAGCTGCGTGTTTAATTCCCTGCCGGCGTGGTACGTGAAGGGGGACTTTTTAGTGCACCTCGCGGGGTTGAAGGGCGTCGCGAAGTGCATGATGTTTCGGCACTACTACGCCACGGCGCAGAGCGAGATCGTGGGGAAGTACGGGCGGCTCAGCGCGGAGGCGGACATGCCGCCGCCGAGTCTAGGTACGTGTTTGTTCGGGAGTATTTAGTCACATTTTGGAAGTAGACGAGAGGGGGCGTCGGATCGACGCGTGTCGATCAGTCGCTGCGCAATCAGAATTCTCATCAGCCGAGAGTATAATGAGGGAGCAGATCTCGCAGCCTCGCCCCACACCTCCCGCACGCGCCCGCACGCCGTCGCTCGCGATGATCGCGTCATCGCGCGCGCCCGCGCCCGCGCGAGCGCCGTGGCGACGTCTTGCGAGACACCCCGCGGTTGGACGGGGACGCCGCGCGAACGTCGTCGCGGCGGCCAAGGCGGCGGACGCGGAGGCGCCGAAGCTTTCGTCGAAGGCTTCCTCGAAGAAGGCCTCCTCCTCCTCCTCCTCCTCCGCGACCGGCACCGCGGTGGGCGCGCCGGCCACGATCTTCGGGCTCCCCCCGCCCACGCCCGCGCAGACCGCGGGCATGTTCGTCGGCGCGTTCGTCCTCGCGAAGGCGCTCTTCCGGACGCGGTCCGCGCTCGGCGGACGACGACGGGGATCCGTCGCCGCGCTCGAGGAGCGCGGCGCCCTGGACGAGAACCGCGACGTGGACGAGGAAAAGTTCTTCAGAGGGATGATGAAGTCCGTTCGAACGGTGGAGATGCCCTCGCTGACGGAGGCGCAGATATCGGCCGCGAGGGAGCGGCGGCGGCGAGCGCGCGTCGAGGAGGACGGCGGTTCGCTGAGGGACGTATCGTTGCCGAAGAATCATCCGTGGGCGACGAGCGACGGCGACGGCGACAGCGCGGAGGAGCGGAAGAAAAAGGCGGACGCGGTGAGGGAGGCGAACCGGCCGAGGACGCGGCAGCGCGGGACGCCGCCGCCGGAGGCGTGACGCGCGCGCGAGCGTCCACCTCTGTGTGGGACGCGCTCTCGCGTGAGACTACGTATAACGATGAGTCGTTCGCGTCTCGACGTCCAATCATCGTCGCTAGAGTTCGACGCGGGGTTCGTCCGCGCGCATGTACTCGCCAACCTCCACGTCCGGCCGCGCGTACCCCCCGTCGTCTAGACTTCCATCGCCGCCGTATGAGTACGCGTCCGCGGCGGCGGCGTCCGCCGCGCCGTCCAGGAACGCGTCGTCGTCCGCGACCGCCGCCGCCGCCGCCGCCGCCGCCGCCGCCGCCGCCGCGCCGTTCCCTTTCCCCTCGCGCTTCGCCCTCGCGCTCGCGCGCTTCCCCTCCTCCACTGCTCTCGCGGCGGCCTCGCTCGCCTCTCTCAATCGCCTCGCCGCGCGTCGCCGAACGTGAAACAACGGATGAAACCGCGCCAACAGCGGCGTCCGCTTCAGCGCAACGTGCGCGCACGCGAGAAGGAAACACGCGAACCCGACCCACAGCACGATCCGCGCTCGGACCGCCTGCCGCTCGATGACGGTGAGCATGCCGCTCCCGCGCTTGAGCGCGCTCCTCTGATCGCCGGCGTACTCGTCCGTCGCGCTCTTCAGCGACGCCCTGGACGTCGCCATCGCGTTAAGCGTCGCCTCGCCCTTGATGAGTTCGTCCGCCATCGTCGCCCTCGCGCGTCGCAACCCCGCGGTCGCCTCGGACGCGAGCGCGAGCGCGGGCGTCTCGTCGCGCGCGCGCGGCGTCTTCTTCTTTCTCGTCGCGGGGTCGTTCTCGCCGAGGAGCGCCGCGCGCGCGTCCGCGTCGTTCGCCACGTCGCAGTCCCTCGCGCGCCCCTCCTTCCCCTCCTCCTCCTCCTCCTCCTCCTCTGGCGCTCTGTTCGCGGCCTCGAGCGTGGCGTCCCTGAGGATGCGACGTATCCCGTCGTGCGACGCGACGCGTTGCTCGAGCGCGTCGAGGACCGCCGCGCGATCCGTCGCCCTGTCCTGCTCCTCCGCGATCCCCTCGAGCTCTCTGAGCTCCCTTCGGAGCTTCGACATCCCGACGCGCGCGAGATGCGCGGGGTCGCGCTTCATCTTTCCTCCGCCCGCGGCGAAGGACGACGACGACGCCGCGCCGCCGCCGCCCGCGACGCGGTCCACCGCGGCGAGGATCCCGCGCTCGAGCTCCTTCATCCTCGCGACCTGCGCGGCCGCGTCGGCGGGGAGGGTACCCCCGGACGCCATCCCGGCCGCGCGCCGGGACGACTGAAAGTTTGCTGTCGTCAACTCTGCTTTGCCCACGCCACGCAGGCAAATGCCGCGCATTCTGCTTCTCGACGCGTCTGAGCGTCGATCGTCGGTCGCGATCACAGAGTTCGTCGTCGCGCGGCCCGATCGCCCGCGAAAGAACACCGCTCACACGATGGCGAATACCGCGGACTCACCCGCCGCGAGAGCGTTGCAGGCGGCCGCCGCCGCCGGCGCTTCGCTCGGTGCGCGATCGTCCCCGCCCCGCCCCGCATCCTTTCCTTTCCTCGCCCTCGCGATCGATCGAACGAATCATCCTGACGATTCATTCGACGCTCCCTCCCCATCGCAGCCTCGGTCGTCGCGCCGAAAGGCCGGGACCTGACCCCGGGCGTGGACGCGACGTACGACATCGAGTCCCGCGTCGAAGGCGAGGAGCAGCCGCAGCTCGAGGTCTCCCCGATCACGGTCTACGCGACCGAGTACGCGGAACGGTGCGCCGTCGTCCGCCTCCTCCTTCCAACTTCGTCGTCGTCTCGTCATCGAGCGATCGATCATTCGTCGCGCGTGATCGCGCGCCCCTCCGGATCCGCGCGCGCGTCCTCCGCGCGCGCCTGTTCCCCGACGCGCCTATTCACCCCCGCGCGTTCGTCGCGTCCACCTCGAACGCGCGCTCATCCGCACTCCATCCCCGCCCCGTCCCCCGCGTTTTCGTCCCCCGCAGGCAATTCTCGCAGATCGCCGTGAACGCTCGATACATCTGCTACGGCCTTCGCGCCGGGCAGGTCCGCGTCCTTCACAAAGACACCGCGTCGCGCGCGCTCCTCCGCGGGCACACCGCGCAGATCGCGGACATGAAGTTCGCGCCGAGCGCGAAGGACGACATCCTCGCGTCGTTCGGCGTCGACGGCTGCCTCTTCGTCAAGCGCGTCGTCGCGGGCGACGGCGGCGACGCCGTCGACGAGAAAGCGCTGCTCCAGATCACCGTCTCGCCGCCGCCCGCGGACGTCTCCTCGCTCGTCCCTCGCGTCGCGTGGCTCTCCAAGTCCGAGCTTGTCGGCGCGATCGGCGACGCGATCTTCGTCGCGACCGTGGACGTCTCCAAGAACGCCGCCGCGAGGGCGCTCACGGTGGATGTCTCTTTGCTCGGCGAACCGTGCGACGGCGTCCACGTCATCGCCGCCGCGACCGGGAAGCCCTCCGTGACGGACCTCTCCGTGTCGCTCTCGGGAGACGGGCGGCTCGCGGTCGGGTACGCGGACGGCACCGTGCGCGTGTGGTCCCCACGATCGGGGGAAACGGACGAGTACAAGCCGTCGCCGTTCTTCGTGGACCAGGCGCGTTCTAGTATCACACTGGTTCCCATACGACCGCGTCGGCGTGGTGGACGCCGATCCTTAAGGACTTTTCCCGGAGCGTCTCTGCGCCCACCGCTCGCGTTCAATCCCCGCCCGCGTTGCCTTTCAACTCCGCTTCTGACGCCTTTCAACTCCACCCCGACGTTCAGACGTTTTCTCCGTGCGACGACGCCGTCGCGTCGGTGAATTGGGTCGGCGCCGGCGCGGTGGTCGTCGGGAGCGCGCAGAACGCGTCCATCGCGCTGTGGACGCTGGGCGACGGCGACATGAACGGCGCGGAGGCGACGCAGACGCTGTCGTTCGCGCCCGAGGACGACGTCTACAACTTCACGTGCGCGGCCTACCCCGCGGCGCGTCTGGTGCTCCTCGCGAACCTTCGGAAGCAATCCGTGTACGCGGTTCACCTCGCGAAGGACGGCGCCGGGTTCGATTACGTCTCCGAGTTTTCCGTCACGATGCCGGTGCTGTCGTTCACGGCGCTCCGCGAGGACGACGACGAGCTGTCGCTGCAGCTGTATTGCATGCAGACGCAGGCGATTCAGCAGTACGCGTTGCATCTCGATCGGTGCCGCCCCGAGGGAAGCGCGGGCGGCGAGGCGGCGGACGAAGCCGAGATCGCCGCCGCCGCGGGCGACAGCGAGAGCGAGAGCGAGAGCGAGGAGGAGAGCGAGGAGGACGAAGCCGGGGACGACGACGCGACGGTCGCGATCCCGGCCGCCGCGGCCGCCGCCGCCGCCGCGAGCGGAGGCGGATCCCCCGGGACGCCGAAGCCGAGCACGCCGACACCCGGGAAGTTGCTCACCCCGGGTGAGCTCATGTCCATGGCCGCGGGGGGAAGCGCGCCGAAGAACGGCGGGAGCGCGTCCCCGGTCGCAGCCGAGCCGGAACCCCCGGTTGCGGCGCTGCCGAAAGCGAAACCGAAGAAGCAGGGAAATGCCCCCCCGCCGCCGCCGCCGGGGGGCGCGAGGCATCCGCCGCCGCCGCCGCCGCCGCACGGGACCCCGCACCCCGGCGACATCGCGGCCGCGATCAACGGCCTCCGCGCGCAGCTCCTCGCGGACGTCGTCGGGCTCGTCAACGCGCAGCGCGAAGACCGCGAAGCCGCGGAGCGCGAGCGTCAGAAGGAGCTCCTCATCGCCGTCTCTGCGGCGATCACGCGCGACCTCCCCGTGCAGATCGAGAAGCTCCTTCGTAAGGAGCTCAAGTCGTTAGCCCCCGCGGTGGCGTCGGAGATCGCGGCGAAGACGAAGCAGGGCGGCGGGAACGGTGCGAGCGAGGCGAAGGCGATCAAAGACGCCGTCGCGCCGGCGTTGCAGCAGGCGATGGAGAACGTCGTCGTCCCCAAGTTTGAACGCGCGTGCGGGGAGATGTTTGAACAAGTGCGGTCCACGTTTGAGCGCGGGATGGACGACATCGCGACGGAGCTGTACACGCAGAAAGAGAACGCGATCGCCGCGGAGGTTGGCCCACTCGTGAGCTCCCTGCGCGCGGCGTCGAACGAAGTGCGATCCGCGGCGGAGATTTTGCTCACCGACGTCCCCGCGGCGGCGGGCGCGTCCTCCGCGCCGCCCGCGTCGGCGCAGCCGACGTCGCTCGCGGACCTCGAGTCGTCCATGGACCCGACGATCGAGCTCGGGAGATTAGTCGACGAGGGGCAGCTCGAGGACGCGTTCACGAAAGCGTTGGGGTTATCCTCCGTCGAGATGGTGACGTGGGTGTGCGGCAAGGTGGAGCCCGCGCGAGAGGCGATCTTCGGGCAGTCCCCGGCGCCGCTGTCGCAGGGCGTCTTGCTGTCGCTCATGCAGCAGCTGTCGTGCGACCTGGACGAAGAGCCGACGCTGAAGCTCGCGTGGATCCGCGACAGCTGCCTCGCGATCGACCCCTCGGACGCCATGCTGTCCGCGCACATGCGACCCATTCTCGAGAGCGTGTTCGGAGGGTTACACGAGGCGAGCCAATCGCCGGCGACGCCCGCCGCGGTGAAGGGCGACTTGAGGTTATGCGTGCACGTCGTGAACTCTTTGCTCACGGCGTGCAGGTGAAGCGAACGAAGGGGTTCGTCGCGACGCGACGTGACGAACGCTCGAGAGGGACTGGAGGCGTTTGATTTAAGAATCGAGTCGGTCTGTGAAATGACAAACGTCTAAAACGTTCACGCGCGCTGACGCGACAGCCCCGCCGCCGCGCCGCGTCTCCTTCTTCTCGTCCTCTCGAGTCCGTCGCCGTCAGTCTTCTTCCACGCAATCGCAACGTCGTCGTCATCTTCATCGTCGTCGTCGACCGTCGTCCCTCCCGGGCTATCGCTACGCTACTCCTCGTCCTCCTCTCTTCTTCCCCCATCGCGCTCCCGCTACCGACTGCGGGGTCTCAGTTCAGAAACTGCAGCGCGAGCTCGTTCCACTTCTCCGGCCCGTCGTTCTCCGCCTGCGTCGCCGCGTCGTCGCCGTCGTCCCCGGGGACTGAGATCCCCGGCGGGATCTCGATCTCGTCGAACGGGAGGACGTCCGCGCGCCACTCGTCGTCCACGATGTCCAGCAGCGCGCCGGTGCGGTACGCCATGACGGTCGCGTCCGTGCCGGACATGACCGCGCGAGGGGTGGAGGGGGCGGGGCTGGGTCCGCGCGCGCGGGAATGACGACGGAAGGGTTCGTTCGCGCGCGCAGTTCGAACCGAACGAGCAAAAAATTTCCTCGCTCGTCGCGCGCCGCGCGTCGTCCTGTCGTTGTTTCGGAGAGAATTGTCAGCGCCGACGCCACTCTCCATCCCGCCGCGCCGGGTAGGGTTCCCCCCACGCGAAGACCTTCCCCCCGCATCGATACACGCGTACACGATGCCGCAGAAGGCGCTCGGGAAAGGGAAGAAGATCCCGCGCCTCGGGAAGAAGGCACCCGCGATGAATCGACACGGGAAGCTCGCGAAACAGAAGAAGGGAAAATTCGACAAGAAGGCCATCGTGCGCGGCGCGAACGCGACGACGGATTACTTAAACTCCAAAACGTTATCCGCGCAGCTGAACGCGAAGAACGAGACCGAGGCCGCGAGACGAGCGACGCAAACGGGAGGAAAGATGCACGTCGTGAGACCGCCCCCCGGGACGACGAGCGAACCGCGAGGACCGAAATCGAAGAAGCAAGGGCCCGTCGTCAAGATGAAGACGAAGAAGGCGTGCGGCTCCCTGTTCTGAGCACCGCATAACGCACATCTGACGGACGTTACTAGATACGTGTACTAGAAGAACACGCAGCCGCAGCAGTCGCACTAGAAGAAGGCGCCCTTTCCGCCATCGACGAAAGACGATGGCGGAAGCGGGCGAGGGCCTCATCGAGAGCAGAGCCGGCGGCGGCTTGGAGCTCGCCGTCCGCGTCGTCAACGACAGGACGTCCTTCGTGTCGCTCCCCCGGGACGTCCTCGCGTCCCTGACGGCGCGGTCCCCCGCGCTGCCGCTCCCGCTGGCGTTAACGCCCGTGGAACGGTGGTTAAAACGCCGAGGAGAGACGGCCGGACCGACCACGCCGAAGCCAGCGTTCGTGGCGTGGGCGGGCGCCGCGAGCGACGGGTTCGGCGTCGTCGACGTCCCGGCGGCGACGGCGGATTGTTTACGCCTTCGCGACGGCTGCGTCGTGCGAGTCACCGGGCGCGCGGCGTCGCCGCACGCGACGGCCGTGCAGCTGTCGCCGGAGAGCGAGGCGGACTGGGGGCTCGTCGTGGAGCACGCCGGGGAGATCGAGCGGAGGCTGCTGACCCAGGTGGGCGTCGTCGCGGAGGGACAGTGCTTTCCGTTTTGGCTGAAGGACAGCGGCGGCGACGGCGGGCCGCTGCGTCTCGTCGCGACGCGCGTGTCGCCGTCGTCCCCGGGAGGGGTCGCGCGGTTGGGGTTAAACACGGAGCTGCACATCGCGCCGTGGACGCCGGCGGTCGCTCCGGGGGCGACCGCCGCCGCCGCCGTCGCGGCCGGGGGCGCGCGCGACGCGGACGCGGACTCGGACGCGGACGCGGAAGAAAAGTCCTTAAGGAACGCCGTGCACCACGCGAACGGGGTCGTATGGGAAGCAGTCTCACCGCCGCCGCCGCCGCCGCCGCGGGCGGTTATGCGCGTGCAGACCGCGCGCTCTGTCGTCGTCGCGTGGCCGCGGCGGATGGCCGCGATGCCCGCGGACGAGGGCGAGATCACCGCGGCGCCGACGTCGTTCGCGTTCGTGTCGAAAGCCGCGCTCGAGCGAGGCTCGGCGATGAAGGGCCCGCGCGACGGCGATTTCGTCGTCGTCGCCCCCGCCGCCGCCGCGGGGGACGGTTCGTCTCCCACCGCGACCGTTCGCGTCGTCGCCGTGAAAGGATCCGCGATCTGCGACGGCAACGTCGTCCTGTCTCCCGCGCTGAGGGATTTCCTCGGCGTCACCCAGGGCGATCGAGTCGTGATGACCAAGACGAGCGTCGCCGAGGCGCCGCCGCCGTCGCCGCCGCCGTTGCTGCGGCTGCGGCCGTTGGTACGCACGCCGCCGCCGCCGCCGCCGCCGCTGGAACCGCAGGATGCGAACTCTGGAACAGAGCGCGCGCGGTCTAGCGCTGCGATCTCGGTCGTGGACGCGAACGCTTCCGGTGCCGCGGACGCGGCGGACGCGGTTCCGGCGGGCGGCGCCGCCGCCGCCGACGCCGACGCCGGCGTCGACGCCGGCGCCTCTCCCGCGCGCGCGTTGACGCCCGCGCACCTCTCCGCTCTCGGGCTCGCCGACCGAGACGCGACGACCCTGAGCGCGACCGATCTCGACGCCGCGGCGGCGGCGCTCCTGCGGCGGTGGGTCGTCACGTCCGCGCGGTTCGCCGGCGGCGGCGGCGTCCCCGTCGCGTCCGGGTCGGTGGTGCACTTCAGGATCGAACCCGACGCCGATGGCGACCGCCGCGACGACGACGACGGCGACGACGACGACGACGGCGACGGCGACGGCGCGGACGACGACGACGACGACGGGAACGAGACGTCGACTTCCGCGGCGCCGGCGAAGACGGCGACGTTCGAGCTGGACGTCCGCGCCCCGGGGGGCGTCGCCGTGCTCTCTCCGTCGGCGTTCGCGTGCGCGCCGTTGTCGGCGGCGGCGGGTGGCGCCGCCGGCGGCGGCGGCGACGATGCCACCGCGACCGCGACCGCGACCGATCTCAGAGCCGCCGCGCCGCCCCTCTCGGCGCCGCCTCCTCCTTCGCGCGCGCGCGCAGAGCTCGGCCCGCCCGTGTACCGCGCCCCGCACGACCCGGGGTTGCACTCGAAGCTCTACGGCGCGAGCGTCGCGATCGACCCCTCGCTCGGCGACGCCGACGCGCTCGCCGCCGCCGCGCCCGACGGCGGCGCCGCCGCCGCCGCCGCCGACGCCGCGTTCGATCGCCTCGCCGTCGCCGTCCGCCCGTCTTCCGTCGCAATGCGCGCGAGGACGAGCCCGCACCTCCCGCCCCCCGGGGGCGTGCTCCTTTGGGGCGCGCCCGGCAGCGGCAGAGGCGCGATCGCGCGAGGGATCGCGCGACGGCTGCGCGACGACGCGGGGTGCGCGTGCGCGGTGGTGGCGGTCGACTGCGGCGGTCTCCCGCGCGGCGGCGATTCGCGCGCCGCGATCGCGGGGCTCACCGCGGCCGTGCACGCGGCGGCGACGCGCGCGCCCGCGATCGTTGTCCTGGACGACCTCGACGCCGTCGCGTCGGAGCCCGCGGGCGACGGCGGCGGCGGCGGCGGCGACGGCGGGCCCGCCCCGGGGGCGATCGTCGGAGAGGTCCTGTGCGACCTCATCGACGCCGCGCGCGGTCGCGGCGGTGAGCGATCCGACGCCGCGGTCGCGTTCATCGCGACCGCGGCCGCTCCCGAGAGTCTCTATCGCGGCCTCGTCGCCGCGGGAAGGCTCGATCGCGCGTTCGAGCTGCGCGCGCCGGACGCCGCGCGCGGCCGCGAGCGTTTTCTCACGTCCGCGGCGGCGGCGCGGGGCACGCCGGTGGCGCGGTCGGACGCCGCGGCGGCGGCGGCGGCGGCGGCGGAGGGGTTCGCGACGGGGGATCTGAAGATGTTGGTCGAGAGGGCCGCGCACGCGGCCGCGGCGCGGGCGATGGGCGGCGTCGCGATCGCCGAAGAAGGGGACGCGCGCGCCCGTCTCGTCTCCGTCGCCGCCGTCACCGTCGAGGAGACGGGGAGACGCGTCGACGGGCGTACGGCCGGTCGCCTCGCCGAGGCGGATTTCGCGGACGCGCGCGTGGGCCTCGTCCCCGCGCCGATCCGCGCGCTCGGTGGCGGCGCGAGCGCGGGCGCGGGCGGCGGGAACGACGCGGACCCTGAGACCGACGGCGCGCTCGGCGCGTTGTCTCGCGTCGGCGGGTTGGCGCGCGCGAAAGCCGCGCTCGAAGAGGCGCTGTCGTTTCCGACGCGGCACGCGCGCGTGTTCGGCGCCGCGCCGCTTCGCTTACGAACCGGCGTTTTGCTGTACGGCCCGCCCGGGTGCGGAAAGACGCTCCTCGCGCGCGCGGCGATCGCGTCCGCGGGCCTGCGCGTCGTCGTCGTGAAAGGCCCCGAGCTTCTGAACAAGTACATCGGCCAGAGCGAGGCTGGCGTTCGCGCGACGTTTCGTCGCGCGGCGGCGGCGGCGCCGTGCGCGCTCTTCTTCGACGAGTTCGACGCGATCGCGCCCAGGCGCGGGCACGACAGCACCGGGGTCACGGACAGGGTCGTGAACCAGCTGTTGACCGAGCTCGACGGCGTCGAAGCGCTCGTGGGGGTCACCGTGATCGGCGCGACGTCGCGGCCGGATCTCGTCGACCCGGCGTTGCTGCGGCCCGGGCGGTTGGACCGGCTCGTGCGCGTGCCGTTCCCGGACCGCGAGGAGCGGCGCGCGATCCTCGCCGCGGTCGCGAGGGACCTCGCGGTGACCGAGACGGGCGGCGGCGGCGGTGGTGTCGGAGAAAGTAAAGTGTCGGAGAAAGGCGGCGTCGGAAAAGTGTCGGACGCGTTGTCGATGGTGTGGGACGACGTCGCCGCCAAGACGGAGGGGTTCACCGGCGCGGATTTACGCGCGCTCGTGTCCGACGCGTCCATGCACGCGGTGCACCGAGCGATCGCAAAAGTGTCGGACGAGGGCGGCGACGGTGCGGATGACGCCAACGCTGAGGACGTGCGCGTGACCGGGAAGGACGTCGCGAAAGCGCTCGAGGGCGCGCGGGCGAGCGTCCCGGCGTCGGAGCGAGAGAAACTCGCGAGGGCGTACGCCGCGTTTGAAGGCGGAAGAGGCGCGCGGGGCTCCGTCGGGGGCGCGGAGGAGTCCCCGGGGAAGAGGGTGTCGCACGCGTAGTGTCGCAGTCGTTCGTTTTCGTTTTGACATTTTGTCATCGACGACGCGACCGTGTCGTCTCTTACCGTGCTGTATGTAGTATCTTTCCGTTTGTAACTCGCCGCGAATATCTTTCTTCTCGCTCGTCTCGTCTTCATTCGTCGTTTCATTTTTTTGGAACTCGTCCGTCCGTCCGGTCGCCGCCGCTCACGCGTTCAACGGGGTGAGACCGGACGTCCCGAGCGTCTCGAGCTTGTTGAACGCCTTGGAGAAGTCGTCGAAGAACTTCTTCTGGTCCTTCGCGTACACGTCCACGTACTTCTTAAACTTCGGGTCCTCGATGAGCGCGATGTCCGACGGCAGCATCATCAAATTCCCGGACGGATCGGTGTACTGAGGGTCATTGCCCATACGAGGCGACGTCGGGGTGGAGTTGAGGGGTGCGTCAGTTGGATTTGAAAAGCGTCGCGGTGTGTAGGGATTGAAACCGGGGGGTGGGCGGAGAGAGACGCCGGGAAGAAAAGTCCTTAAGAAACGGCGTTCACCACGCCGACGCGGTCGTATGGGGACCAGTGTGCAATAGAACGCGCCTGAAACTTCGCCGCCTTGTCGTTCGGCGTCCACTTTAACCCCTTCAACAGCACGAAGTACGAGTTGTTGAAGAGCGTCGGCGTCCCGGACCACGGGCCGACGTACCCGGACGCGTCCGCGTGGCACCTCCCGAGCGCGTGCGCGCCGCTCAGCGCGACGATCTCTTGGTCGTCGAAGCCCATGCGGTTGAACACCTCGCGGATACCCGCGCGCGTCTTCGGACCGGGCCCGTCGCCCTTATCCGCGTCCGGAAGGCGCCCGTCCGGGGTGACCTTCCCGGGGTCCATCTCGTCCACGCGTCCGTACGCGAACGGGATGGCGGGGCCGCCCATGGTCTCGATGGAGACGACGCCGACGTACGCGATGAGGTCCGCCCAGCTGAGGGCCGTTCCGTACGAAGCGATGATGTCGGGGTGGAGTTGAAAGGCGTCGGTTGAAGTTGAAAGGCGTCGAGGGCGGGGATTGAAAGCGAGGGACCCTGGGCGGAGAGATGCGCCGGGCAGAGTCCTTAAGGATCGGCGTTCACCACGCGAACGCGGTCGTATGGGGACCAGTGTAAATAGGAACGCGCCTGACGTCCGGGTGGCGCTTTTTGATCGGCTCCAGCCGCTTGACGGCTTTATCCAAACCCGCGTTGCCGCCGTGCGCGAGCTCTTCCTTAAACCGGATCGTCCCGCCGCCGTTCCCGCCCGTCTTGGTCATCTTATCATACGTCCCGCTGCTGTGCCACGCGAGTCGCACCATCGTCGGGCCGAAGTCGGCGTCTTTCTTCATCAGGCCGACGACGTCCGATCGCAGAGACGCGAACGACGATTCGGGATCAGACGACGACGACGACGCCTTGGACGCCGCGGGGGACTTCGCGGGCGCGTCCGGGGCGAACCACGCGTACAGCAGCGCGTTCGCGGCGATCGCGCCCGCGGCGACCATCGCGTCGCGTCGGTTGATCCCCGCGAAGACCATCGCGTCGGCGTCGTCGACCTCGCACCAGTCGCCGACGCACTCCCCCGACGCGCTCGGGGGAACCCACGCGTCGGATTCGTACTGGTACGCGCGCGTCGTCGATGATGGCGTCGCGCGACGCGCGCGCGATGCGATCGGGCGCGGCGCGCGCGGTCTCGCGACCGTCGCGCGGGTCTTCGCGGATGCGAGGGCGAACATCGGGTGTGAGGGGATGTCGTGTAGGGCTGAGGCGCGCGGCGTCAATGCCGCCACGTCAGATCGGATTTAACAATCCCACGAGGCCAACAACCCTGGCTGCCTGGCTGGCGAACCGACGTCTTCCAAGAACACTTCCCGATCCCGCCGCGCCTCGCGCCCGCGGTCCTCAGACCGCGATCGCGCGCGATGGGACGAGGCGAGGAGAGCAACGTCGTCTACGTCGGCGGTCTGAAGTTCTCCACGGACTCGGACGCGCTCCGGGAGTACTTCTCGTCGTACGGCAAGGTCCTCGGCGCGAGGGTGCGTCGCGTCGCGTCGCGTCCGCCTCGCGCGCGCGGCGATCGGATGGATCGGACCGCTCCTCCATCGCGTGTCCTCCGTCGCCACCGCCCCGCCGCGCCTCCACCCTCCGATCGATCGATCGATCGATCGGAGGAGAAAAAGTTCATAGACCCACTGTCCATCGACGATCTCCTCGATCGATCGTCGCGCGATCGCCCCGACGTCGCGCGCTGACGTCCCCGTCCCTCCCGCGTCCCCCGCGTCATCACCCACCCAGGTCGCGTGGGATCACGACAGGCGCCAGTCCAAGGGCTACGGGTTCGTATCGTTCGCCAAGACCGAGGACGCGGTCGACGCGGTCGACGACATTCGTCCCGCGGTGATCGACGGCTGGCGATGTAAGGTCAACTTCGCGGAGGCCTCCGCCGCGGACGTGGAGAGAGAGAGGAGCGAGAAGAAGCGACGCGACCGGAGTCTTGGTCCGGGTCCGGACGGCGGCGACCGCGGTCGAGAGAGGAGCCGGCGGCGAGGCGCGTCCCCCGGAGGGACCGGGACCGCGCGAGGAGGGGACGAGTCGTCGCGGCGGCGAAGGAAGCGCGACGCGTCGCGCTCGCCGTCGCCGTCGCGGTCCAAGTCCAAGTCCAAGTCCAAGTCCGATCGATCCGCGTCCAAGTCAAGGTCCAAGTCCCGGTCCAAGTCCAGGTCCAAGTCCGAGTCGCCGCCGCCGAGGAGGGACGCGCGGTCCGTCGCGAAGGAGCTGAAGCGCGCGAAGCGATCCAACGCGGAGCTGGAGGACCGAATCGAAGCCCTAGAGCGGATGCTCGACGCGCGGTCGCGAGGCGGCGGCAGTTTAGGCGGCGGCAAGGACAAGGACAAGGACGACGACGACGACGACGCGAGGATAGAGGCGCTGGAGCGGGCGCTCGAGGCGGCGACGGACGTCAGGAAGAGAGCCGCGAATTGGGTGAGCGAGATGACGGAGCGGCACGAGGAGTGTGCGACGCGGAGGGAGGCGGCGGAGGCGGCGTATGGGCACATCAGAGCGTTGGTTCGCGCGGAGGAGGCGGAGCGGGATAAATCCGGGGGGGCGTGGGTGAGCGTCGACTGATGAGGTTGTCTAAATGTAATTGTTGCTAACGAACCTAAGAAACTATGAGAGCATTTCATCTCCAGGGGACGCGACGCGCCGGTTGTTCACCGACGGTCAATCGCCCCGGAGGCGCCCTGTGATGTGCGTCGCTACTATCTCAATCGTGTGGCTTCCCTCCCTCGTCCCGCGTCGGGGGCTCGTAAAAATATGAGCCGCCGCGCGGTCGTCTCATCATGAACCTCTTCCTTCTCTCGTCTCGCACGTCGTCGTCGTCGTCGTTCACGCCTTCATGATGGACATCAGGATATCCGCCGCGGACTTGTCTTTCGGACCGTCCTTCTTCTTTTCTACCCCGCCCCGCGCCTCGCCCGCGCCCGCGCCGGTGCCGCTCCTCGGCTTCTTCGTGGGCGGCGCCGCGAGCGCGGCGGCGGCGTCTCGCTCGCCCGCGGCGCCTCCGCCGCCAACCTCGGCTTCGCCCGCGGCGTCGCTGTGCCACGTCATCGCCCCGGTCATCATCGAGTCCGACCCGGCGTCGTCCGCCTCCGCGGCCTCCTTCTTCTCCCCGCGATCCGACGCCTTGCGCTTCTTCTTTTTAGAAGAGCTCTTCTTCGAGCTCTTCTTGCCGCCGTCCGCGCCCCCCGCGGCGGCCTTCTTCCCGCCCACCGCGCCTCCGGACCCGCGCTTCTTCTTCGCGTCGCCGCCCGCGGACTTCGACGCGTCCGCGAGAGTGGACTTCTTCGCCGCGGCGTTACCGCCGCCGCCCTTCTTCCCCGTCGCGCCCATCCCCGCGTCGAGCTTCTCCCCGACGCCGATTGGAACGCTCGGCATCGGATTCGCGCCGCCGAGCCCGGACGGCGGCGGCGCGCTCGCGGCGCTCGCCCACGCGCCGAGAGTCGAACCCCCGACAGGGTGCAACCCGTTCCTCGCGCCGCCGTTCCCGACGTTCCCGCTGTGCGACCCGGGGTACGACTTGTACTGAAACGCGGGACCGGGCTGCTGCGGGACGAACGGGTGAAAGTGCGACCCGCGCGGCGGGTGGTTCCCCGCCGCTGCCGTCGCCGCGTGCCCGGCGCCGATGATCTGCGTCACCTCCTCCTGCGCCTTTCGCTGATGCGAAAAGTACGGGTTTAGGGCCCCCGCGAACGGGTAGGTACCGGGCATCTGCATCTGCATCGATGCGGGGAGCGGCGCGCCCGCCCCGGCGGGGCGGCCGTGTTGAGACGCGAAAAAAGCAGCCGCGGCGTACGGATCCATTCCCCCCGGGTGCGTTCCCGACGCGTTGTGCGCCGCGCCCGCGGCGCCGCCAAACGCGGCGGCGTACTGCGCGGCGTAGTACGCCATCCACTGCTCTTGCATCACCCGCGCCGCGTGCGGCGGCGGCGCGGCGCCGTGCTGCGGAAACGATGAAACGTTTTGCGCGGCGACGCCGACGCCGACGCCGGGCGCACCCGGCGCCGTCGCGCCCGCTCCAGTCGGCGCCTTCCCGCCGACGCTTAACGCCGGGAGATGGTCGCCGCCGCCTTCCTCTCGCCACGGCCGCGTCGCGCGCTCGTACGCGCGCTCGGACTTGTGCTGCTGCGTCTCAAACGCCTTCATCGCGGCTTGCTTCGCGGTGAGCGACGACGGCGACCCCGCCGCGATCGTCGGCGGCGCCGCGCCCCGCGCCGGGTTCGCGCCCGAGAGGTCGTCGCTCCCGGACCCGCTCCGCGTGTTGTTATCATCCAGGCCGCCGCTGTCCCCTCTGCCGCCGCCGTCGCCCTTGCCGCTCCCCGCGCCGCTCCCGCCGCCGCTCCCGCTCCCGCCGCCGCGACCGCTCCCGCCGCGCTCGGCGGAGCCCCCCCCGGATCCGCCCCCGCTGCCGCCCCCGCTGCCGCGACCGCTCTCGCCGCCGGACGCGAGCCCGGACCCTTGCCCTTCCTCCGCGCTCAGCCCGCTGCCCGATCCGCTTTGGGGGTCGCCGCTCCCGCTTCCTTGCCGCCCCTCGCCGGCGTCGCGGCGCTTCACGAGCTCCGCCTGCGCGGCGACGATGCGATGAAGCTCGGCGAGCTGCGCGGCGAACGCCGCCTGTTGATGCGTCATCACCATCCTCGCCGCGTTTACGAGCGCGGGCGAGAGCGCCTGATGCATCGACCGCGACGTCTTATCCACGATCGGCGCGGGGAAGTGCGGGTTCATCGGCTGCGTGGACACTGTAGTAGCGGTCCTCGCGTGATGACGCAAATGCGATCGCGGCGATTTGCCCCCGGCGGCGACCGCCGCCGGCCCCGCGCGCGTCGTCGTCGTCGTCGCCGCGGGGACCCCCGGGAGCGGCCACGCGCCGTGCGCGGACACGTCCGTGTTGTGTGTGTAATCTGAATCTCGCAAGTTGATCCGCGTCAGGCTTTCCATCTCGCGGTCGCTCTCGCTGTCGCTCGCGGGGGCGCTCTTTCCGAAATTCATCGCGTCCGTCCACGCTTGCGCGTTTGCCCCCAGGTTTCGCGCGAGCGAAGAATTCGGCGCGGGCGCCGGCGGGTGAAGTGGGATATTTTGCGCCAACGGCATCGCGCCCCACGGCCGCGCGTGCGACGCGTCGAACGGCCCCGCGTGCGGAACCCCTGGGATTCCGACGCCTCTGGGTGAAATTCCCGGCGCGCCGCCGTGCGCGTGCGCGTTCACGCCGCCCGAGACGTGAGGGAGCGGCTCCGCGAAGCCGACGACCCGTTTGTTGTTTCCCTGCGGCATCTGGGACAGAAAGCGAAAGAAAGTTGTTCACGCGGGGAAAAAGAAGGTCCCGTCAGCGAATTGGTTCGCGGAACGCGGGCGTCGCGGGACCGCGCGAGCGATGAAAACGCCGCGAATCGCGCGCACCGTATTCAGGAAAGGGCTCACGACCGGTTCCGCCGCCGCGGACGTGCCCAGGGCTCGCTCGAGCCGGGCCATCTGATGCGAAGGGACGGGGAGGAAAAAACGGGGAGGAGAAAGAGTCAGCATCGTTGCGCCGCGCATCTCCGCATCTCGGGACGCCGCGGTCGGCGCGACGCGCGATTATGAGAACCGAGACGCACCTTATCTCGCGCGGGCCCCTTTCGCGTCTTCGCGCCGCCCGCCTGCGCGGGTTTTCGCTCTTTCGCCGCCGCCGCGGCTGCCTTCGTCGCCGTCATCTCGCGGTCGCGAAAAAGCGCGTTCGTTTTCGACGGAATCGCTTCGCGTTTTAGGCGTGCCCGCCGGGCGTCGGGATGCGAAAGCGCCCGCCCGTCCGTGCGGGTTTTTCTTCCCGCCTTCCACTGAATGAGAGGTGAACCCCTTAAGGAAACCTCGTGCGCGTGCGGGAATCGCGCGCGAGGTGGGTCACCGCGCGAGTGGGCGGTCGAGTTGTGACGGGCGGCGGCGAGACAGCTTTTTAATACGATAAAAATCTAAAAAGCTCACGCCGAGGGAGATCCGTACTAGTTTGTACGCTCTCTTGTGACTGAATGCGCATACTCGAGTACTCGGATGACAAAAAGTGCATCCGAGCCCACCGTTCGCGACTCGGGAAACGCACTTCTGCGCTTGCAGGTGCTTGCGCGCGCGATGAGAGCTGGCGCGAGTTTCGCACATCGAATCGTTAGAGCGGGGAGGCGCCGCGCGAGGCGAGCGCGCGCGTCTCTCGTCGTCCGGAGCGGAGCTCGGACGTCGCGGCGATCATGGGAACGACGGCGTCGAAGTCGAGCAAGTCCGCGGCCGCGCCGGGCGTCGGCGGAGGACCTCCCGCGGGGAAGCGCGCGAAGGCGGGCGCTTCGAGGCGAGGCGCGAGGCGCGGCCGCGCGACTCGGCGCGGCGCGTTCGTCGTCGGAGGGGACGAGACCCCGAGGGCGCGCGACTTCGACTTCGACTTCGGCGGCGGCGACGACGACGACGCGCCGTCGACATCGCGGGACGCGTCCGGCCGCGGCGATGTCGGCGCCGGGCGCCGCGGCGGCGTCGCGAAGCGTCGCGAGGACCGCGGCGGATCCGCGCCCGCGCGACGTCGTCGCGAGCCGTTTGACGACGTCGCGAACCTCCCCGGGGACGACGACGACGACGACGACGACGACGACGCGCGCCGCGCGTCGTGGAGCGCCGCGGACGCGCCCGAGCTCGCGCGCGCGTCTTCGTCCTCGCGATGGGACCGCCCGACGCCGATGGAGCGGAGGAGGGACGCCGGCGGCGTCGGACGCCCGCCCGCGGCGCCGAGGGAAGGCACCGCGTCGAATGCCGCTTCCGCGTCGTCGTCGTCGCGCGGAGTGATCGTCGTCCCGCCTCCCGCGCACGCGCGGAGCGTGAGCCCGCGCGTGAGCCCGCGCGACGTCCACCCGCCGGTCTCCGCGCCGGGAAGTCGACGGCAGAGTCCGCGGCCGTCGCCGGAGGCGACGCCGCGCGGCGCCGCCGCGGCGGCGACGCGGCGGGCGAGCGAGGGACCGGGCGCGGGCGGGGGCTCGGGCGCGTCGTCGTCGTCGTTCGAGACGCCGCTGCAGCGGTTCCAGATAAGGAAGCTCGAGGAGGAACAGAGAGAACGAGAGCGCGCGCGCGCGCGGGCGAGGGAGGAGGACAGGGCGCGAACGATCGCGGTCGCGCTCAAGGCGACGACGAACGCGAACGAGAACGAGAACGCGAACGAGAACGCCGCCGCCGACGCGCCGCCGACGGAGATTCCGACGCCGCGCGTCGTCGAGGCGACCCCCGCGCGCGACGAACACCCCCAGCCGCCCGCTGAGCGGCGACCGAAACGAGCGGTGCCGATCGAATCGCCTCGCGTCGTCGCCGCCGCCGACGCTGACGCCGACGCTGACGCGTCGACGGAACGACGACGGCTCGCGCGAGAGGCCGACCGCCTGCGCGACGAGCTCGAGTTCGCGCGCGACGAGCTCGCGCACGCGACGCGCGCGGCGGTAGACGGGATGGAGCTCGCCGCGCGACTCAGATGGATCACCGTGGAGGCTGAGCGCTTTAGAGCGGTCGCGGCGCACCACGCGACGGCGGCGTCGGAAGCCGCGGAGAAGATGGTCAAAAAGGACGCGAAGCAACGCGCGGCGCTTCGAAAGCTCGGTCTGTGGCGCCTCGTGGGCAGGCTCGGGCTCGAGGCGAGCGTGTCGGAGCGCTCTAAGTGCGCGCTGTTGTACTGGCTCCGCGCGTGCAGGGAGAAGCGCGCGGCGGGCGGAGGCGGCGGCGGGATGTTCGCGTCGGCGGCGGCGCCCGTCGCGGAGAAGCGAAAGAATAAGATTCCGACCGCGACGACGACGAAGAGATCGAAATCGAAACCGAAATCGGAACCGAAACCCAGCGGCGCGGACGACGGCGAGGAGGACGACCCGGACACGGACTCGGACGACGGCGAGCCCGGCGTCCGGCGGTGGATCGACCCGGGCCCCGAGGGGATACGTCGTCGCGTCGCCGCGCGCGAGCGCGGCGGCGGCGGCGGCGCCGCGTCCGCGGTCTCGCAGAGCGACTACGACGACGAGGAGGACGAGGACGAGGACGAGGACGACGACGGGGCGTCGAGCGTGTTATCCTACAGCACCCTCGCGTCCACGGCGAGGCCGGGCGGGAGCGTCGCGGGCGACGACGACGACTCCGTGTGCTCGGACGACGTCGGCGCGCACGGCGGCGCGTTCAGGTGCGTTCACTGTCAAAGCTTTTCACCCATCCCTCGGTTTCAACATTCGATCGCGTCCCCTACAACGTCGTACTGTATCAACTGACCGATGAACGAACTTTTTTTGCACACGTACGGCGGACGCGTCCTCAGAGCGTACGCCGAGGACAAAAAAAAAGCGAGACGGTCTTACAGCACCGCGCCGACGGCCGGTCCCGGGCTGCGCGCGAGCGACCTCGCGAGGCTCGCGCGGCAGCACGCGCGAGACGCCGTCCCGAAACATCTCGCCGCGCGGGGCGACGCCGCGGCGGTGCTCGAGTGGCGCGCGAAGGCCGCGGCCGCGGCGGAGGAGCTACGAGGGCTTCAGCGCGCGCTGAAGAGGGATCGCGCGTCCCGGGACGAGCTCGAGTCCGAGCTCCGCGGGCTGCAAGTGTCCCAGCGCGCGGAGCGAAGCACGCGGCGCGACGCGGAGGAGAAGCTTCAGGACGAGATAGACGCGCTCAGGGCGAAGGTGATCGAGAAGGAGCGCGAATGGAGCGCGCGCGAGCGCGCGTCAAACGCGGAAAAGGATGCGATGGAACGCGAACTCCGCGGGTACCAGACGAGCGCGCGGGAGGACGAGAACGCGTCCGAGCGCGCCGTCGTGGAGCTCAGACGAGAGCTCGCCGCGAGCGCGAGAGAGAAAGAAGCGAAGCTCAGAGAAGAGGTGGACGCGCTGCGGAAAGACGCGGCGACCGCGGCGGCGGCGGCGGCGGCGGCGCGGGAAAAGGAGAGCCGACGCGCGGCGGAGGCGGCGGCGGCGTTCGCCGCGCGCGACGCCGCGGAGGGCGAGCTCCGTCTCCTGCGAGAGTCCACCAGGATCGAGGAGGCAGATCCTACGGAATCAGAGAAGTCGTTACGCGGTGAGGTTGAAGCGCTGCGCGCGCGCGCGAAGGAACGCGAGGCGGCGGCGGCGTCGAAGCTCGCCGCGGAGGCGGCGGCGCGCGAAGCGCTCGAGCGCTCGTTCCGCGAGCTCCAAGCGAGCGCGAGAGAGGCGGCGCGCGTGACCGAGCACGAGCGCGCGCTCGAGCGGGACGCGATCGAGAGGGCGCGAGGTAACGAGATCAAGGCGTTGGAGGACGCGCTCTGCGCGGCTCGGAGCGAGCGAGAGGCGGCGGAGCGCGAGCTTCTCGAGTTGCGAGGGACGGTGCGCGCGGAGCGACGGAACCAGCGCGCGGAGCGCGGGGAGATCGCCGCCGCGGCCGCGGAGAAGGAGCGCGAGCTCGAGCGCGCGATAGGGAAGCTCAAGGTGGAGGCGAGCCAGGCGACGCGGGCGTGGGAGGAGCGGTTGCGTCACGAGACGGCGGCGGCGGCGGCGGCGGCGGCGGCGGAACGCGCTCGGGAAACTGAGACGGAAATCGACGCGCTGCGACGCGCGAAAGAGGACGCGGAGCGAGAGCTCCGGACGCTTCAGGGGACCGTCAGGGACGAGCGCGGGCGCCGCGAGGAGACGCTCGAGCTCGAGCGGAAGCGCCGGCGCGAGGAGCTCTCGACCGAGCTCGCGGCGTTGAAGACTGAGGGCGAGGAGAAGGAGAAGAAGTTGCGGGAACTTCTCCGAGAGGCGTCCGACGCGCGCGCGGCCGCGGAAGCGACCGCGCGCGAGCTCCAAGCGACCGTCCGCGACGAGCGCGAGGCTGCGAAGGCGGCCGCGCGAGAAGCGCTCGCGGCCGCGGCCGCGAAGGCGACCGCGGAGAGAGAGGCGATGGCGACGGCGTTGCGCGAAGAAGCCGCGGAGCTCCGCGCCGCCGCCGCCGCCGCGGAGGAAGAGCTGCGCGCTTCCCTCGCGTCCCAGGCGTCCAAGCGCGACGCCGCGGAGGCGGAGATTCGCGCGCTGCAAGCGAGCGTCCGCGACGAGCGCGCGGCCGCGGAGGCGTCGATCGCCGCGACGAGGGACGGGCTGAAGAAGGACCTCGCGACGGAGGCGGCGCGAAGGGCGCGGGAAGAACGCGAGGCGAGAGAGGCGCGCGAGCGGACGCTCGCGTCGGAGATGGAGGCGCTGAAACGCGACGCCGCCGCGAAGGAAGCGATCTGGGCGGCGAAGACCGCCGCCGCGGAGACCGCCGCCGCGGACGCGGAGACGGCGCTTCGAGCGGCGCAGGCGACCGCGCGCGCAGAGGCGGCGGAGTCCGCGGCGAACGCCGCCGCGGAGGTGAGACTGCTTCCCATACGACCCCGTTCGCGTGGTGCACGCCGTCCCTTAAGGACTTTTGCCCGTCATTCTTCACCCGCGTTTCCCTTTCAACGTTTGACCGGTAAGACGTTCGACTGACCGATCGATTCACCCAGGTGAGCGCGGCTGAGAAAAAAGCCGCCGCCGCGAAAGCCGCGGTCCGCGTCGGCGCCGCCGCGATCGCGAAGAAGCAGCAGGAGCTCGACGACGCGAAGAAAGTCGCGGAGGAGGCGCGCGAGGCGGCGGCGAGCGCGGAGTCGATGGCGCGAGAGCTTCAGGCGACCGCACGCGACGCGCGGGCGGAGGCGGACGACGGCGGGGAAAAACGAAAACGCCTCGAAGCGGAGGCGTCGTCTCTCCGCGAGCGCGCGCTCGCGAGAGAGCGCGAGCTGAGCGCGCTGCTCGAGGAAGAAGCAAAAGCGCGCGCGGAGCTCGAGTCGCGACTCCGCGAGACGCAGTCCACGACGCGCGACGAGCGCGGCGCGCTCGAGGCGAAGCTTCGCGAGGCGCAGGCGTCGAGCCGTCGAGAGGCTGACGCGGCGGCGGCGGCGACGCGCGAGCTCGCGGCGAAGGTGCGTTCTATACACTGGTCCCCATACGACCGCGTTGGCGATGTGGACGCCGATCCTTAAGGACTTTGCCCGTCGCATCTCTCCGCCCACCCCTCGCTTTCAATACCCGTCCTCGGCGCCTTTCAACTCCAACTGACGCCTTTCAACTCCACCCCGACGTTCGCGGCGAAGGAGCACGAGCTGTCGTCCTCGCGCGCGCTCAGGGACGCGATGGAGGAGGAGAAGCGCGCGCTCGAGACGACGCACCGGGAGACGGCGGACGGCGCGACGAAGGAGCGCGCCGAGCTTGAGCGCGCGTTGGACGCGTTGAGGAGGAAGGAAGCTGAGCTCGCGGCGGCGCGCGACGCCGCCGACGCGGAGGCGCTTCAAGAGAAGAAGGCGCGCGAGGCGCTCGAGGGCGCGCTGCGCGAGGTCACCAACACGTCGCGGGCGCGCGACGTCGAGCTCGAGCGCGAGCGCGCGGCGCGGGAGAAGCTCGAGGTGGACCTCCGAGAGATGACCGCGAGCGCGAGGCACGACGCGAGCGAGCTGAGCGCGTTTCAGGCGCGTTTCGTTCTCCTCACGCCGGTCCCCGTACGATCCCGTTCGCGCGGTGCACGCCGTTCTTCGAGGACATCGCCCGCGTGCGCGTGTTTCTCTCCGCCCACCATCCCACGGTTTCAATCCCGACACACCTACGCGACGCCTTTCGACCCCGCTTCTGACGCCTTTGAACTCCGCCCCGACGTCGCTTCGCGCGGACCCTCGACCACCCTCAGCGGGAATTGCGGGAGAAGGAGCGCGCGCTCGCGGAGCTCAAGCGCATGCGCGAAGAAGCGAACGAGGCGATGGAGACGTGGCGCGCGCGCCTCGAGCGAGAGAGCGGCGCGCGCGAGAAGGTCGAGGGCGAGCTTCGCGAGCTGCAGCTGTCTTCGCGCGCGGAGAGGGACGCGGCGGAGAGAGCCGCGGCGGGCGAAGCCGAGCGTCGGCGCCGCGCCGTCGAAGAGGAGAAGATCAGGGTCGAGGCGCTCGAGAAGAAGCTCCAGGCGCTGCAGGAGAGCAGCCGCGGCGCGAGCGCGTCGCGCGGGGCGTTGGAGTCGAGGCTGAAAGAGAGCGAGGTCGCGCTCGCGCGCGCGGAGGCGAAGATGGCGCGGATGCGACGCGACCTCGAGGAGGCAGAGGAGGAGCTGGAGCTGCGGGACGAGGAGGAGGATAAGAAAACGGCCGCCGGTGCGGCGTTACTTCCTCCACGGCCTCCCCCGACGGCCGTCATTCCGCAGCAGCAGCAGCAGCAGCAGCAGCAGCCCTCGTCCTCGCTTCGAGATTCGACCGCGTCGATCGGCCGTGGCTCCGGCGGGCTCGGCCGCGGCTCCGGCGCGAAGAGCCATCCGATTTTCAGCCGCGTGCGCAACAACCGCCACGCCGAGGTCGAGGCCGCGCTCGTCGACGGCACCGTGGACGTGAACATCGTGGACCAGCACGGGAACTCCCTCCTCGCGGTCGCGACGCAGAACAACAGGAAACGGATCGTCAAGGCGTGCGTCCGCGCGGGCGTTCCTCTGGACGCGCAAAACGCGCAGGGGCAAACCGCGATGCACTACGCGTACGCGTACGGGTACGTCGAGCTGGCGGAGTATTTAGTCAGGAAGGGCGCGAATCCGATGCTCGTGAACCAGCACGGGTTGCGGCCGGACGAGGGGTTGTCGCGGGATCGCATGGTCGCGGGGAGCGAGGCGGGCGGGGACTCGGACGACGACGACGACGACGGCGCGTTTAGGTGAGCCAGGAGAGAGAAAGTCAACACACACGCGTAAACTCTCAATCACACTCGACCGCGACGGAAAAAATCCACCGATGACTTTTGACCGGTCGTTGATCGGAATCGCTCGCCTCCACGCGGCCATTTTCAAAGGCAAACTCGTCCAGCTCGTCAACCGAGACAGGATTTCAGCCATGGATCCAGCCAATCATCGCCGAGGATTCCGTCTCTCGCACCCTCCCATCCCACCGCCGAGAGCCCACCCCGCTCTCCTCCGCGGGGCATTATCGCACTCGCAACTCATCCGTCGTCAGGTACGCACGCAGTACGCGCGCGCGACTCGCCCTGATCGCGCGGCGTCGCCGTCGTCGCGCCCGCGCGCTCTCGAACCCCGCGCGCGCTCGCGCGTCGGAGCTGCCAGACCCGGAGAAATAAAATGAATGCCACGATCGATCGGTCGATCGAACGAACGAACGACCGTCGCGCTGACGCCGATCCCTCTCTCCCGTCGTCTCCTCCGCAGACAAAACCTCCCACGCAAAAATGTTCGCCCTCACCCAGTCCGCCGCCGTCGCCCCCGCGCGCGTCCAGGTGCGCCTCCGCCCCCTCCGGAACCCGCACGCGAGCGCGAACTCGCGAGACGCCGCGCCTCTCGATCCGATCGATCGCGAAAAAATAAAACCGCGTCGAGACTGACGAAACGAAATCGCTCGCTCACCGTTAAACCGTCCGTCCATCAGGTCAAGACCGCGACGAAGAAGGCCAACAAGTCCGTCGTCGTCTGCCGCGCGTCCGCCTCCGAGGAGTCCTCCCGCCGCGCCGCGCTCGTGACGTTCACCGCCGCCGCCGCCGCGACTTTCGCCAAGGCGGCGTCGGCCATCTCCATCCCGTCGCAGGCGTCCAGCGGCGGCCTCGGACGCGAGTACGGCAACGGCCAGCTGTCGTCGAACACGACGATGTCCGGGTACACCATGGAAGGGACCGCGAAGGGCGGCCACTCCCCGAAGGTGAAGTTCGGCACGCTCGCGGCTGCGCGCGCGGAAGCGGAGGCGATCGCCGCCTCCGCGCCGGCGCCGAAGAAGTGAGTTGATCGATCGATCGACGGAAGGGTTGGTCGGTCGACCGCTCGTCGACGCGAGCGAGCGAACGATGATGACTTTCTCGATAGCGGTAGGGTGAGATGAGCGACGAGGAGGACGCGGCGCGACGCTCGCGGTGGGATAGGATGCGCTTTTATAATCGAAAGAAGAGAGGCGAGCGTCGCGTTTGCTATAATAAATATGTTCGACGTGTACCCGCGCCGCCGCTCACGTCTCTCGCTTCACCCGCTTCCGACGGTCGTCGTCGTCGTCCTTCTTATCGAGGATGTTCTTCACTATGACGCCGTCCTTGACGACGAGCTTTATGTTGTTCTCGTCCATCAGCACCGTCGGGTCGTTCGCGACGTCGCCGTCGACCAAGATGACATCCGCTTTGAACCCAGGAGATAACCGACCGATCCTCAGCTGCTGCAGATGAGACTTCTCTTTACTCACGTGCGGTTTAGCATTTATATTTTTCATCGCGCGCATCCACGACCACGGCTTGCCCAGCAATCTGCCGGGAGTCCCCGTCAGCGAATTCAACACGCGCGCGGCGCTCACGCCCGCGTCCAAGTGCAACTTGATCGAGTGCGCCTGATACTTGTGCATGTCGCCGAGCAAATCGCTTCCGTAGCACACCATCACGCCCTCCTCCGTCGCCGCCTTGAGCGTCTTCTGCCCAGCCTCGACGAGGTCCGCGACCTTGTCCACCATCGCTTGAGACATCCCGTTCGCGACGCCGTCGATCTTCAAGCGCTCGTACGTCACGAGCGTCGGGACTAAATAGGTCCCATTTGCCCGCATCTCCTTCACCGTGTTGCGGCTCGCGTAATTCCCGTGCTCGATGCACGCGACGCCGCAGCGAATCGCGCGCTCGATCGCCTCGTCCGTGTACGCGTGCGCGCACGCGTATATTCCCGCGTTCCTCGCCTCCTCGACGATGCATTTGAGCTCTTCCTCGGAGAATTGCAAATTCTCCAGTCGATCCGTCGGACTCGACACCCCGCCGCTGGCCATTATCTTAATGTGCTTCGCGCCCTTCCTCACCTCATCCCGCACCGCCGCGCGGCACGCGTCCACGCCGTCGCAAACGCGCCCGATCGTGAAGTTGCAGCACGAGCACGCGCCGGACGCGAGCGCGACATCTCCGGCGCCGCGGAAGTCGCCGTGCCCGCCAGTCTGCGAGAGCGCTTTCCCGCAGTGAACGATCCGCGGACCTCGTATCGACCCCTCCTCGACCGCGGTCGCGAGCCCGTGGTCCGCGCCGCCGCAGTCCCTGACGGTCGTGAAGCCGCGGTTGAGCATGCCGGATAGGATCGGGACCGAGCGCGCGTACAGCAGCGACGGAGGCATCGTCGATGGCATCCTGAGGTTCGCGCTCGAGGCCGTGACGTGCACGTGCGAATCGATGAGCCCGGGCATGAGTGTCATCCCGCGGCAGTCGACGCGTTCGAACCCTGTGCATTCTGGTGGCACATTCATCGCGTTCGATTGGATCTCTCTCTCTCTGTGGATCCCTTGGATCTCGTCCCCGAACGTGTACAGCGAGAGCCCGTTCGACAAGTATCCGGCTCTCGGGAAGCCGTCCTCGTCGTACTGGGCACGTGACCCAGGCAACCCGGCCTCCTTGAGAATCCGTGCGTTATCGAAGCAAATCCCCGCCACCATCCTTCCGAGAGATGGACTGGAAGCGTCGCGTCGCCCTCGACTCACTCCACGCGCGATGAATCTCGAGCGACGACCTACGCGTCCGCTCCCATCGCGCCGCGCCACGACGGAGTGAACGGACTCAGATCGTGCCGAGAATTAAATAAAACTCCTGCAAGTGCCCGATCAATTATCTCATCAGCATTGGTGCCATTGCCGACGGCGCGCCTCGCGGGCGCGGTCGATCGCTCGCGATGGACCTGACCGCGGCGTGCGCGCAGGTGGAGCAGGCCTCGCGAGGCCTCGCCCACCCGGAGCACAGAGCCGCCGCGGAGGCGACGCTCTTGGAGTTTCGACGCTCCCCGCACGCGCTCGCCGCGTGCCGCCACATCCTCGACACCTCCGCCGCGATCGAGGCGCAGTTCCAGGCGGCGGCGACGCTGCGCGACGCGGCGCTTCGAGATTGGAACGCGCTGCCGCCGACCGAGCGCGCGAACCTGCGGCAGCACTGCCTGCACCTGATCCTCCAGAAGCAGCCGCCGCCGCCGCCGGTCGTCGCGTCGCAGATCATCAGCACGCTCGCCGTCCTCCTCAAGCGCGCGTGGCTGGACGACGACGCGGACCGAGGCGCGATGCTCGCGGAGGCGGAGCACGCCGTGAGCGCGGCGTCCACGTCGTCGGCGCGACGCGTCGGGCTGCTTCTCTTCGCCGCCGTCGTCGCGGAGTTCTCGCCGTCGACGTCGTCCCCGATGCAGCTGCCGTGGGACTTCCACGAGCGATGCCGCGCGAACCTCGAGCGCGATTTCCTGAAGCACTTTTTCCTCCACGGCGCCGGCGTCGCGCGCGCCGCGTTCGAGAACGGCGCCGCGCTCAGCGGCGCCGACGACGGCGTCTGCGTCGGCGCTCTGCGCTTGATGTCCGCGGCGTTGGCGTGGGACTTCGCGCGCGGCGGCGGCGTCGGCGCCGCGGGAGGCTTCGGCTACGTTCCGCCGCCGTCCGACGGAGGCGGAAGCCGGACACTCGCGGAGACGTCCAACGCGGAGGGATCCGCGAAGGTGACCCCCGGCCCCGAGTGGCGCGACGCGCTCCTCGCCCCCGGGGCCGTGGACTGGGTCTTCGCGCTCCACGCCAGCGCGCACGCGCGAGTGTCAGCAGGCGGGGACCTCTCGAGCGCGGCGCTGAACCTCCGCGCGGCGGCCCGCGCCGTCGTCGCCGCGCTGTGCCAGCTGGCGGGCGATCTCTTTCCGAACCTCGCGGAGGATCCGGCCGGCGACGCGCGGCGCGCGCACTTCGCGCGGTGCGTCGCGTCGCTCAACGGGACGACGACGCCGGCGCAGACGACCGCGGCGAACGCGGCGCGAGGGTTGGGGGAGGACGTCCTCGTGGACGTCGCGGTGTCGCTGAGCGCGTTGGCGTCGAATCATCCGACGGCGTACTTTCTCGCGCCGACGCCGCCGCCGCCGGGTTTAGCGGGGGGCGGCGACGCGGGCGGCGGCGGCGGCGGCGGCGGCGAGGCGGCGGCGGCGGGCGGCGCGAGCGGCCTGAGCGTCCTCGGCGAGCTCACGCTCGCGGTGCTCCACGCCGGCGCGCTCACGTCCGACGCGGAGGGCACGGCGTCGGAGGACGCGTTGCGTCTGCTGATGGACGCGTGGGGCTCGCTCCTCAGCGGGCGGATGACGGACCCGCGGCTCGGAGGCGACCCGAACGCCGGGGTGCCCTCCGAGGTCATACAGGGCGCCGCGCAGGTGTTTCAGGCGTACGTCCAGGCCGGCCTCGCGGGTGCGGCGGCGGCGGCGTTCGAGGAGGACGACGGGCAGGAGGAGGAGGGCAAAGCGGGCGCGGCGGCTTTGGACGAGCGGCTGTCGCTGGCCGCCGTCGTCGGGTGCGTTCTATACACTGGTTCCCATACGACCGCGTTGGCGTGGTGAACGCCGATCCTTAAGGACTTTTCCCGGCGCGTCTCTCCGCCCACCCCTCGCGTTCAATCCCCGCCCTCGACGCCTTTCAACTCCAACTGACGCCTTTGAACTCCACCCCGACAATCGCTTGTATGGAACGACCCTCAGTCGCGCCGCGCCGGAGGCGTCGCTGCCGTTCCTCGCCGCAGCCGCGGACGCGAAGAAGACGGAGCTCTCGGACGCGATCGCGCGCGGGGCGGACCCGACGGTCGCGTCCGAGCAGCTGTGGTGGCTCGCGCGGTTTATCCCGCACGTGCTCGCGGATCCGTTTGACGGCGAGATTCCGCTGCCGCCCGACGCGCTCGCCGAGCGCTCGAGAACGGCGACGCTCGCCGGGCAGCCGTGCCCGGTCGACGCGCTCTCCACCGCGTACGTGAACCTCGCGTGCCTGTGCTTAGACGACACCGCGCGATCCGCGATATCCCCGCGGCTCATGGAGACGTTCCTGTGGGGCGCCGCGCGGTGGGCGGACACGTACCTGATGCCGGAGGACGTGGGCGGGTCGCTCCACGCGGCGGTGTTCGCCGGCGGCGGCGGCGGCGGCGGTCGCGTCCACGGCGGCGTCGGCGCCGGCGCCGGGCTCGGCGCGCACGTTACAAACCAACCTCCCGGCCCGTTCTCCGAGCACGGCGGCGGCGTGCAGGTCCTCGACGCTTTGCTCCGCGTCGCGCGCGTCGCGTTGACGGCGTGGCCGGGCGAGACGGGCGTGCAGGGCGTCGCCGCGCAAAAGTTGCTTCCCGCGTTGACGCGGCGTCGAGCGCTGTGCCGCGCGTGCGTCGCGTCCGCGTCGTGGGGCGCGATCGCGGACGCGGAGGCGATGGCGCTCGCGCAGGCGACGGACCCCGGCGGCGCGGCGGCGGCGGCGGCGGCGGCGGCGCGCGGGGGCGTCGCGGTCGCGGTCGCGAGCGGCGGCGTCGCGTTTCCTCCGGAGATTCACCGCGGCGTGATGGAGGCATTGGGCCGCGCGGCGGAGGGGCTGAACGACGAGGGGCAGTGCCGCGAGTACATCGCGCGGGTGTTGACGCCGCTCGGGGGGGTGTTACACGCCGTCGCGAGCGACCCGGGCGCGATGACGCACCCCGGCGGGGAGAGCCGGGCGGTCGCGGCGTTGGAGGCGGCGAGGGGCGCGGCGCGGGCGACCGTCGCGCGGTCGCAGGCGCCCGTCTTTGCGTTTTTCGCGTCCAACTTTGACGTCCTGATCGCGACGCAGCGCGGCGGCGGCGGCAGCGCGCAGATCTCCAAGCTCGTGTTGCGGCTCACGGAGGAACTCGTCGCGAATCAAGCGTGTTTCTTGGGCCCAACGCACGCGACGGCGCTGTGCCGGCACGTCCTGCGCGTCGTCGAGACGTACGCCGGCGGCGGCCGCGGCCGCGTCGGCGCGGGCGAGGGCGGTCGCGCCGAGCGCGTCAAGGAGGCGTACAAGGAAGTCAAGGCGCTCTTGCGCATGCTCACGCACGTGGTGAACTCGGACAACGGGTTAGACCACGACGAGGTGGGGGAAGGGAGGGTCGCGAACGGGATGACGCCCGGCGGCGGCGACGCGCAAAAGGTGGACGTCGCGCAGGTTGTTTTTCTCGGGTTGAACGTCGTGATCCCTTTGATAACGGACGAGCTCCTGACGTTTCCGAAGCTGTGCCACCAGTACTTCAGTCTGCTCGCGCACATGCTCGAGGCGTACCCGGGGAAGGTCGCGGCGCTGCCGCCGGACCTGTTCAACACCCTGATGGGGACGCTGGACTTTGGGTTGAAGCACGCGGACGCGGAGACGTCGAGGGAATCGCTCTCCGCGCTCGCCGCGATGGCGTCGTTTCATCATTCCTCGACAATCGCCGGTCAGCCCGGCCTCGGCGCGCACAACGCGCCGACCCCGGAGCGCGGCAACGTCGGCGTCCTCGCGCACCTCATGCGCGTCGTCTTGAACCGGTTAATCTTCGAGGACGCGAGCATGGACCTCGCGGAGTCCGCCGCCGACGCGTTGTTGCCTCTGATGCACTGCGAGCGCGTCGCGTTCGAGGACGTCGCGAGGGAGCTGCTGGGGCGGTTGTCCGGGAACCAGGGCGCGATGGAGCACGTGTCGAGGGCGCTGACGGAGCTCACGACCGGCGGGGGGTTGACGGACAGAGTGGACAGGGCGAACAAGAGGCGGTTCCGCAGGAACGTCGCGAAGTTTCTCACGGAGACGCGCGGGTTCGTTCGACACAATTGAATGTATTGGCGGGACCCCGAGCGCGGCGCGTCGACCCGAGGGAGGGCGGCGGCGGAGAGGAACGCGCGCGTTCGCGAAGACGCGGTGCTCTCGCGTATTCTTTATTATCTAGCGGCGGGCGGCGAGGTCGGTTCGGTCGCGGCGGGAGAGCGACGAGACGAGACGTCGAAATGATCAACGAAAGTCGTTTACAAAAACCGTCGACGCCGGCCACTGCTAAGCGGCGGCTCCGCGCGTGCTTCGTCAAAGAATCGCTCTAATGGTGTCTCCGTTCACCCGCCCCCACCCTCATGCTAATGTACGCCCGCGCGAGACGCCGACGCGCGAAGCTTCCGCGGCGCGCGCGCGAACCCCCCGCCGGAACCCAGAAAACCTCCCGAGCGCACAGCTGTGCGGGAGGTTTTAGGGTTCCGGCGGAAAATCGCGTCGCCGCGTCCGGTCGCGTCGCCGGCGTCCGCGCGAACCCGCGCCGTGCATGCCAACACGGCGCCGCGCCGCGCGTCATCGCGCCTTAAATCACCCTCCCCTCAAGCACCGCGCTCCCCTCGCCCGAGGAAAACGCGGTCGCGTCCCCGGGAGCGCGCCTCACTCCGCGGCGCATCCCGCGTCGGAGCAGATTTTCTTCAGCGTGAACTTTTTGCTCTTGCTCATCGGCCGGCACGCCTCGATCTGAACGACCATCCCCACCTGACACGAGTTGTCCTCGTCGTGGAACGTGAATTTCTTCGTCTTGTTGATGAGCTTGAGGTACCTCGGGTGCGGAACCTTCCTCGCGACCTGCATCACCGCGCTCTTCTCCAAGCCGACGCTCACGACCTTGCCCTCGAGCGTCTGCTTCGCGGTGATTTGGACCGGCGCGGCGACGCGCGCGGGGGAGCGCGCGAGCGTCATCTTCGGCGCGACGCGCGCGCCCGTGACCGCGCTGCTCGCGGAGAACGTGAGAGAAGCCATTCTCGTGTGAAGCGTGAGGCGGTGCGTGAGAGCCGCGCTCGCGTGTGTGTCGCGGGGCACACGGGAAATTGCGTTTGGATAAAGCGGGAGAGCGGCGATGGCGAGGGAGGCGACGACGCGCGACGTCAGCCCTTTCCGTGACCGGCGCGTTCATCGCTGGGGCGAATTTCGCCTTTGAATTGACCGCGCGTGCGATGAAAAATTTCCGAGCCTATTTTTTGGGCCCTCAGGAGGTGCGAAAAATCTCGCGGTGAGTAAAATAATAGCGAGCCTACGGCTGCGCGCGTTTCGCGCCGCGTGTACAACAACAGCGACGTCTTCGCGAAGAAGAAACAAAAGAGACCCGTCCGTTATCTTATCCGTCCGTCCTCGCCGGTCCGTCGTCACCGGTCCCGCCGGGCGAGTCCGAGCGCCAGCGCCGCGCCGCAGACCACCCCAGCGGCGAACACCCCGACGCTCCGCGCCCGTCCCTCCCCCAACCCGAGCACGACGCCGTCTAACCTCGCGCTCAGCGCGCTCTGCTCGCGCGCGAGCTCCGCGGCGTGCCTCAGCGCGGCGTCCGCTTTCGGCGAGTCCGCGCGACTCGCGCCGTGGAGGTCGTCCAACCGCTGCGCGATGAGGTTGAGGCGGCCCTCCAGCGCGGGGCTGACGAACTCGCCGCCGCCGCCGCCGCCGCCGCCGCCGAACCCGTGCGCGAACGGCGACCCCGCGCGCGCGGGGGACGCGACGTAGTACCCCCCGCGCCCCTCGATGAGGTTCTCCTCGCTCTCGCCGCTCTCGTTGAGGTGGGACCCGGACCCGCCGGCGTCGCCGTACTCCCCGTGCGAACCCAACCCCATCCCAAACCCCGCCAACCCCGCGCCGCCGACTCCCGCCCCCGGGGGCGTCGGCGGCGGCCGCGCGTTCCCGTTCCTGCTCTGCGGCCGCGACGGCGGCCGCGGCGACAGCGGATCGCCGTCCCCCCACTCGTTGAACTCCCTGCTTCCGCTCTGCGTCCGACGCTTCCGCACCGTGTCCTGCAGCCGCGTCAGGCTCTCGCTCCTCGCCGCGCGCGCGCCTCGCTCGTCCGCCCTGCCGGCTCGATAGGATCCGTTGGGATGGTGGTGCCCGTGCCCACCGGAGAGCGCGCCCCCGTGCCCGAGCGCGCCGCCGTGTCCTCCGTGTCCGTGTCCGAATCCGTTCTTGTTGAACGATTTGGACATCTCGTGCATCCCTCTGCGCGCGGCGGTGACGAACTTATCCTTCATCTCCGCCGTCATCTCCCTCAGCTCGTCCGTCATCCGCTCGAGCTGCACCTGCTCGATGAACGAGTGCGGGACGTACGTCCCGTCGAGCCCGAGCTTCGTGCCCGCCTCCTCGACCGCGGCGCGCACCTTCCCTTGAATCTGCGTGTACGACCGGTCGAGCCCCTCGATCCAGTCCACCTTGATCGTGAGCAGCTCGTCCGACCACGACTTGGACAAGCGCTTCATGATCGCGCCCACCTCGTACCCGAGCGCCATCAGACCGCCCAAGATGCGCACGCCCACCTCGAAGTTAATCCGCGGGGAGATCATCACGTCGCCGTCGCACACGGTCTCTTCAAACATCAGCGTGTAGTGCCCGTCGCGGTTGCGCATGCGCAGCCAGGAGGTGCACGTCTCCGGGTCGTCTCCGGGAGGGAGGAGGTAGATGTCCGTCACCTCCGTCTCCTCCTCGTGCTTGAACCCGTCCGACGAGAGCACCTCGCGCGCCATCGCCTCGTCCACGACCTCGTCCGACTTTAGGATGTACGTCGGGTCTTGGAACCCCGCGAACGGGTTGAAGCTGTTGTACACCTTCAGGTGCGCGCTGCGCAGATCGGGCTCTATGAACGCCTTGTACATCGGATACACCGTCTCGGAGATCTGATGGTCGTTCCATACAAGCGATTCTCGGGGTGGAGTTGAAAGGCGTCAGTTGGAGTTGAAAGGCGCCGAGGGCGGGTATTGAAAGCGAGGCGTGGGCGGAGAGACACGCCGGGAAAAGTCCTTAAGGATCGGCGTTCACAACGCGGACGGGGTCGTATGGAAACCAGTGTATAGAACGCGCCTGATGGATGATGTCCTCGGGCTGCTGCCCGCTGCGATCGATGTCGCGCATGACGCGCTTCACGAGGTCGAAGTGCACGCCGCCGCTGATGGACACGCGCAGGTCCTGCAGGGGGCGCAGGCGGTCCGACAGCGCGTATATGCCCTCGACGATGATCACCTTGGACGCGGGGCACTCCACCGTTCGAGAGCCGACGCGCGTGGACGTCTTGAAGTCGTATATCGGCGCCTCGATCGTCTTCCCCGCTTTCAGGTCGCTCAGGTTCTTGTTCAGGAGGTCGTAATCCGTGAGCCTCGGGTCGTCGAAGTTGCCGTCGAGAAGCATCGACGCGTCGTTGTACATGTCCATGGATAGGACCGCGATGCCGGGCATGAAGTCTTGAATCTTTTGGCAAAACACCGTCTTCCCCGCGCCGCTCGGACCGGCGATCCCGACGAGTATGGGGCGGTCGTGCGCGTTCTGCTTCAAGAGCTGGATCGCGCGGATCGTCAGGAAGAAGCCCTTGTCGAAGGAGAGCTGCTCGTCGATGGACGTCATCTGAAGAGAGAGAGGGAGGGAGAGAGGGAGGGAGGGAGGGCGCGCGAGTCAGAGGAGGCGCGTTCGATTCGGTTCGACGCGACGCGATGTTCAGAGGAGGACGCGTCGCGTCGATCGATCGCGGTTCCGCGGGAGGAGGAGGAGGGAACTCGAGCGAACGACGTGATCATTCATCAGATCAGATCACATCAGATCGCGCACCTCGAGCTTGACCTCCCCGTCCGGCGCCCGCGTCTCGACGACGGAGAGCTGATCTTTGATGAGCCGCTTCCCTCCGCTGCCTTCGCCCGCGAGGTCGCTCCCGATCGAGAGCCGCCGGTCCGCCGGCGTCGACGCGAGCGGCGGCTTCCCGCTCGGGCTCGCCGTCGGGCTGATCCTTCCGTTCGCGTCCATGACTCGCGTTGGGGTGGGTGCGAATGCGCCGCGGCGCGCGGAGGAGGTCGACTCCCCGCGCTCGCGGAAGTGTCCCCGCCGGAGAGGGTTTGAACGCGGAACAAACAACTCTTCTGACAAGGTCCATTCCATACAAAAATAGTTCACCGGTCAGTTGAAAGGGGAAGCGATCAAATCTTGAAACCGGGCGATGGGTGAAAAACTTTTGTATAGAACGCACTTGAGAGAGCAGATGACCGGAACGACCCGCGCGACCTTTCGAGCGCGCCTGGCACATTCGCGAGGCGGTGTTGGGAGGCGGACGCAGCGCGTCGTCGCGCCACACCGTCGCGCGCGGCGCCTCGGCGAGATGGGCGGCGGCGAGAAGACCCGCGATGAGCAGTGGATATCGTTCAAAGGAAAGACGCGACGGTCGATCAAGAAGGAGCTGTCGTACGTGGCGCCGGCGAGCCCGACGATGCGCGTGGCATCTGACGTCGACGCGACGTCATCGCGTTTCGACGACAATGATGTCGACGTCGACGACCTTCTCGAACGCGGCGCGCGGCGTCGCGCGGCGGCGGACTCGCGCGACGACGACGACGACGACGACGACACGTCGTCGTCGGCGTCGTCCCACCTGACGCGCGGGGGCGAGGAGGACGACGACGACGCGGACGCGCGGTCGCCGCCGTCGTCGCCGCGCGCGTCGAGACCGCCGGGGCCGCTTCCGCGGTTCGTCCGCGACGCGGAGACGGGCGATATCGTCCGCGTTAACCTCCGTCTGAACGTCAAAGGCGACGTGTGCCACGAGTGCGTCGGATGCTTCACGACGGTCGGGTTAGACCCGATCGACGACGAGACGCGCGCGGTGATGACGCGCGCGGGATTCACCGCGAGCGAGATCGAGGAGCACCTCGAGCGGCCGCTGCGGAAGGTGTTCGACACGGGGTGCCTCGCCGCGCGGTACGGCGCGTGTTGCTCGTCGAAGCAGGTGCGCGACGACTCGCGACCGCGTCCCGTGCGACGTCGAACGTCGTCGTCTCTTGAGGGATTTCTTCTCCCGTCGTTCACTCTCATTCGCTCTCTCGCTCTCGTCGCGCGCGTGCGTCGGCGACCGACGCGCCTTCCGGTGACCGCTCACTCTTCCTTCCTCCCTCCCTCCCTCCCTCCCTCAAATTTCTCCCTCCGCCAGCGCGCCGGGTGCGGTCCGTGTTACGCCTTCTTTCCGCTCTACCTCACGATGGTCATGGTCCCGCCCTTACAAGCGCTCGCGCGGTGCGCGATGCGCGAGATCGACGCCGACTTGCGCGCGTGGCAGACGCGCGCGAACGCCGCGCTGTTGCATCGCGGCTTCGCCGTGAAAACTCTCGGCGTCCGCGCGGCGGATGCGGACGGTCCGTTCGGCCTCGAGGAGGAGTCCTACGTCGCCGTGGCGCTGACGAGGGAGGAGGGGAAGAGGCTGGGGAGGACGCCGCACGTCGCGCTGACGAGGGAGGACGACGGGCCGTGTTATGGGCCGAAGTGGAGCGAGTATTGCTTGCTGTTGTGACGCCGCCGCGATCGATCGAATCGGTGACGCGAGTTTGGCTCCGGTCGCCCGGTGTCGGGGACGGTTCGTGTCGGGGTCGAAACCCCGGGAAAATTGACCCCGAGGTGTAATTGATCGAAGCGTACTACGACGCGCGCGTACTCTGACTGATTGCGCGTAGAGCGTCATCGCTGACGCGGACGACCGAATTCCACGTCAGCGATTTTCGTGTTCAGTTGTTCAGATTTCACAAAAATTGTGTGAAGATACTCTATGGGCAATTAGTCTGCATATTTTTGCACACGAGATTACGGTTGCGCTTCTCGACACTTCGCTCGCTTTCTATCTACTCCTCAACCATTCCAACACGCGCATCGCACGAGCTTACCACCCGTAAGCCGTCACCCTTCGCATCCGTCGACCACGTAGTCGCACACACAACCGCCTCCACACCCCCCACACCTACATCCTTCAAAATGAGCACGCCTACGACCGAGACCCCCGTCGACGTTTCCTTCCACCTCGACGCCGGCCTCGCGAACGAAGATCCGGAGAACTACCTCGTCGTGCACGAGCTCATGGGGCGCGGGCAGCTCCTCAACGCGTACGAGGTGCGTCTTCCTCCTTCCCCGCGCGCATCTTTTCTTCGGTCGATCGAGCGTCATTCCCTCGTCCCCGCGCGGTGGATTCGCCTCGCGCGCGCGCGCGAGCGCGTCTCCCCGCCCGATCCGTCTCGGCTTTTTTACCCCCGCGAGATCTCGCGCCCCGCTGACGTCAGCTTCCTCGCGCGTTCTTTTTCCTCCCTCGGCGCAGGCTAAGCTGCAGCACCAGGTGCGTCGGATTCCCCCCCACCTCCCGTTATCGATCGCGTCGACACCTTCACGCATCGATACGCGCGTTTCGTCGACGTTCTTCGCGTCGCGACCGACGATTCGGTCGCCGATCCGATCGCTCCCGATGGCCCCGCATCTGACGGGATAATTTCCCGCGACCACCCCTTCCTCCCTCTCAGCACGGCGTCGAGTTCGGCGTGGGCATCCTGAACAAGGGGAAGGCGCAGAAGCGCGAGAAGCGGCCTCCGACGCAGATCGAGATCATGGCCGCGGTCGAGCGCGAGAAGCAGGAGAAGAAGGCCGCGAGGAAGGCTGCCAAGGTGCGTATCCGAAGCGGCCCTCTCGTCCGTCGAAACGTCCACTGCTGACTCGGACCCCGACTCTTTTTTCGGGCCGAAAGATTTTTTTCTCACGACACCCCTTCTCTCTCCTCTCTTCCCCATCCAATCCACAGGAGGCGAAGGTCGAGGCGAGGAAGGCCGCGGAGGAGTTCGCCGCCAACGGCGGGAACAAGAAACTGAGCAAGAAGGAACGCAGGAAGCTCGAGAATGACGAGTAATAGACGCGCCCCGGGCGCGGCTATGGACGGTCGCGCGACAGCTGTCGCCGCGGCGTCTGGAGAAAAAAAAAACTCCCGGCGCCGCGGCGGCCGCCTTCGCGCGCCGCTCTCAAGACCGAAATACCTCCTGCTGCTTCGCTTCTCGTCGGTTTCGACACTGTAGAACAACAACAAGAACACGGTACCAATAGTGTAGTGTAGAACCAGCGATTCATCAACGACAATGTACGAGTAGAGAGTGTAGCAACGAAGTGTAACACACGACGCAAGCGTCGAATAATTTCAACCAACGCGCTGAACCGCGCGGCGCGCGTTCTTCGCTACGTGCTATCGCTATCGTCGTCGTCGGCGGCGGACGCGGGCTCGCGCTTCACCGCGCCGCGCCGCGCGCGCGCGCCGCCTCGTTTCTCCTCCCCCGTGGACGTCCTCAGCGCGACGTCGTCCCTGACGCGCCTTCCCGCGACGACGCGTTTCGATCCCTCCGTCCTCTTCGGCGCCGCGGGTCGCTTCCACAGCCGCTTCCTCCGCACGCCGTCCCTCTTCGCCTCTTCCCTGAGCGCCGCGTGCGTTTCCCTCTCCATCGCGAGCTCTCTCGCGCGCGTCGTCGCATCGATCGCGCGCACGGCCTCGTGCAGCGGCCGTGACGCGCACCACGCGTGCGACGCGCACGCGTCGAGGACGGCGCGATAGTCATCCGCCGCGTCCTCCAGCTTGCGCGGCGGGCGATACAGCTTGCGCGGCGGGCGATGCGCGGGCGGCGGCTTCCCTCTCCCTCGCGACGACGTCGTCGTCGACTGTCCTCCTCCTCCTCCTCCTCCTCCTCCTCCGCCTCGTTCTCCCTCCTCCGCGGCGACGGGCGCTCGCGAGAACGCGCTCGCGGGGGAGGTCGCGAGCGTCGACGCGAACGCCGCGGCTGACGCCGGCATCGCGACGATTTTTTCCTCCCGGTCTCGTTCCTCTTCTCCTTCTCCTTCTCCTTCGCCGTCTTCCCCGTCGTCCCCGTCGCCGCCGAGCGCCTTCTCCAGCCGCTCCTGCTCGAGTCTCTCTCTCGCGCGCTCCTCCCTCGCGCGCGCCGCGTCCGCCGTCGCCGCGTCGTACACGCGCCACAGCGCGTCCGCGTATCGATCCGCCGGCTGCGTCGGCGCCTCGCCGCGCCCGACGGCGTGGTCCCTGCAGTACGCGATGAAGGCGTCCGCGGCGGCGGCGCGCGTCGCCGCGTCACCGCCGGACGTCGCCGCGCGCGCGGACGCGACCGGGTGCCTCGGCTTGTTGTTCGCGGACGCGACGACGGCGTCGGCCCACCCCGCGCGCCAGCCGAGCGGCGGCGGCGGCGGCGGCGGCGGCGCGCCGGCGCCGCGCCACTCGAGCGCGCCGTCGACGGCGACGACGACGGGCTCAGACTCGCGTCGCCGCTTCGCGTCCTCGCGCGCTTTCGCCGCCGCGGCGGCGGCGCGGCGACGCCGTTTCTCGTTCGACGCGTCCTCCTCCTCCTCCTCCTCCTCCTCCTCCTCCTCCTCTCTCTCTCGCTTCGCCGCCGAAACCGCCGCAGGGCTGACGAATCGAACGTCCTCGAACGCCCTCCCGTCCAGGCCGTACATCTCCGGGCCATTCCATACAAAGCGATATCGGGGTTGAGTTCAAAGGCGTCAGAAGCGGAGTTGAAAGGCATCTAGGGCGGGGATCGAAAGCGAGGGGTGGGCGGAGAGATGCGCCGGGCAAAGTCCTTAAGGAACGGCGTTCACCACGCGAACGGGGTCGTATGGGGACCAGTGTGAGATAAAACGCACCTCCTTCAACGCGACGACGACGATCGCCATCGCCCACGCGTGCGGCGGCGCGATCTGGACGTCGCTCCGCGCGTCGTCCAAGGTGAACCGCGCGCGATCCGTCGCCGCCGCCGCGCGCTCCGCGGCTTGGAAAAAAGCCGCCGACGCGACGCCCACCTCGCTCGCGAACCTGGGAGGGAAGGAGGGAGGCGCGCGCGTCGGTCAGTCGAAAGGAGACGCGAACGGGGTCGCACGGGGACCAGTCAGAAAAGAAAACGCACCTCGCGACGAACCCCGCGACGTTCGCAGGCGGGAGCGCGATCCCCGCGACCGACGACACGTGCATCGCGCACGTCGCGATCAAGTGCGGCTGCGGGACGCATCGAGCGACGAGCGCGCCCTTGAACGGAAGCTCATCGTCGCCCCCGAGCGACGCGTGGACGCGCGCCGACGCCGCGAGATACGGCATGTCGCCGTCCAGCGCCCACCGCACGAGATCCCCGACGTGCACGGGCTGCTTCAGCCACGCGCACGCGAGGTAGGCGATCGCGAGCGTGACGCGCGGGTGAAGGTGCGACGTGATGAGCTGGCGGAGGGTGAGCTTGCGGCGTCGTTTTCGTTCCGCGCCCGCCGGCGACGCGTCGTCGGCGTCGGAGGAGGAGGAGGAGGAGGAGGAGGAGGAGGATTCGTTCGCCGAGTCTCCGTCGTCATCGTCGTCGTCGTCGTCGACGCGCTCCTTCTTAACCTTCGCTCGCTCCGTCTTCGTCTTCGTCTTCGTCTTCGGCCTCAACTTCACGTGCGAGGACTCCCGGAACGTCTTCGGGTCGTCGAAGTCGAGCTCCATGACGCCGCACGCGCGGACGTACGGGAACCAAAACGCCGCGGCGACGACGGACGTCTCCGCCGGGCAACCGAACGTCGAATGCAGCGCGACGCACTGCTCGTGCAGGAGCTGGCGCATGCCGTCGCAGTACGTCTCGAGCTTCTCTCGCGTCGCCGGCGTCGTCGTCGCCGGCGTCGTCGCGGCGGCGGGCTGCCGCGACGAAGGGAGGAGGGGCGCGCGCGGATCGATCGCGCGCTCTTGCGGGCGAACCTTCCGGCTGCGGACGCCGCGCCCCGCGCCGCGGATCGCCTCGATCGCCGCGTCGTCGTCCTGCGTCTCGCGCACGACGTCCTGCGACTGCGTGCCGCATCGCAGGCACACGTAGAAGCCCTCGTTCGTCTCGTCGAACGCCTCGCCGCGGCAGACGACGCAGACGAGAACCATGTTGGAGGAGGACGGGGGACGGCGTCGTTCGAACGGTTCAGATCCCCGCGCCGCGCCGCGCCGCCGCTCTTTCGCCTTCAGCGGTCGCGCGCCCGCGCCTCCGCCGCCGCGACGACGCCCGCCGCGCGGCCCTCCTCGCGCGGCGCCGACGACCTCCGCGTCGACACCGCGAGAGACGAAGACGCCGCGCGGGTCGCGAGTGAGCGACGTCGACGAGAGGACGAACGACGAAGCGCATGACGAGCGAGTTCGAACCGAAACGTAAACGCATGGAGATATTACTGGTATTACGAGCGTCTCTCTCCCTCTCCCTCTCTACGCCTCGTCGTCGTCCCCCTTCTTCGCGAGACTCAACGCGACCCCCGCCCCTAACATCCCGACGACGACCGCCAGCGACGCGGTCGTGCTCACGTGCACCCCTCCGAAATCCGCAACCATCTTCAGCCCGACGAACCCGAGCACCGCGGCGACGGCGGTTTGGAGGTACTGAGGGTCGTTCGATCGGTGGGTGACGTGGCATTTTGAAGTGATGTGATTGGTTAGTTATTTGATGACCCGCGTGGATGTTTCATTGGACGACAGAGAGCGACGGAGAGAGACGCGCGCGGGCGAAGTCCTCGAGGAACGGCGCGCGCCGCGCGAACGCGGTCGCGCGGGGGGCGACAGGCGCGCGAAAAACAAAAACAGGTTCATCAGAACGCACCTCCAGCTCCGCCACCATCGTCGCGACGAATGCGTAGAGGCTCCGTAACCCCAAAATCGCGAATATGTTGCTCGAATACACGATCAGCGGGTCCTGCGTCACGCCAAACACCGCGGGTATGGAGTCCACGGCGAACACGACGTCCGACAGCTCGATCACGACGAGGCACAGCAGCAGCGGCGTCGCCGTCTTGACGCCGTCGACGAGCGTAAAAAAATTGTCGCCGTCGTACTCGTCGCTCACGGGAACCAGCGAAGACGCGAACTTCACGATGGCGTTCTGAGACATGTCCTCCTCCTCCTCCTCCTCCTCCGCGATGAGCTTGTACGACGAGAAGATGAGGATGCCCGCGAACACGAGCAGGATGGGCTTGAAGTTCGTGATGGCTTCGTACCCCGCGACAATCATCGCCGCGCGCATCGCCATCGCGCCGCCGATGCCGTACCCGAGCACCTTCTGCTGCTGCGACATGGGAACCTTGAAGTAGTCGAACACGAGCACGAACACGAAGAGATTGTCCACGGACAGCGACTGCTCGAGGAGGTATCCCGCGAAGTATTCCTCCGCCGCTTCTCTTCCCGCGAACGCGCCCAATCCGAGCCCGAAGAGCGTCGCCGCGCCGATCCACGCGGCCACCTCTCTCATGTCCCCCTCCCCCGCCTGCGCGCCCTGCGCGCCCTGAGCCAACGCCGCGGACTCGGGGTCGAGGACGACGTCCTCGTCCATGGAGCCGTTCGAGAGCGCCGCGAGCGGTCGCGTCCGCGCGACGCCGCGCGCATCGCGGCACCGCGACGACGCGGACGACGACGCGCGCTTCAACTCGTTTTCGTTATCCAACGCGCTCGCGGCGCGGCCCGGGGCCCCGCGCGCGAAGACGACGCGAGGACGTCGATCCGCGGCGGCGTCCGCGCGCGGCCCCGCGCGCGCGAAGGCGCGTGCGGTGGCGCGGCACCGCGATGGCGGCGAGGACGCGGCGCGGCGCGGCGCGGTCGTCGCGGCGCCGCCGCGCGCGGCGAGGCCGCGCGCGGCGCTCGCGCACGACGCCGCCATCGCGAGCGCCGATCCTTCCGCGCTCCGCCTCCGAACGCGGACGGACGACGCGCGCCTCCGATCGTGCGCGGCGGCGCGGTCGCCGAGACTCGCGCGCGCGCGCGCCTCGGACGCGCGAAACGCTTCCGCTCGTGCGGCGACGCCGCGGGACGTCGACGCGGGTCGAGACGCGTGCGGCGAGCGCGCGGGCGCGTGCGTCGGCGGTGTGACGGGGGGGGGGGATGCCGTCCACGAGGCGACACGTCGACGACCACGCGTCGGAATTGCAGAATCGCGGTGTCGTTCGAGTGCTCTCGATGAAATCGATCGTTCATCGGTCAGTTGAACGCCAAGAATCCAACAGCCTACACGCGGTCAGTCAGGACTTTTCCTTTAAACCATTCGGTGCAATGCGCGAAGGGATTTTTTCGGCGAAAATCCCTTCATAGGAAATCCCTTCGACTAAGATGTTCCTTCATACAGTTGAAAGGCGCGACGGGCACGTTTTGAAAGGAACGGGTGGGTGAAAAAAAAGCCGAGTTTCTCCGTAGCTCGGAACGCTGCTGGTTCCGTGGCCGGCTGCGGAAATGTATCCGTCATCGTCGGCCGCGCGGGATCGCGACCCCGCACGCGACACCGCGTCCACATCGCGCCCGGGCGCGGTCGTTCATGACCCCCGCGCTCGCGCTCGGCGTCGGCGCGACGCGCATCGCGAACGTCGTCCCTCGCGGCGCGACGCGCGACGCCGAAACCGCCGCGGGAGGCGGCGCCGCGCGTCGACGTCGTCGTCGTCCATCGGTCGCGATGCGCGCGTCCGGCGCGTCCGCCTCCTCCTCCTCCTCCTCCTTCGCCGAGCCGTCGCCGTCGCCGTCCTCCCCAAGCGATCCCTACCCGCGGCTCGCGGTCTTCGACCTCGACGCGTGCTTCTGGAACGAAGAGATGTACACGCTGCGACATCTCGTGGACGCGTCCGCGGAACAAGTCGTCGGCGAGCTCGGCGACAGCGGCCTCGAGGGCGTCGTCGGCGCGCGAAGCGGCGCCGACGTCGTCATCCGCATCCACCCGGGCGCGATGCGCGCGCTGCAGCGCTTCCACGCGGGGGAGTACCCGGGCATGCGCATCGCCGCGGCGTCGAGCGCGGACACGCCGCTCGCGGTGCGCATCGGACGCAGCGCGCTGGACGTGTTGGAGATTTTCCCGGGGGTCACCGCGAGGGAGGCGTTTTCAATCGGGTGGCCGGCGGGGTTCGAGGGGAACCTCCAGATCGGTCGCACGCCGCCGCTGTCCAGCGATAAGGCGGCGACGCACTTCCCGATCCTGCGACGCGAGACCGGGATCGCGTACGACGAGATGCTGTTCTTCGACGACTGCAACTGGGGCGACCACTGCGGCGCGGTGGCGCGCGGGTGCGTGGAGGCGCGCAGCGGCGAGGGACCGGTCGTCGTGCGGACGCCGCGAGGGTTAGGGATAGACGAGTGGGAGCTCGGGTTGGAGCGGTTCCGGCAGCGCGTCGAGGCGCGCGCGGAGGGCGCGACGAGGAGGTGAGCGTTGAGTAAGCGAGATAATAATGTTGATAATCAGATTATGACTCATCATCATTAAACGTGTCGACGCGTCCCGCTCACTCCTCCGCGACAGCTGGCGCCCGCCGCGCGGACGTCAGCATCGCGTGCAGTATGACTCCGGTCGCGACGGACACGTTCAGGCTGTCCACACCGTCGTCGTCGTCCCCCTCCCCCCCCCCGCCCGCGATTCTCAGCATGCTCGTGCACGCCCGCCGCACGTTCGTCCTCAACCCCGCGCCCTCGTTACCCATCACCAACACGCTCGGCCTTCCCCTCGCGTCGACGTCGGCGACGTCCGCGGCGCCCTCCTCCGCGGCGGTGCCGTAAACGTCCCACCCGTCCTCGACGCACCGCATCAAGAACCGATGCATCACACCGACGCTTCGCACGTCCATGCTCTCGAGCGCGCCCGCGGACGCTTTGCTCACGACGGGCGACAACGGTGCGCTGTTCTTGGCGCACACGACGACGCCGGCGACGCCCAAAAACTTGGCGCTCCGGAGCACCGCGCCCAAGTTCTGCGGGTCCACGACCTCGTCCAACGCGAGCCACACCGGCGCGGGCCCTTTCACCGTAGACGACCCTTCACCGTGGACCCATCTCGGGAGCTGATCGATCGGCGTCGGCGTCAGCGCGGACGCGTCCAGGACGACGCCGTTGTGCGGCCGCGGCGGCGACCCGGTGAGCACGTTCAGATCGTGCTTCGACACCGTCTCGATCTCGACGCGCGCGTCCCTCGCCGCGCGCAGCAGCGCGGCGTCGCCGGAGGCGTCGGAGCCCTCCTGCACGAACATCCGGTAGATGGTCCGCCTGGCGGCGGCGCCGGCGCGCGCTCGCCTCGCCGCGTCTCGCAACGCGGCGCGTGCGGGATTTAATCCGTACAACGCCTCGCCCGTCATTCGCTCCGCGAGCGTCGGTTCCGCGCGGTTGCGCTTCTTCTCGTCGTGGCGCTCTTGCCACACCGTTCGCGGTTGCGCGTCGGCGTCGTGAGTGGCGCCGCGGTCGCGCGAGCGGCGGCCGCCTCGAGGCGCGGAGGAGGAGGACGATTCCGCGGTGTAGTACGGATTCCGGCGGTCCGCGTGGGAATTATTATTGGCGAATCCTCCTCCGCGTCGTCCAGCGCCGCGTCCTCCTCCTCCTCCTCCTCCTCCTCCGCGCCTTCCTGGGCGGGGGCCGTCGTCCTCGAAGTCGCTCGGGTCGTCGTCGCCGTAGCCGTAGCGATCTCTCGACGACGGCGGCGACGACCGCGGCGGCGGTTCCTCCGTCGTCCGTCCCTCGCCGCCGCCTCCGCCCATGCGCCAGGAGGAGACGGACGTCGTCGTCGTCGCGGGCGCGCGCCGCGCGGCGAGCGGCGCCCTCGACGCGGCGACGCGGCCGCCGCCGCTCGGACGCAGGCATCGGAGATTGAGTCGGAGGAGCGCCCCGGGGAGGGTCGCAACACGCGTCATCGCCGCGTGTTCTGCGCGTCGCCGGGTGCGTCGGGGCGCGGTCGCGGCGGGCGTTAATAATCGTCGCATTTTTCTTTTCGCCGGTCGGACGGCGCGGCGCGGCGCGGCGGACGCGCGCGCGCGGCGACGTCCAGTCGCAATAATGTCCCGCCTGGACTGAGATCGCGCGCCAAAGCTCGCCCGCACGGCGACGCCGACGCGATCGATCGCGCGTGACGCACTCGCGGTCCCCCATCGCGATGGACCCTCGAAGCAGGCGCGTCTCGCGCTCGATCGCGCGTCGCCACCCCGCGCCGATCGCGCGAGATCCGCCCGGCCGTCCGCGCGGCTCCGCGATTTATTTCCCTCTCCCTCCTCTCTCCGCGCATTCGATCGATCGATCGTCCGATCGTCTCACCTTCCTCGCGTCCGCGCTCCCTCTCCCTCGCGCGCAGACGACCCCGAGGCGGGACGACGGGGTACGACGACCAGCAAGGCCCGCCGCAGGGGCCCGGAGGGTACGCGGACGATCGCGACCGCCATCACCCGTACGGCGGCGGCGGCGGCGGCGGCGGCCCGCGCGGGCCCGGTCCCTCCGGAGGAGGCTACGGCGGCGACTCGTACGATCGGTACGGCCCGCCGCGAGGCGGCGGCGGCGGCGGATACGCGCAGCAGCAGATCCCCCCGCCGCCGCCGAACATGGGCGGCGGCGGGCTCGGCCCGCTCCCGCCGCCGCCGGGGATGCACCAGGGCGGGTACGGCGGGTACGGAGGCGCGCGCGGCGGAGGTGGAGGGATGGGCATGGGACCTGGGGGGCCGGGGCCGGGGCCGGGGCCGGGGCCGGGGCCGGGGCCGGATCCGCGGTACCAGCGCGGTCCCCCGGGGCCGCCGATGGGCGGCGGCATGGGGATGGGTCCCGGGCCGGGGCCGGGGTACGGCGGCGGGTACGGCGGCGGGCCGGGGCCGGGGCCGGGGTACGGCGGCGGCGGGGGACCGGGACCGGGGTACGGCGGCGGCGGGTCGCGCGGCGGCGGCGGCGGCGCCCCCATCCCCGGCGCCGCGTACGAAGAGATCATGTGCCCCACGGAAGCCGCCGGGAAGATCATCGGCCACGGCGGCGACACGATCAACTCCATCCAGGCCAAGTCCGGCGCGCACGTCAAGATTCAGCCCTCGCACGAGGTCGTCCCCGGGCAGCCGCGACGCATCACAATCTCGGGCGTCCCGGGCGCCGTCGCCGACGCCGCGCAGCTCGTGAACGACATCATCCGCGAGACGGAGCTGAAGCACTCGCGCGCGTCGTTACCGGGAGGAGGAGGAGGAGGCCACAGCGGCGGCGGGCGCGATTCGAACCAGATCGAGATGCCCGTGCCGGTCCCCACGGAGATGATCGGACGCGTCATCGGCCGCGGCGGCGAGACGATTCGCCGGCTGCAGGAAGAATCCGGCGCGAGGATGCAAGTCGAGCGCGACCTCGGGAGGGTCATGATCAAGGGCGGGGCGGACGAGTGCACGCGCGCGAAAGAGCTCGTCCTCGATATCCTCAACGCGCCGCCGCCCACCGCCGGCGGCGGGGGCGGCGGCGGCGGGACGGTCCGGCACGTGATGCCCGCGGGGGGTTGCGAGGGGAAGATCATCGGAAAGGGCGGCGACTCCATTCGCGATCTGTGCGCGCGGACGGGCGCGAAGATCCAGATCGATAAGGACGCGGCGTCGGTGACGATCAGCGGGAGGCAAGATCAGGTCGACGCCGCGATCGCGCTCGTGCAGGCGATCATCGACGAGGGCCCGACGGTGTACATGAAGCCCGGGGGCTTGCCGGGGGAGGATCCGCGGCCGTACGAGCCGGGGTTGGGTCGCGGCGGCGGCGGCGGGACGGGCGGGTACGCCGCCGCGTCCGCCGGCGCGGACGGCGGCGACGGCGCGAAGCCGCTGTGGGAGGCGCACAAGTCGCCGGAGGGGTACACGTATTACTACAACACCATCGACGGGTCGACGACGTGGGACATGCCCGCCGACTACGACGGCAAGAGTTGACGATCCGATGGACGATCGTTGATGATCCGATGGACGATCGTCGCGAGTCGAAAAGACGACTGGAGCGAGCGGGGGCGAAGGCGGACGAGCGACGGGGTCTCGTCTCGCGCGGGGATAAATAGTATCGTGTGGCGTCGTGCAAAATAATCACGTCGCGTTTGAAAGCAGCGCTCGTCCTCGTCCTCGCGTCGCCAGAGCGCTGAGACGCGCGACGGCTGAAAAAAACGCGCCAGATCTCGAGTTTTCCACCCACGCCCAGCCCTGGTCCGACGCCTGCAGAACGCGGGACTTTCCGATGCGACGCCTCGCACACGCGTCCGCGCCTCGTCACGCGAAGCGTCGACCGCGGTCCCCTCGACCGCGCGATCGACATGGCGGCCGCCAACGCGGGTGCGTCGTCCCTCGTGCCAGCCCGCTCGAATCTCTCCCGCCGCGCGGCGACCGCGCGCGATCGATCGGTCGTCGCGTGCCAACGGGCAAAAAGGCGACGTTGGAAAGATGAAGATGAAGATGTTCGTTCGCTGACGCCGCGCCGCTCCCCTCGCCCCCCACCGTCCGTCTCCGTCCAGGTCCCGCGACCGCGTCGTCGCCCCCGCCGGCGATAACGCTCCGACGCGAGCCGTTCGAGTTCGGCCTCCTCCCGACCTCGTACCTCCTCCCGCGCGTCGAGACCGTCGCCGCGCTGATTCCGATTCAAAAGCGCCTCCTCGCGGCCGCGTCCGCGTCCGCGTCGGACCCCTCGAAGCTCGTCGTCTCGCACGCGGACGCGGCGCAGTGCCTGGGGATCTCTCACGTCGTCGCGTCGAACGCGTTCGAGCTGTTCCACGCGGTGAGCCCGTCGGAAGATGGCGTCGGGGACGCGAACGCGGCGTCAGACGCGAACGCGGAGATCGAGGTTCGCGCGCTGCTTCTCTACCTGTTCGTCCAGACGTACGCGCGCGCGCACGCGCAGTCCGCGATGCGCGAGTCCGGCGGCACGGAAGAGTGGCCGATCGCCGGGGACGCCGCATTGGACGCGACGACGTGCGATGGCGGCGTTAACGGCGGCGCGGGAAGCGGCGGGAGCTCGCCGCGGTCGTCCCCGGGGAGGGAGGCGCCGGGGTCGCCCGGGTCGAGAGGGAGCGGCGGCGGCGCGGCGGGCGGGGGGAAGGCCGCGGAGACGGAGATCCTGCGCGCGAAGTTCGTGTTGCATCACTTCGTCGCGCTCGCGGGTTTGTGCGTGGACGACGACGCGAAGGTTGGGGGGAAGGCGCAGAAGGACGGGTCGCCGAACCGTGTCGCGGCGGGCGGCGTCGGCGTCGGCGGCGGGGGCGGCGGGGGAGGGGGAGGGGGAGGGGGGGACCTCGAGCTGACCGCGCGCGAGGCGGACTGCCTAGACTTTATATTCGCCCCGAGCGCGGGAGGAGGCGGCGGCGGCGGCGGCGGCGGCGGCGCGGCGTCGTCGTTTAGCTTCAGCGCGACGACCGGGCTCTTCGGGGGGGGCAAACAGACCGCGACGGCGGCGGCGATCAAAGATTGGGTCTCCAAGCGCTTGGCGTTCGCCAACGCGCAGCATCACAACAAAGACGTCGTGATAATCGACGGCGTGCACAAGGGCACGGCGGTGCGGACGGCGTCGGACGTCCCTCCGGGGTCCTCCCTCCGCGTCTCCAACTGCCACGACGCGGTGATTTACCTCCTCGCGCCCGCGGAGTACGCCACCGTCACTCAGGCGCGTTCTGTACACTGGTCCCCATACGACCCCGTCCGCGTTGTGAACGCCGATCCTTGAGGACTTTCTCTCCCGGCGCATCTCTCCGCTCACCCCTCGCTTTCAATCCCCGCCCTCTACGCCTTTCAACTCCGTCTGACGCCTTTCAACTCCACCCTGATATCATCACTTCGTACGCGACCGTCACTTAGTGCGCGGACTGCGTCGTCGTCGTCGGCGCCGCGGCGCGCGCGGTGAAGGTGGAGTCGTGCCAGCGCCTGAACGTCGTCTGCGCGTCGCGCAGGCTGCAAGCGCGGTCGGTGCACGACAGCGTGTTCTACCTCGGCATCGCGCGCGGGCCGATTTTCATCGGCGAGGTGCGTTCTATCTCACACTGGTCCCCATACGACCGCGTCGGCGTGGTGAACGCCGATCCTTAAGGACTTTTGCCATCGTGTCTCTCCGCCCAGGGTCCCCCGCTTTCAATATCCACCCTCGGCGCCTTTCAACTCCGCTTCTGACGCCTTTCAACTCCACCCCGACGTTCGCTCCTATGGAACGACCCTCAGTGCCGGAGAAATCGCGTCGCGCCGTATAACACCTTCTACGAGGAGCTCGACGCGCACCTGAGACGCGCGGGGCTGAGCGGCAAGCAGTGCGACGCGTGGGACCGGCCCGTGGTCATCGCGTCGGGGGTCGGGGGCGGGGGCGGGGGCGCGTCCGGGTCCGGGCCCGGGTCGAGCGGCGGTTCAGGCGGCGGGGGCTCGCGCGGGGGTTCGAACGAGTCGAGCGTCGTAGACCTGCTCCCCGCGGAGAAGTTCGCGCCGTTCATCGTCCCGTTCCGCGGCGGCGACGGCGACGGCGACGGCGACGGCGGCTCGAGCTCGAGCTCGAGCTCGACGCAGGCGAACCCGTTCTCGGTCCCGGAGGCGTACGTGCGGGCGCTGGATCAGAAGGTCAGGTCCGTGGCGTCGTTGCGCGCGGCGATGCGCGACGCCGGGTTGGACGACGACCAGAAGCGGGAGCTTCAGGCGACGATTCAGGCGTACTTCAAGGAGTGGCTGCTCACGAGCGGGAGCATGCGGCAGGTGTACGACCTCGCGAGGATCGAGCGCGGGGAGTAGATCGTTCGATCGTTCGATCGGATCGTCGTTAGCGACGTACGCGCGGTAGACATTTTTGGACTGAACCACCTCGCGTTAGCCTCCGCCCGTCGCCGTCGTCGCTCCCGCGCTTCTAAAGAATTCGCCGCCGCCCCCGCTAGATCTAAAATAACCCCATCAGACCAGATATCCCCCGCATCGCATCGCATCGCGTCGTCGTCGTCGTCGTCGTCGCGTCATCGCGCGAGCGGATTCGCGTGAATGGTGACTTTGTTGACGCGAATCTCCGCGAGCGGCCGGTCCATCTCGTCCACGGGCGTCTTCTCGCACATGTCCAGGACCTGAAACCCGTCGATGATCTTCCCGAATATCGTGTTCTTCCCGTTCAGGTGCGGCGCCTTGGCGTACGTGAAGAAAAACTGCGACCTGTTCGTGTCCGGGCCGCTGTTCGCCATGGAGAGGATCCCTCGGTTCGTGTGCTTCACGGTCGAGGGTCCATACGAAGCGACGTCGGGGTGGAGTTGAAAGGCGTCAGAAGCGGAGTTGAAAGGCGTCGAGGGCGGGGATCGAAAGCGAGGGGTGGGCGGAGAGAAACGCCGGGCGAAGTCCTCAAGAAACGGCGTTCGCCACGCGAACGGGGTCGTATGGGAACCAGTGTGAAGGAGAGCGCACCTTCAAGTTGTCCCGGATCTCGTCCGGGAACTTCCCGCCCCAGACGCTCTGCCCGCCTCTTCCCGAGCCCGTGGGATCGCCTCCCTGCGCCGACGAAGACGTGCGGAACGGACGAGAGGTCGAAGGTCAGCGCGCGTCGGGGCGGAGCGGGGCGGCGGGCCGGGCGACGACGTCGACGCGCGATCGGGGACGAGGACGGGGACGGGGGCGGGGAGCGCGAACCTGAACCATGAACCCCTTGATGTTCCTGTGGAACGACGTGCCGTCGTAGTACCCGCTCGCGCACAGGGCTAAGAAGTTCTCCGCCGCTCGCGGGGTGTCCTCGCAGAAGAGCTCGACCTTGAGGTCCCCGAGGTTCGTGTGCAGCGTGCACGACATCGCGGCAGCGGTGGCGGCGGCGGCGATCGAAGGCGTCGCGCGGAGTGGCGGGGGAAAGGAAGAACGTGCTTTCTAATAAAAATTCGTGACGGCGACGACAGACGGAAAAATAATGATCGATTCGTCGCATGACAGCCCGCCGCGGAGCGAGAGCGTCGGACGCGCGGGCGACGTATGTACAGAGTCGTAATACAACCGTTCGATTTCTGTTCGAGTTCGTTCGTTCGTCGGATCCCGCGAGCGAACCGTCTCACGCGTTCACCTCCGCGAGCGGGCTTCGATCGGCACTCCCCGAGAGATCCCCGCTGAGCTGCGTGCACAACGGCGAGTCCGAGAGCGTCGCCGTCGGCGCGTCGCTCGCCGCTGCCTCCGACGTCTCCGTCTCCGTCTCCGTCTCCGGCGCCACCGTCAGGGATTCCATGTTCTCGACGACGGCCTCGACCGTGGTGTCGAGGTCGTCCTCCGTCGCGGGCGTCGAGAGAGGCTCCGCGGGGGACGGCGCGGCGGCGGCGGCGGCGGTGGCGGCGGCCTCTTCGCCGCACTCCGCGATGATCGCCTCGACGTCCGGCTTCCCCTCCGTGAAGTACAGAATCTTTTCCACCACCTTCGCGAGCGTCTGCGACGCAAACTCCGGGCGCTGGCAGAGAAACTCGATGTCCTGGAGCTTCTCGAAGTAAAACTCGCGCTCTTGCTCCGTGCGCTCCACTGCGAGTTTCAGCTCCGCGCACTCCGCGGTGAGCTCCTTGACCGCGGCCGCGTTCGCCGCCGCGGTCGAGGAGGCGGTCGACGCCGGTTTCGACGCGGTCGACGCCGGTTTCGACGCGGTCGACGCCGCGGGCCTCGACGCCGCGGGCCTCGACGCGGCGGGCTTCGCGCCGCCGCCGCCGCCGCCGCCGCCGCTCGCTTTTTTCCCACCCTTGCTGCACGCCCTTCGCTCCTCGCCGTCGTAATCCTCCGGCCTCACGCCCCCGGTCGCGGTGTCGTAGTACGCCTTCATCCACTGCAGAAACTCCAAGTTATCGAGCGGCCTTCCCTTCACGAGCTTGCTCACCTCGATCATCCGCGTGATCTGAGCGCCGTTAAGAGCGCGAAGCGACGTCGGGGCGGGAGTCGAAAGGCGTCAGATATGGAGTCGAAAGGCGTCGAGGTGTGTCGGGGTTGAAAGCAGCGAGGGGCGGCGGAGAGAGACGCGCGCGGGAAGAAAAAATAGTTCTTCTTAAAGAACCGTGTGCACCGCGCGAACGCGGTCGTACGGGGACCGGTGTGAGGAGAACGAACGCGCCTTGAGCTTGTCGAACACCGTCTGAAGCGTCTTGTAGTTATTCACCATGTCGTACTCGCTCTTCGCGTCGAAGTTCACCTTGGACATGTTCACCACGCCGGGGTGGCACGCGTCGAGGATCTGGCAGTGCACCGCCCCGGACGCGACCTGGGGAGGGGACGGATGGACGGACGGACGGACGGAGGGGACGGGGTGAGCGTCTCGAATCTATCGAAGGAGGACGAGAGCGCGAGACGAACGAAGAGATGAAAATCTCAATAATCCGACGAGATCCCGTCCTCGGGGCGCGGGGCGCGGGGCGCGGTTCCGCGGACGCGCCTGCTCGACTTTCGTCAGGCGCAGGTTCAGGAGGCCGTTGACCCAATCTAAGAGCTCCGCGCGCCCGACGAAGAACGCCGGGTTCTGGAGCCCGATGGACGACGCGTTCGCCATCCCGCTCGTCGGTCGGACGCCGCCTCTGATTTTATTTTCTTCTCTCCGACGCGAGCCTCCCTTCCGCGAACGACGGGGAAGAGCGAGCCTCTCGCGCGCGGTCGCGCTTCGGACGACGCGCGGTCGTTCGCGCGCGGGGACTCGCGCTTCGGACGCGAGAGCGCTGTGCGACGGACGCGCGGGACGTGCGGTCGCGCGGACGTGTGTGCGGCGAGCCGCGCGGGGGAACGAGATTCTCTGAAGCAGCTTTTTCGAACGCGCCCGCCGTAGCGTAGCGTAGTACAGTACGCGTCAAAACTACAAATTCGCACTGCGCCAAGGGCACGCGCGACGCTCGAGCGATCTCAGCCCCGAAAATCCAGCGGGTCCAGTTGTCGCGATAACGAAGTCGCTCCATTCCGCACGCCCCTGCGCCTCGCGACCGCTCCGACGAGAAGAATGACCTCCTCGCTCGCCGCCCCCGCGGCCGCCCTCGGGTCCGCGCCCCGCGCGCCCGCGGCGCTGTCCCGCCGCGCCGCGCGCGGCGCCGCGGCGCCGGCGCCGCGCGCCGCGTCCCTCCGCCGCGACCGCGACCGCGTCGGCGTCGTCGTCCGCGCGCAAGCCGTGGAGACGAAGACCAAGCCGAGCGCCGCGGCGTCGACGTCCGCGACGAACGCGACCGCGTCCGCGGACGCGATGGAGTCGTTCAAGGTGGGCGCCGCGCGCCTGGCCATCGCGCTCCTCCCGGGCGAGTCCGGGCTGCGATCGCTCGCGGGCGTCCTCCCGGAGAAGTACAAGAACACGTTCCTCGGGCTCATCGACTCGTACAAGGCGCAGATGATGAAGGCGACCGGGAACGACGAGGCGCGCGCGTCCGCCGCGCTCGTGTCCATCTTCAAGGACATGATGAAAGCGTACGCGGGGCAGCTCATCGGGACGCCGTACGAGTTCCCGTCGCATCACATCTGCATGACGAAGGAAAACTCAGACTTCGATTACTATCAGATGGCCAACGCGTACATCGGGTCGCTCGTCGAGTTCGACCGATCGATCCTGCGCTACCCGGAGCGCTTCACCGACGCGAAAGCCGCGCTCGATCGCGGCGAGAACGTCGTCTTCCTGGGTAACCACCAGTCCGAGGGCGACGCCGCGTTCATCCCGCTGCTCACGGAGGTGTCCCATCCGGGCCTCGGCGAGAAGGCGCGTTTTTTGTTCTCCTCGCGCTGGACCCCATACGACCGCGTTGGCGTGGTGAACGCCGTTCCTTAAGGACTTTGCCCGGCGATTCTCTCCGCTCATCCCTCGCTGGTTTCAATCACCAATCACATCACGACATACCTCGACGCCTGCCTTTCGAGTCCATCTGACGCGCCCCTCGACTCCGCCCCGACGACTGTCGCTTCGTCGCACCGTGGGAAACGACCCTCCTCCCTCAGGTGACGTACGTCGCGGGCGACCGCGTCGTGACCGACCTCCTGTGCAAGCCGTTCAGCATGGGGAAGAACCTCCTGTGCGTGCACAGCAAGAAGCACATGAACGACGACCCGTCGCTCAAGTCGGCGAAGATGAAGCAGAACCTGAACACGGTCAAGGAGATGCAAAAGCTGCTGAAAGCGGGCGGCGTCTGCATCTGGATCGCGCCCGCGGGGGGCCGCGACCGCCGCCAACCCGACGGCACGATCACCCCGGACAAGTTCGACCCGGCCGCGATCGAGATGCTCCGCAAGCTCGGCACGAAGAAGGGCGCGGCGAAGACGCACTTCTACCCGCTCGCGATGGCGACGTACGACATCATGCCGCCGCCCGCGGCGAAGGAGAAATCCATCGGCGAGGAGCGCGTCGTCAACTTCACCGGGTGCGGGCTGTCGCTGGGGCCCGAGATCGACGTCGACGCGTCCACGGCGGCGTGGGCGAGAGGGTTGCCCGAGGATGCGGATCTGACCGTCGCGCTCGCGGAGCACGTGTGGGAAGAGGTGAGGAAGGAGTACGCGGACATCGAGGCGTGCAACGTCCCGGGCGGCGGGCCGGTGCCGCTGCCGGAGGGCGCGGTGCGGCCGACGCGGCCGCCGAGCGTGCCGGTGTTTTGATGAGTCTGTTGTCATCGGTCGTCGGTGTTTTGAGGCGGCGTGCAGGGCGCGTGATTTTTTGTTTTAATAATTGAAGACGAAAACGAAAACGAAAACGCACACGCATTCATTCATCGTCAGCACCGAAAAGCGAGCCACCGAGCACCGCACGCGATGACGACCCCGCTGCCGTGGACCGTCCAGGGCGTTGCGTCCGCGCAAATCCCGACGTTCCTCACGTGCGTCGTCGCTCGCGCCCCTCTCTCTCCCTCCTCTCCTCGCGCGCGCGCGTTGTCGTCCGACCTCGAGGAATAAATCAAGATCTCGCTCGCCGCTGACGCGCTCGCTACCCCCCCCCCCCCCGGGCCCTCTCCCGTTCCCATCAGCCGCACGTTCAACATGGTGAACGACGCGAAGACGAACGCGATCATCTCCTGGGACAAGACCGGGAAGTCGTTCGTCGTCCACGACGTGAACGCGCTGTGCCAGCGCCTCCCCAAGATCGCCGGGCTCTTCACGCCGTCGTTCGGGTCGTTCGTGAACGAGCTCTCGATCTACGGCTTCGCCGGCGCGATCGCGGAGGACGGGTCGTACGTGTTCAGCAACGACGCGTTCCAGAGAGGGAAGCCGGAGATGTTGAGGACGATTCGGAGGAAGGAGAACTTCGGGCGGTATCGGCGCGGGTCGACGCGCGCGTCCGCGGCGTCGCTGTCGATGGCGCAGTGATCCGACCTGGGGGGGTTGGACGGATCGACGGTCGACGATCAAATAATATCTTTTGGATTTTGTCAGAGAGCCGCGCGCCGGCGATCCGAAGGACGAGCGCGCGCGTCGGGAGACGTGTTGTTTTTGGAGAGCTCTAGGATAAGTTGTTAATAGATGAGTAGTCGTGAATTGATTGTCAAAGGAAGGATGCATAGTGAGCGACGCGTCGTTCGGAGGGCGGCGGGCGGCGGCGCCAAATGCATTTTTACTCGCCGCGCGAAAAACGTGCCGATCTCCTTTTTGCTGACGTAGGACGCGGTACTTTTTATCTGACTAAAAACACATAGGGATACACGTGTACACTACTACGAATCGAGGCTATCGAGCGATCCCGCCCCGCGAGCTGCTCGAGGCCCGAGGCGCGCTGCTGCTGCTGTTTCAAAGTTGACTTTCCGTCTGACGAGCGTCTGTCCGCTCGCATCCCACCCCGCCCCGGCGCCGTCCGTCGTCGTCGCGCGATGGGATGCTGCTCCAGCCGCCCCGGCGATGACGCGCGCGCGAGCGCGAGCGCGAGCGCGAGCGGCGACGGGTACGACTCCGTGCGCGGTTCCCCGCGCGCGTCGTCGTCGTCGAGGATTATTACCTCCGCCGTCGCGGACCCCGCGGCGGTACACTACGGCGACGTGGGCGACGACGAGGTCGCCGCCGCCGCCGCGGAGGAGGTCCGGCGCGCGGAGGAGCTCGAGCGCGTGCGTCGGGAGGTCGCGGACGCGGTCGCCGCGGTGCGCGACGCGACGGGCGAGACGCTCGGCGTGAAAGCCGCCGCGCGGTTGGACGACGAGACGAGAGATGTGATGACCGCGGAGGACCAGCGAATCCGCGCGCGCGTGGCGAAGCATCGCGAGGACGCGCGCGCGGAAGAGGACGAGAACACGCCGCCTATTCCGAAAACGCCGGTGACGACGGACGCGCTCGGGCGGCCGCTGAGCGAGGGACGCGGCGACGTCGTCGCGGTGGAGAGAAAGCGCAAAGCGGCGGAGAAGGCGGTGCGGCGCGCCGTGGCCGAGGCGGGGCGGCGACGCGGGCGGGGGGAGAAGAAGCGCGACGGCGGCGACGGCGGCGGCGGGAGGTGGGGGGACGAGGACGTCATGAGCGGGGAGACGAGAGCGGAGCTCGACCGCGTCGGTGCGGACGTGAGGAGACGCGTGCAGCGAGCGCGAAGGAGCGAAACGTAAACGTGATGGACCAGTGGAGACGGCGCGGCGTCGCGCTCGCGTCTGGTCTGTGATAAAAAAATCGAAAGAAGGTAACTCGTAGATCCGCGTCCGTTCGCCGGTCACGCCTCGCCGCCGCGTCCGCCGCCGTCAAAAACCACCGGCAGCCTCATCGTCTCGTCCTCGATCTCTCTCAACTGCGCGGCGAGCTCGTCGAACCCGTTCTGCGCGGCGAGGTCGCTCGGCGTGCTCCCGCGGTCGTCCCTGCCCATGTGCTTCGCTTCGCGGCAGCTCGTCTCCGAGAGGAGATAAGCGATGACGTCCCCGTGGCCGTATATCGCGCACTTGTGTATCGCGCTGTGCCCGTTCACGTTCACGACGTCAGCGCGGACGCGTAAGGTCTCGATGAGCCACTTCACCGTATGTAATGGACTGTGAGCGGCCGTTTCGGTATCGGCTTCGCCCTCGGTCTTCTTCGTCTTCGCGCGAATCAGACGCCCGCCGCCGCCGCCGCCGCCGCCGCGCGGGTCGTGCTGAATGCACGCCCACAAAACCGCGTTGCATCCCCACCGGTTCGTCGCCCGCACGTCCACGCCGGGCAGAGACGCGAGCCACGACGCGACGTCCACGTGCCCGCGCCACACCGCGAGGTTGAACGCGCCGTCGCCGTCGTAGGTTTTCGCGGACGCGTCGGCGCCGCGCTGAGGGTCGTTCCATACAAAGCGATGTCGGGGTGGAGTTCATAGGCGTCAGTTGGAGTTGAAAGGCGTCGAGGGCGGGCGTTGAAACCGAGGGGCGGGCGGAGAGATGCGCCGGGAAGAAAAGTCCTTAAGGATCAGCGTCCACCTCGCGAACGGGGTCGTATGGGGACCAGTGTGAGATAGAACGCGCCTGGAGAAGCCATCGACACGTCTCCAGCCTGCCGTTTCTCGCGGCCCAGTGCAACGGCGTGCGGCCGTCCTTCCTGAGCGATCTCGTCACGGAGACGCCGCGCGCGTCCACGAGCCACTCGCACGCGCGGAGGTGGCCGCCGCCCGCGGCCCAGTGCAGCGCGCCGCTGCCGTACGCGTCCACGGTCTCGCGCGGGTCGAAGCCGGCGCCCGCATTTTTTTCGGCGGCGACAAGGCCGTCGACGTCGCCGGCGGCTGCGGCGGCGAGCCCCGCGCACAGCGTCTCTTCGTTGTTCTTCTTCTCCCTCCACGGCGCCGGGCGTCCGGCGCCGCTGCCCCGCCAGGACGAGCTCTCCGCGTTCGTGGAGCCGCGAGAAAACGCTCCGTTACCGGACGTTTTTTTTCCGCCACCGTCCCGAACGCCGCCGCCGAAAACGCCGCCTCTCCCGATTTTCGCCGCCGCCTCTTCGTCCGTCAGCGACGCGCTCCTCGCCGCTTCCGCGGCCGCCGCGCACGCTTGCGTCGTGCCCCCTCTCGCCCAGTGCTGCCTCAACCCGCCGCCGTGCATGGCGTAGTACTGCCCGCACCCGGCGCACATCGCGAGGCCTTTCCGTCGCATGTCGTCGTCTCGAGCGCGGGTGGTGATGAAGAGCACGCCGTCCGCGCTCGGCGACGCCCTCGCCGCGGCGATGGCGCCGCGCGCCGCATCGTCGTTCACGTCGAAAGCGCGCGCGTTGAGCGCGTCCGCGATCGCGCGCGCGAGGACGCCGGCGTCCGGGACCGGGGCCCGGTCCGGGGCATTGTCCTGGTGGTGTCGGTTGACGGTTCGTCTTCCGTGCGTGAGCTTCAACGCCGCGCGAGAGATGAAGTCGTGCGCGGGGCGTTTCGTCCCTTTGCTATACTTTGACGCCGCGTGTATCGCGCGCGCCGCCTCGCGATCGTCCGACGCGTCAGAATCGATCGGAGGGAGGGATAACGACGCGAGCGCGGAGACGATCGCGGCCTCGACGACGTCGGCGAGCTCGGGCGATTCGACGCCGCCGCCGCCGCCGCCGGCGCTCGACGACGACGACGACGACGACGACGGCTCGAGCGGCGGCTCGAGCGGCGGCGGCGTCCGCGCCCTCCCCCGGTCCTCCTCCTCTCCCTCCTCCTCCTTCGCGGCGTCGCCCGCCGCCGCGTCGTTCCCCCGGTCGTTCTTCTTTTGGTACACGTACGGCTTGACCCCGTCCTCGCGCATCACGGTCTCGAGCATCACGCGTCTCGTCTCGCTCTCCAACGCCTCGCCCGACGCCGCGTTGACGTCGTTCGCCTTGAGCGCGCGTAAAAACGTCGCCGCCGCCGCGGGGTCAACGCCGGCGAACTCCGGCGCCGCGCGTAACGCCTCCGGCCCGTGGAACACCTCGCACGCGGCTCTGCTCGCGTCCACCTTGGCCCACGCCCGGGTGATCATCTCGCGCTCGAAACTCGCGATCGCGCTCGGTATCGGCGCGCGCGCGAGCCACGACGACAGCCCCCACGCGTCGAACAGCGCCGAGTTGGCGCCCATGCCCTTGAACGGGCTCATCGGGTGCGCGGCGTCGCCGATCGCGACGACGCGCGAGCTCGGCTTCGCGCCCCTCGCGCGCGGCGGCGACGGCCTGTCGCGGTCGTACAGCGGCCCGGCCCAGACGTCGTCCCAGTCCGTGTGCGCGAGCATGTCCTGGACGGGCGCGTGCCAGGACGCGGTGAGCGCCTCGACGAACGCCTTCGCGCCGGCGGTCGGGTGCGTCCGCGGCGCCGCGGCGATCGCCCTGGCCTCCTCCTCCGTGACCCTCACGCTGATCTGCCACATGTTCTTCCACGTCGCCGCGCCGGGAGAAGACGAAGACGCGTCCCCGTCCGCGTCCGTCGCGGAACTACTCTCCGTCGGCGGCTTGAAGGGCATCGTGAACATTCTCGCGCGTCGGCCGTCGAGAGTGTAAAACCCCTGCCCTCGCAACAGCGCGTGGTCGCACGTCGTGAACCCGGTGATCAGCACGACGCCGAGGTAGTTCAGCTCGTCGTTCGGCCCGAGTCGGCGGCGCTGTATCGCGCTTCGCACGCCGTCCGCGGCGACGAGCAGCGTCGCTCGGATCGTCTCCGTCTTTCGGTCGGCGCGCAGCCGCGCGTCGTCGTCTCGCAGCCTCCCCGCGCCGCCGCCGACCTTGTCGACCTCGCCGCCGCCGCCGCCCTCTCCCCCCCCGTCCCTCGTCGGCGCCGCCACGGACTCGACCACGACGTCCACGCCGCCGTCGCCTCTCTCCGCGTAGTCCACCGCGCGCTCGCCGAAGCGCACCGTCCCCGGTCGGAGCCGCCTCAAGAGAATCTCGCGGACGTCGTTCCGTGGCACGCGCAGATTCGTCACCGGCGACGGTCCCGCGCGCTCGCGCGGCAAGAACGCGGCGCCGTAGTACCCGAGCACGTCGCCGTCGGACTTGAACGTCCAGTGCGCGCGGCTCCGCGTGTTCCGAGCGCGGAGGTCGTCTAAGATTCCGAGACCTCGCAGCGCGGCGTTCGTCTCGGAGAGCGTGACGCCGTAGCCCTGCCGCCGCGCCGCGGCGGAGGGATCGCGCTCGAGGACGATGACCTTCGCGCGCGAGGACTGGAGCGCCGCGGCGAGGGCGAGGCCGGCGATGCCGCCGCCGGCGATGACGACGACGTCGTCGGCGCCGAGGCGGTTATAAGGAGGAGGACGCGCGGCTGCGGCGCGAGATGACGACGACGACGACGACGACGACGACGACGAGGGTGCCGATTCGTCCGCCGCCGCCGCCGCCGCGTCGTCGTCGTCGTCGTCGTCGTCGCCGTCGCGCGACGCCGCTCGTCGTCGCGCGTCGTTCGCCGCCGCGCCGCCGCCGTCGTCGCTGCCGTCCCCCGCCGGCTTCGCGAGCGACGCGCCCATGCTCGCCCCGCGGCGCCCGCGCGGAGACGCGACTGGCGTCCGAGCCTCGGAAACTCTTAAAGAAAAGTCGGAACGAGCCGGAACTCGCGCGCCAGTCTCTCCTCGCCACGTGCGCGCCGACGAGGACGGCGCGTCCGACGCCCGAGCGTCGGAATCGCGCGCGCGTCGCTTCGCTCGCCGCTCCCCTCGATCTCCCCTCGGACGACGCCGATGAGAGGGCGACACGAGAGGGCCAGCGCGCGCGACGAGGTCTCGTCTCGGGGTCGTCGTCGCCGCGCGCGCGCGTTTCAAAATATCTCGCGCGGGGGTCGCGCGCCGCCCGTCGCAGCGCGACGCGCGCCACGCCACGACCGCCGACGACGACGATGCCGCGCGCTCTCGCCTATCTCCTGCTCCTCCTCCTTCTCCATATCGCGCTCCTCCGCGGCGGCGGCGGCGTCGCGCGCGCGGAAGCGACGGGAGGGACGAACTACCTTTACTACGAAGACGAAGACGCGACGTCGACGTCGCCGACGACGCCGCCGCCGCGCCCGCCGCTCGGATTCGTCCAGCGCGCGGGCGCGCGGTTCGTCGTGTCATCGCCGTCCTCCCCCGCCGTCCGCGCGTTCGCCGCCGACGCGGCGGCTGGAGCGAACGCGCCCGCGGACGCGGAACCGGAACGCTGCGAGTCGTTCTACTTCCTCGGCTCGAACACGTATTACCTCATGGTGCGCGGCGCGTCCCCGACGTTCCGCTGCGAGGTGGACGAGGTCTTAGACGCCGCCGCGGACCTCGGCGTGACCGTCCTCCGAACGTGGGCGTTCAGCGACGGCGCCGGGGAGTGGCGCGCGCTGCAACGCGCGCCGGGAGTGTACGACGAGGCGACGTTCAGGGGCCTAGGCGCGTTCTCCTCAGACTGGTTCCCATACGACCGCGTTGGCGCGGTGAACGCCGTTCCTTTAGGACTTTTGCCGGCGCATCTCTCCGCCCATCCCTCGGTTTCAATCCCCGACATCGACGCCTTTCAACTTCAACTGGCGCACCCCTCAACTCCACCCCGACGTCGCTTCGTATGGACCCTCGACCCTCAGACTACGCCGTGGCGGAGGCGGGAAAACGCGGGATTCGACTCCTCGTCGCCTTCGCGAACTACTGGCAGCACTACGGCGGCGCGGACGCGTACAACAGATGGAGCTTTCTCGCGGGCGAAGGTCGCTGCGACGGCGAGCTGGCGTGCAGGGACGATTTCTTCTCGGACCCGTACGCGCGCCGGTTGTACAAGAACCACGTCGCCGCGGTGATCGGGCGCGTGAACACCTTCACCGGCGTTCGATACCGCGACGACCCGGCGATATTCGGGTGGAACCTCATGAACGAGCCGCGGTCGACGAAAGATTTGACCGTGGAGGTTCGAAGCTCGTCGGATAAGAGTCTGGAGTACAACGTCTCGAGCAACACCGGCGACGCGCTGCAAGCGTGGATCGAAGAGATGACCCCGCACGTCAAGTCGTTGGATCCGAATCACTTGCTCACGGTCGGCAGCGAGTCCTTCTTCGGGCCGTCGTCGCCGCTGTATTTGTACGCGAACCCGGGACCGTGGGCGCAGCTCGAGGGCGTGGACTTCGTCAGGAACCACGCCGTCCCCGGGATCGACTTCGCGACGATGCACGTGTACGTGGACCAGTGGCTGTGCGTCGAGCGCGGCGCGACGAAAACAGGTCGGGACGAATTTTTCGTCGACTGGCTGACCTCGCATCAGCAAGCCGCGGAGGAGGAGCTGATGATGCCCGTGGTGTTGGAAGAGTTCGGAGGAAAGCTCGAGGAGCGATACGATCTGTTCAAGCTCGCGTTCGATTCGTTCTACGAGAGCGCGCTTCGCGGCGGCGGCGGCGGCGGCGTCATGTTCTGGATACTCTATCACCGCGCGTACGAGCCGCTCGATAAATACGGCGGCAGATACGGGGTGTATCCCGCGTCGGACGACGACGACGAGAACGACGAGAAGGTAAAAAATTCGCGCGCGGTGACGTCGCTGATCAAGTCGCACGCGATGCGCCTCCGCGAGTTGAACGCGAAGAGCGCGAACGGCGTCGCGCGAACGGCATCCGACGCGTGCTACTGGTCGCCGCCCGCGCCGCTCGGCGTCGGCTGCAAGGCGCGTCCTGTCATCACACCGGTCCCCATACGACCGCGTCGGCGTGGTGAACGCCGATCCTTAAGGACTTTATCTCCCAGCCTTTCTCTCCGCCCAGGGTCCCTCGCTCACAATCCCGACACGCCGCGTCGCCTTTCAACTCCGCTTCTGACGCACCCCTCGACTCCACCCCGACGTTCGCTTCGTATGGACAATTACCCTCAGAACGTCGTCGCGGAGCTAACGTTCGGCGGCATGCCCTGGCGGTGCCTCCCCGGCGAGCGCGAAGACGTCTCCGAGTGCGCGCCTCGCGACGACGCGACGCGCGAGCGGCTGTACCGCCAGCCCCTCGAGCAGTGGCGCGCGTCTCGTCGCGCGAACGGCGCGCTTCCCGTCAACACCGTGGAGTCGCTCGTCATGGGTCAGATCGTGAACAGAGGGTCCGTAGACGTCAACTTGAAAGGCGCGTGGTTCGTCGTCCCTTTCAGCAGGGGCGTGCACACCGAGTACGAGGGCGAGTGGACGCGCATGCGCGACCCAAACGCCGACATGGACGTCATGTGCTGGTACGCCGGCGTGCACGACGCGAACACCGGGGCGTTCGTGCAGCCGTACCGAGGGGATCTGTGCCGGACCGGCGCGCTGCGGTTTTCGTTCACGACGCACGAGTGGCCGGCGGGGACGAAGGCGCGTTCTATAGTCTGGTCCCCATACGACCGCGTTGGCGTGATGAACGCCGATCCTTAAGGACTTTTCCCGGCGTCTCTCTCCGCCCACCCCTCGCTTTCAATCCCGACACACCTCGACGCCTTTCAACTCCATCTGACGCCTTTCAACTCCATCCCGACGATCGCTCGTATGGAACAACCCTAAGCGGGACCGCGGGTTGAACGTGTCGTTCGCGAAGGACGTCGTGCTCGCCCCCGGGCACGCGATACACGCGGGCGGCGACGGCTGGGATGTCGGGTTCAGTTTCAAGGATGGTAAAAACGCTCGGCGCTTGGACGTTTCGAGTTTGACGTCCACGACGGGCGCGGACTCGTGCCCGAGCGACCCGGATCCGCCGAAGCCGCCGAACGCGTTTGACGAACCCTGCGAGCACCCGTGGCGCGCGTGCCCTTCGCGCGTGACCGCCGCCGCCACGGCGGGGAAGGTGAATACAACGGTCGCGGCGCGGACGTTAAAGGCGAGCGAGGACGCGCGGCGAACGCGCGAGAGGTACGCGAGGGCGCGAGAGAACGCCGTCGCCGCCGCCGGCGTCGTGACCGGCGTCGCGCCCGGCGCGCAGTACCTCCTCACCGTGGACGTCCGCGTCCGTAAGCTCGCGCCCTCGAAAGACTTCCAGGCTGTCCGCGACGACGACGTCGAAGGCGGCGGCGGCGAGCGCGACGCGCTGCGACGTTCGAAGCCGAAGGACGACGACCGGGTCGTGTCCATCGCGCGAGCCGGCGGGGATGATATTTACGCGCTCGACGGCGCCGCCGGCGCCGGCGCCGGTCGCCGCCGCCGGTCCCGGTCGCTGCTCCAAGCCGAGCCCGTGGACGAGAACGAGGCGTCGTACGCGGGAGGGGGACGCGCGGAGAACGCGGAGGACTTTGCGGCGGCGGGCGGCGGCGACGTCGTCGCGCCGACGGACGCGCCGAACCCGGAAGAGCGACGCACGAGCAGAGTGAAGCTCGGGCCCGACGTCGCCGTCGCGCTGCGCTGGCCGGCGGCGGCGGATTCGGGCTCGGGCTCGGGCTCGGGCTCGGACTCCGCGGCGACGTTCGAGACGGTGACGATCAACGAGGCGCAGCTCGACGCGTGGGTCACGCTCCGAGGGATAACCGCGTTCGAGCCGATGCACGCGATCCGCGGCGCGACGGTTGACGTTCCGTCTTCCCCGACGCTGACCGTCGAGGTCCTCTCGCGCGGCTACGTCGTCGACGTCGGCGCCTTCGCCGTCAAGCCCGTGACCGAGGCGAACGTCGACGACGCGGACGAAGTCCAGACGTACGTGCCCTGCCAGATCGACCCCGCGGCGCACCCGGACGCGATCTTCGCGTTCGCGGTCCCGAACGACGCGGACGCATTCGACGTGGACGTGAGCCTGTGCAGTCGCGGATACGCGCAGAGTCTGACGATTTACGAGGACGGGACGCGCGTTCGAACCGCGGCGTCGCCGAAGAGATCCGCGTCTGATCCCCCTCCGTCGCGACCAATCGTTTTCGCGGACGAGATCTACTCGATATCGGAGAACCAATCAGAGGACGCCACGTGCGGCCTCGGCGACGTCGTGAACGCGTTGAAGATGCGCCCGGGGCGGACGTACCGCGTCGTCGTGGACGGAGAGCCCGGGACGCCGTACGGATCCTTCCGCGGCGGCGGCGGCGTTCGAATTAAACGCGCGGACGGCCGCGGGTTCGGGTTCGGCGCGGAAGGCGGTCGATGGGACGCGGCCGTGGACCCGAAGCTCGCGTCGAAAGCCGTCCGCGCGGTCGGCACGACGTTCGTGATCGGCGCGCTACCGAAAGAGGTTGCCGGGAACGGTGACGAATCGAACGCCGACGCGTGCGCGAAACCGTTCAGGCGCGTTCTATACACTGGTCCCCATACGACCGCGTTGGCGTGGTGAACGCCGATCCTTAAGGACTTTTGCCGGCGCATCTCTCCGCCCACCCCTCGCTTTTAATACCCGCCCTCTGCGCTTTTCAACTACAACTGACGCCTTTCAACTCCACCCCGACGTTCGCTCGTATGGAACGACCCTCAGTTACGCGGGGGTAAACGTCTGGGATTTGATGGACACCGCGCGATACCCGACGATTCGCTGGCGCGTCACGTCCAAGCTCGACGCGCTCGTGAAGGAGGGCATAAACGTCATACGTACGTGGGGGTTCTCGCTCGGGAAGGGAGAAACTCCCGAGTTGCGTGCGTTGCGACTGCACCTCGCCCCCGGGGTCTACGACGAAGCCGTCTTCCGCGGCATGGACTTCGCGCTTCACGAAGCCGCCCGGCGCGGGATCAAGCTGATCGTGTCGTTAGAAGACTACTGGCTTTCGATCGATCGGTACGTGGAGTGGTCGCCCTCCGCGGGCGCGCGCACGGACTTCTACACGGACTGGTTCTGTCGTAACGCATACCGAGCGCACGTTTCAACGTTCCTGAACCGAGTCAACACCTTCAACGGCGTTCGATACCGCGACGACCCGACGATTTTCGGTTGGAACCTCATGAACGAGCCGCGGTGCACCGGGTGCGGGTGGGCGCTCCAGGCGTGGATCGACGAGATGTCCCTGTTTGTAAAGACGATAGACCCGCTGCACATGCTGACGATCGGCGAGGAAGGGTTCTACTCGAGTTCCTGCTCGAGAGTGCACCTCAACCCCGGGAGCGGCAATCGCCGCACGGGCATCGCGTCGTCGCCGTGGGCGCTCATGGAAGGCCAGGACTTCCTCGCGAACCACGCGGGAGAGCACGTCGACTTCGCGACGACGCACGTGTGGCCGGATAACTGGCTCGGGCACGCGGATTACTCGCCGTGGATGTCGAACAAGGCGTTCGATTACGCGATCCACGGGTCTTCGGTGTGGAAAGAAAAGCTGAATTACACGGAACGGTGGTTGCGCGCGCACGTTCAGGACGCGGATAAGCTCGGGAAGCCGCTCGTGGTCGAGGAGTTCGGGAAGTCCACGCCGTCGTCGAGGATCACGGTCGGGAGAGGGCTGCAGCCGGGCGAGCGCGTGCACGGCGGTCCCGGGGATTTTTACGTCAGAGACGAGTTCTTCGAGAGCGTGTATCGCATCGTCGAGAAGAGCAAACGCGACGGCGGGAGCGGGCAAGGGACAAACTTTTGGGTGCTGTACGATGGGAACGGGGAAGGGCAGGACCTGGATCCGTACCGCGTGTCGCTCTACGATTGGACGACGTGGGAGAAGATTCGCGAGCACGTGCGTCGATTCGACTCGTTTTCGTTTTTCTTCGCCTCCCGCTCTCGCTTCTTCGGTTACGTGTACACGACGGACGTCTCTCTCTCGGTTCCGCGTCGCGTGTTCTGTTGTTATCACACTGGTCCCCATACGACCGCGTTGGCGTGGTGAACGCCGTTCCTTAAGGACTTTCTCGCGCCGACGCCCGCTCCCTCTCTTCCTCCGTCTTCCTTCTCAGGCGCGGAACATGAAACAAATCAGCGCGGACGCGCCCGCGGTCTGCGGCTTGAACGATACCGCGACGTAGCGTAACTCAGTCGTCGTCGCGCGACCTGCGCGTGTGAGTGGGGGGAGGGGGGGGTTGGTCGGTTGATCGGCGGCGGCGTGAAAGAAAAAAAAATCGACTCGACGAGCGAAGAAAACGCGACGCGGCGGGCGTCTCTTGGTCTCAGAGAGTATGGTCACATTATAGGATCAACAGTGGTGTTCAGGAAAGTTTTTGGGTTGATAATGAAGTTCTTCATCGACCAAGAGACCCCCCGTGACGTGACGGGCGGCGAGAATGCGTTTCAATTGCAATACGAGTGAGAAAAACCGAACGAAAAACAACGCGCGAAACGCGCGCGCGACGTATCAGTTCGCATCAGGTTACGGTGTCGTCAGTAACCGTCAGAATAACTCATATGAGGATCTCGTCTTTTACGCCCGCGGCGATATCGCGCGAAGTGTGCTGCATGTAGCAAAGGCTCTAGAGACCGGTAGATATGGCAAAATCCGACAAGTCTGCTTTACCTGAGCGTCGATCTCTCGGGCGCCTTGTCGGCGCGGAACAGCGGGAGAGCTTTTCCGCGCGTTCGAAACGCCCGAACCGTCGCGTGACGGTTCATATCGAAAGAAAATCGCACCGACCGACGGATAAAAACAACGCGACGCGAAACGACGGAACGACCGCGGAGGAATCAGGAGCTAACTTTTGTTCTCAAGGCCGAGGGCTAACAAGGCTCCGAAGGTGTCCTAAGATAAAAAAAGTGTTCATCATTCACCCTCGCGCGTGTGGTCGTTCCGTCGCGCGCGATCGAATCAGACGGACGGACGGAAGGACAGTACACGTGGCGATTTAGTATCCGCACCTTTTTCATTCACAGATGACATGTCGAGCGGCGATTCGCCGGCGGCTTCGCACGCGCCGCAGGAGCAGTCTTCGAGAGACGCTGCGAGGGACCGAAGAATGGAAACGTCGAATGAATTCGTCAGCGGCGGCGGGCCGGCGGTCTGGTGAACGACGAACGAACCAACGCGCGCGTCCGTCGCGGCGGCGTCGGCATCAGTCGGAAAGTTCGTTTCACGAGTTCACCAACTAATTACCATCGGTGAAGTGTCAACTGAACTATGCCTTAGTTGTGTCTTGGTCATCAGAGCCGAGACGCCGCCGCGAGGAGAAAAAGCGAAACGACAGACGCGCGCGCGAAACAACGATTCGTCGATCGACGACGCGACGGCGGGCCGTCGCGCTTCGCGCCTCCGCTCCGGGACGTCTCAGGTTAACGAGATTCAAAGTTTCGTCGTCAGAGACGTCAGATGGTACGGACAATGATTTCCTCATCATCGACGTCCCGGCGAAGAGGCGCGAAGCGCGGCGGCGTCGCGCGCGGTCGTCGCGTTTAGGTTATAATCGCGTCGAGGGAACGACGCGAGTGAATGTGCGGTTCGAGCTCCGGCGATTCAGAACGCGTCCGAAAAGCGCTGCGGGCCGTTCACCGAAGAGCGCGTTCGTGTAGGCGGAACTGAGCGCTCGGTGTGACATCGCGGAAGCTTTCACACGAGTGACTCTATGATAGTTCGCCAGACGGGCGGCGGACGCGAGCGGATCGTCGCGTCCGCGAGAAAATCTCAAGTCGTCGATCGCGTCGCACCTCGACATCCATCGATCGAATCGACGGCAGGGCGGCGAACGGCGCGCGTCCGCGCGCGCGATTCACCGCGCTTCGCGGCGACGCGCGGACGGCGACGACATCGCGTGGACGTCGCCCGTCGAGAGGGCGCGCGATCTCAGGTCATGCCGCGAGCGTGGAAGCGCGCGCGAGACTGCGGCGCGCCGAGACGCTCGGAGCCGAGACGTAGCGCAGACGGCGACGGCGCGGCGCGGCGGCTCGAGCTCAACCACGACCAGTCTGTGAGTCTCGAGAAATTTAGTCACGCGCCGCCGCCGCCGCCGCCGCTGCCGCGCCACTCCATCCCGCGCCGCCCACCCCCTCGCCGTCTCTCATGACGGAAACGGACGCTGGCGCCGCGCGCCTGCGCGTCGCGTCCGCGCTCGAAGCCACGGACGCGTACGACGGCCCGCTCGAGCTCGACCTCGGCAACCTCCTCGCGTGCGACCCGGCGCCGATCGACCCGGAGGCGTACGCCGGCGGCGACGCCGACGCGAAGACCGCGGTCGCGCTCGCGCACTGCCGCGACGTCCTCCAGCGGCTCGTCGCGGATCTCTTCGCGCTGCCGTCGGAGAGCGACGTGAACGGACGGTACGTGCACCTGCCGGCTGGGACGACGCCGCTGCCGCGGACGAAGCCGCTGCCGCCGCAGGAGAAGCCGATGACGAAGTGGGAGCATTTCGCGAAGGAGAAGGGCATCAAGAAGCGGAAGCGATCGAAGATGGTCTTCGACGAGCAGACGGACGAGTGGAAGCGCCGGCACGGGTACGACCGCGCGGGGGACGCGAACAAGATCATCATAATGGACGCGAAGATGAGCGACGTCCCGGGGCAGACCGAGGACCCTTTCACGGCGGAGGAGCGGATGCGGAGAGAGCGCGTGGAGAAAAACGCGGGGCGTCAGCAAAAGAATTTACTCAACGCCGTGTCGACGCACGGCGCGAAGGTGTTACCGCCGACGCTGCAGATGTCCGCGGCGCCGACGAAGGGCGCGAAGGCGCTGCCGCTGGGGAAGATGGGGAAGAAGCAGGTGAAAGACCTCTCCGCGCACGTCGCGAGGAGCACGGCGAGCATAGGGAAGTTCAACGCGCCGATTCCGGGCGACGAAAAGATCAAGTCGCGAGGGAAGCGAAGGCAGTTCGACGGCGTCACGGACGTCGCGAAGGACAAGGCGAACGCGCTGACGTTCATCGATAAGCTCGTTCGGAGAGAGAAGGACTTCACCGTGGACGTGAACGTCGCCGCGAGGAAGATTCAGAGGGCGAAAGAGGCGGAGAGCCGAAGCGCCGCGAAGGCGAAGCTCGCGGAGAAAGACGCCGGCGGCGCCGGAGGGAAGAGGCAAGGCGGGAAGAAGGGTAAGGGGATGGCGGGGATGAAGGCCAAGGGCGGGACGGTCAAGAAGGGCAAGGGGAAGAAGTGAAACGACCGAGCGCGCGCGTGCGCACGCTCGACGATTATCATAGCGATACCGTAGAAGAAAGAGAGAGATTGGTTCATCCGTCGCGACGACGAACGAGGCGACGGCGCCATCCGTTCGTTCGCGATGACCCAGGGATACTGTACGGATGCGTCACAACGCACGCCGTCAACGCATCATCACTCCCCCTCATCATCACACCCCCCGCGCCTCACCCGCCCACTCGCCACTCGTCCACCTTTTCGATCAACACCCGCACCGCCTCCGTGACCGTCTCCGTGCTGTCGCAGAATGAAAACCGAACGAACTTTAACCCCCGCTCGCGGTCGAAATCCACCCCGGGAACGCACGCCACCCCCGTCGTCTCCAATATCCGCTTACACAACCCCACGGAGTCGTCCGTCATGTCGCTCACGTCCGCGTAGATGTAGTACGCCCCGCCCGCGCTGCTGAGCTTCGCGAACCCAGCCTTCGGGAGCCCCCGAAGTAAAATCTCGCGATTGACGCGGTACCGATCCACGTGCTTCACCAGCTCGTCGTCGCAGTCGAACGCCGCCGTCGCCGCGTGCTGCGCGATGGTCGGCGCGTTGATAAACAAATTTTGCTGCAGCGCTCGCATCGCGTCGCGCAGCCGCGGCGGAACCACGCACCACCCCACGCGCCACCCGGTCATGCAGTGGTACTTGCTGAAAGAGTTGATCACGATTGCGCAGTCGCGCGGCCCGTTCGGCGTCTCCAGCGCCGTCGTCGCGCGGTCTTCGCCGTATTCGATCTGATGGTAGATCTCGTCCGAGACGAACCACGCGCCTCGCTCGTGGCACCACTCGTGCAGCGCGAAGAGCTGCGCGCGCGTGAGGACCGTCCCGGTGGGGTTCGAAGGCGACGCGACGATGAGCCCCCGGATCGGCTTCGGTTTCGGTTTGGGATCGCCGCCGCCGCCGCCGCCGCCGCCGCCGCCGCCGCCGCCGTCGTCCTCCTCGGCGGCGAGGAAAGCGTTCAGAAGCGCCGGCGTCGGCTGGTAGTCCGTCGACGCGTCCACCGGGATGGACACGACCTCGCACCCGAGCGCCTCGAGGATGTTCCGGTAGCACGGGTACCCCGGCGACGCGATCGCGACGCGGTCGCCCGGGTCGAACGCCGCGACGAAGGACAGGATGAACGCCGCGGACGACCCGGTCGTCACGACGACCGCGTCCGCGTCGACGTCCTCGACGCCGTAGCGGTCGCGATAGTGCCTCGCGATCCTCTCGCGCAGAGGGTCGACGCCCTCGGCGACGGTGTATCCTAACGTCGTCTCCCCGCGCGCGCACGCGTCGAGGGAGTCGCGCGCGGCGTCGAGCGCGAGCCGCGGCGCGCCCGTCGACGGCTGCCCCACCTCGAGATGTTTTATCCCTCCGACGGCGAGATCCGCTCCACTGACGGTCATGTCGTGCGCAGCCTTGATGACTTCCATGACGCGGAACAGCGGCGTGGACGCGCCGCGGAGGGACGCCACGAGACGGTCGTCGCACGCGGGAGAGCCCATGACGACGCCCGAGGCTAGGCGAGGCTCGTGCCCCTCGGTGGCGCGACGGGCAGTGACGACGACGCGAGCCAAAGCCCTCGCGCCGATAGGTTTTCCGGGTCATCAACTCGGCACCAAACGCCGCCCCGATCGAACTAACACTCCATCCTCGCGCGCGCCGGCAGGGACGTCCCCGCACGATGTCGTCGACGTTCGCGACGTGCGCCGCGCGCGCGACGCTCCCATCGCCGCTCTCCTCGCGTCGTCGCCGCGACGGCGCGCCGCGCGCGTCGCGAGCGCGCGTCGCGCTCGCGTCGTCGTCGTCGTCTTCGTCGTCTTCTTCGCGTTCCGACCGCGACTCAAAGCCCGATCGCAAGTCAGACGCGATCCCTCCGCTCGCGAAGGCGCAAGCGCCGTCGTTCGACGAGCGCCGCGCGACGGACGACCCGGACCGCCCGCCCGCGCCGATCACGCCCAACAAGCTCGGCGTCCACGCGCTCGTGTTCACGGGCGCGTGGGACGAGCCCGCGGCGACGCTCGCGTGCGCGGGCGCGAAGCGCGCGGGCTACGACATCATCGAGATCCCGCTCCTGTCCCCCTCCGCCGTGGACGGCGCGATGACGAAGCGCGTCGTGGAGGCGCACGGGCTGCAGGCGACGACGTCGTTGGGGCTGCGCTTCGACGCGGACGTCTCGAGCGCGGACGACGAGATCGCGGCGAGAGGCGAAGCGCTGTTGAACGACGCGTTGGAGAAGACGATTCAGATGGGCGGCACGCACATGTGCGGCATCCTGTACAGCGCGCTGGGGAAGTACGATAAGCCGGTGACGAAGCGAGGGTACGAAAACTCGATCGCCGCGATCAAGCGCGTCGCGCGGAGAGCGAACGACGCCGGCGTGATCCTGGGTTTGGAGGTGGTGAACCGGTACGAGACCAACGTGCTGAACACCGCCGCGCAGGCGATGGAATTTATATCCGAAGTGAACGAAGACAACGTGCGCGTGCACTTAGACTCGTATCACATGTGCATCGAGGAGCGGAGTTTACGGCAGGCGGTGAATACGTGCGGGGATAAGCTCGGGTACGTGCACGTCGGGGAGTCGCACCGCGGGCAGTTGGGCACCGGGAACGTGGATTTCTGTCGGCTGTTTTACGGCCTCGCGGAGATTCAATACCGCGGACCCATCACGTTCGAGAGCTTCAGCGGGAAGGTCGTCAGCGAGGATCTGTCCAACACGCTGTGCGTGTGGAGGGACCTGTGGGAGGACAGCGACGCGCTCGCGAAGCACGCGAGGGATTACGTCGAGCGCGCGATCGAGGCGGCGGCGGGGGCGCACGACAACACGCGCGTCATCGTCGGGGATTGGTTCTGATGAGGAATATCATAGCGGTCGCGGCGCGAGCGTTCGAGTAGGTAGAAACGTGCTCGTATCGTATGACAGTATCGTCGCATGCAGCTTGGCGTGAGAGCGACTTCGTCGCGTTGGCATCGTTCGCATCGGTTCATTCAGGCCGGTGGTAGTACAGAGTAGTACCAGGAGTAGTACCTCTCAGCTCCCGGGCAGCCGTTGTCGATCGCGTACCGCAGAATGTGCCAGTGTTTGTTTTGAGCGGCATATTGGCAAGTCCGAATGTCCCAAGGTGCGCCGTTCTCGCGCGCCCACTTCAGCACGTGAAGGTGTCCTCCATACGCAACATCTTTGCACGTATGCTCGGACCAAGGGTAATCGTGCTGCCTCAACCATTTCATCAGTTCGAATTCACCGAAGCATGCGGCGTCATCGCAAAAATATGCTTCGTCATCGTTCAAAAACACACTCACCAGAAGGTCGTGAACCCGCTGCTTCGGGAGGGTGAGCACGCCGTTGTGTTGCATCAGATACTCGATCATTCTTCCTAAAAGTGTACACATGGTCACCCAATTATAAAAGCGATCATTCCTCCTTCCAATATACCAATGGTTACCCAATTCGAGTCTGTCCGGCAAAGACGCCGCCTCCTTCGAGGCGTCCCTCCAGACTTTGCTCACCCGAGAAAGCGCCACGCGGTCTCTATACCTTCGAAGGTGCGCGAACACGAGGCACGCGACGTCCTTGTTGACGTCGTTGAAGTCGCGAGGCGCAGGCGCGGCAGGGGTATGATGATCGCGGCGCTCAGATCCACCAGGTTTCGCGGTCGCCGCTGCCAGCGGAGGCGCCGGCGGCGGCGCGTCGCGCAGCGCGACAGCTTGCAGGAAGCAACGGAGCGCTTCTTTGTCGCTCTGCTCGACGCCGTCGCCCTCGCGATACCGCCTTCCGAGGTCCATCGCCGCGTCGACGCTTTGACGCGCGGCGATCTCCATGCTCTCGAGCGTCCACGGCCCGCGCGATCGCTTGCCGGACATCGCGCGCGGAGGCGGACGCGCGCGCGGACGTGAAGGGGCGGTAGGGTTTCCTCTTCGCGAAAAGTTGCACTGATGAGATCGTTCAAATCGGGCGCCGCGTCGCGCTCGTCGTCGCACTCCTCGCCGCCCGCCCGCCAGTCCACTCGCCCGCCGCGCGCGTCATGTCCTCCTCCCCCGCCCCGCCCCCCGCTCCCGTCGACGCGAAGCCCGCGAAGGAGCAGCCCGATCGCAGCGGGTACGCGACGATGAGCGCCAGGACGCTGAAGCGCCTCGAAGACGCCAAGGTCCGCCCGCGCGCCCTCTCTCTCTCTCTTCCCCCTCCGCGCCGCGCCGCGCGTGCGCTCACGCGTCCGCGCTCGCCCCGTCCGTCGCGCGCGCCAGACCGAGCTCGTGAAGCGCATCCGCGACAAGGCGAACGACGCGCCCGCGCTCCTCGACGACGAGCCGGAGTACCCCGCGGACGCGTCCGACGCCGCGCGGAAGAGGCTCAAGACGTCGCACAACAAGCTCCTCGACGCGCGCTTCGAGAAACTGAGCGACGAGCACGTCACCGAGCCGGCGATGAAAGACCTCAGGGCGTTCGCGTCCGCGCTCGGCGTGCGAGTCAAGGCGGTCAAGGTTGACGCCAAGGAGCACGACGACAAATCGAAGCGGAAGTCGCCGCTGAAGCTCGCGCACGTGCTGATCACCGCGAAGAGCGTGGCGTCGCTGGAGGCGCGCGACCGCGGCGGCGCGGAGGACGACGAGGAAACCGACCTCGGGCGCGTCCCGGTCATCACACTGGTCCCCACACGACCGCGTTCGCGCGGTGCACGCCGTTCCTCGAGGACTTCGTCCGGCGCTTCTCTCCGCCCAGGGTCCCTCGGTTTCAACGCTCGACCGCGTCGCCTTTCAACTCCGACTGACGCGCCTTTGAACGCCGCCCCGACGTCGCTTCTTCGCGCGGACGCTCGACCCTCAGCGCGCGCGTCGCGGCGCCGGCGTCGGCGGGCGACGTCGACGCCGTCGTGAAGGGCGTCGTCGCGCAGATCGAGAAGGAGCAGGCGTGCGTCGCGTGAGAGGACGGTGGGGTGGGGACGGAGCCGCCGACGCTTTAATCGGCCGCGAACGACGACGACGACGACGACGACGAAGGCGAGCGCGCAGTGAACGACGAAAAACGCACAGCTTGCAGCTGTCAGTCTTGGTTTTGCTGACATCGAAAAAAAAATATCACATTCCCGTCGACGTCACCACCCCGCGTGCACTCGTACGCGCGCGCTGGGACGACGCCCGCGCGATGTCCGCCCTCCTCGCGTCGTCGGCGGCACCGCGCGCGCGCGTCGCTCCGCGCGCGTCCGCCGTCTCGAACCGCGGCGTCGCGCGCCGCGCGTCCGTCGCGCCGCGAGATCCGCGTCCGCGTTTAAACGACGACGACGGACGCGTCGTCCTCCGACGAAACGACGTCCGCGCGCGCGCGTCCGCGGCGTCGTCCGCGACGCCGTCGTCGTTCCCATCCTCGCCGTGGCCGCGCTCCGCGTCACACGACGACGACGACGACGACGCCGCCGCGTCGCGCCGCCGCAACAACGTCGTCAGGAAGAAGGTGGCCGCGCGCGACTTCCGCCACCCGCTGGACCAGCAGAACACGTCGCTCCTGGAGGCGATCCCGGGCCTGTCGAACATCACGAAGAGCATCGTGACGCCGGTCGCGGAGCAGATGCTCATCATGGAGCAGATATCAACCTCCGTGCTCGTGGGTCCGAACCAGCTCCCGAGCGTGCATCAGCTCGTCATCGACGCCGCGGAGGTGCTGGACGTGAAGCCGCCGGCGTTGTACATTCGTCAGTCGTCGCAGCCGAACGCGTACACGCTCGCCATCTCCGGCGCGTTCTATACACTGGTCCCCATACGACCGCGTTGGCGTGGTGAACGCCGATCCGCCCACCCCTCGCTTTCAATCCCGACACACCTCGACGCCTTTCAACTCCGACTGACGCCTTTCAACTCCACCCCGACATCGCTTTGTATGGAACGACCCTCAGGCCGCGAGCCCGTCGTGGTCGTCCACACCGCGCTCGTCGAGCTCATGTCCCCCGCGGAGCTGCGCGCGGTCATCGCGCACGAGCTCGGGCACTTAAAGTGCGACCACGGCGTGTGGCTCACGGTGGCGAACTTGCTGACGCTCGGCGCGGAGATCACGCCGCTCGTGCCGTCCTTCGTGGCGGCTAACTTTAATGACGAATTGATGCGTTGGGTCCGCGCCGCGGAGCTGTCGTGCGATCGCGCCGCGCTGCTCGTCGCCGGCGACCCATCCGTGGTCGTCTCCGTGCTCATGAAACTCTCCGGGGGGTGCCCGAAGCTGTCCGGGCAGCTCAACGTGGACGCGTTCCTGGATCAAGCGCGCGGGTACGACGAGGCGACGGCGTCGCCGCTGGGGTGGTATCTGCGAAACGCGCAGAATAAACAGCTGACGCATCCGCTGCCGGTGGCGCGCGCGAGAGAGATCGACAAGTGGGCGAGGGATGGGGGGTACAGGAGCTTGGGGATCGCGCCGGCGGCGGCCGCGCCGGAGGAGTTGTAGTCGCGACGCGCGCGCGCGACGGGGGGGAGGGGAGCCGGGCGGCGCGCCGGAGTTGTTTTTTCGTTTGTAAGATCGGTACCGTAACATTATCGCAACTTACGTCTCGCGTCGTCGGCGTCTTCTTCTTCGTGCTATCGTGTTCTAAGTTATGCGTTCGTCGTCGTCTCGCGTCGCGTCGCGTCTACACACTGGTCCCCACACGACCGCGTTCGCGCGGAAGGGTGAACGCCGACCGTTCCTCGAGGACGTCACATCACGACGCACGTCCTCGAATCTTCCTTCGCGAGCGGGTGTCCGTGCGGACTCGGACTGAGGGCCGTTGTATACAAGCGAATGTCGGGGTGGAGTTCAAAGGCGTCAGTTGGCGTTGAAAGGCGCCGAGGGCGGGTATTGAAAGGGAGGGGTGGGCGGAGAGATGCGACGGGCAAAGTCCTTAAGGATCGGCGTCCACATCGCCAACGCGGTCGTATGGGGACCAGTGTATAGAACGCGCCTGAACGGCGTCCCCGCCGCGTTCGCGTTCGCGTTCGCGCCCTTCTTCCTCGCCGGCGGCGTCTTGAACGCGTCGCCTTCCCTCCCGCCGTCCGCGGCCGCGGCGGCTTCCTCGCGTCGCTCGAGCTCGTCTAAAAACGCCACCACCTCCGAGTGCCCGTGCCTCTGCGCGAGGAAATACGACGTCTTCTTCGACGACGCCATCGATCGGTCCAGACCCGGGCGCGACGCGAAGTATTTCTGCGGACGGAAGAGCGCGCGCGCGCGGAGGACGCGGAACGAGCGAGGGAGGGAGGGCGTCGTGTTGGTTCAGCGCGACTACGAGCGGATGCGAACGGGATGGGATGGGATGGGATGGAACGGAACGGAAGCGAGCGCGTTCGGTTCGGAGGCGTCGAACGGAAGCATCTAGAAAATATAGAGCGGGCCGACCCCGCCCGGGCGGCGCACCACGATGTCCAGGAAGCCCCCCTCGCACGCGAGATGGAACGGCGTCATGTCGTGGTCGTCCCGCGCGTTGCACGCGCCGACGTCGCCGTTCTCCGTCACGAATCGCACGCACTCCAGGTCGCCAGAGTTGGTCGCGCGGTGGATCGCGAGCTGCCCGTCGGCGTCCTTCCCCGCGAGGAGCGCCCTCGCGCCGCGCCCGCCGCCTCCCGCGCGCGCGATCGTCGCCTTCACGGCGGAGAGGTTGCCCTCCTCGCACGCGTCGAGGAGGGCCTCGAGGACGTCCGGCGGCGGCGGCGGCGGCGGCGGCGGCATCGCGAGAGCGACGCGTGCGGCGCGCGCGACGCGTCTGCTCACGTTTTCGAAAAGCCACGACGAGTCATCGGCGCTCGCGCGCGCTCATCGCCTGACGACTTTCGATCGAAGCGGCGGCGGCGACGGCACGCCCCCGCACACCGCCCCCGCGCGACGGTCGCCGTCCGCACGCGCACCCCCCGCGCGAACTTGTCGTCGTCGTCGTCGTCGTCGTCGGCGCGAGCACCGCGCACGCGTTCGAGCCCGCGACCGACGCGCGCGCGCGCGATCCGCCCGCTCGTCTCCCGCGCGATCCGATCGATCGATCGATCGGCGGTGCCTCTTCGCTCGGGGCCCCTTCACCTTCCCGATGATCGCCGCTCTTCGCTCCTTCTCCTCTTTCCGTAGGTCCGGCGGCTGATCCGCGGCGTCCGCGAATCGCTGCCGAACCTTTGGATTCTTGAGCTGCGCCGTCCGCGACGGCCGAGAGACGTACACCCGCGACGACGCGTCCTTGCAGCACTCGAACGTCCACTTGCCGAACTTGAGGCATCGCTGGCACTGCGGGCGGCCGCCGGCGCCGGCGGCGGTGCCCGCGCCTCCGCCGCCGCTCGGACGCGCGCGCCACATGATCGCGGCGGTCGAGCTTTACCGCCCCAGTAGCGTCGGTTCGTTGCCGCTACCGCTCGTCGCGATCCGATCGTTCGATCGTTCGTTCGTTCGTTCGCGCGACCCCGGTCCGTCCTCGCGACGACGACGCGGAGGAGGAAGCGCGCTCGACGATCGAGCGG